GACCCTGTAAGGGTTTTGTCAAGACATCTGCAACGTTGTTTGCCGTTCCGACATATTTGATCTCCACATCGCCCTCTTGTACGTGATCGCGTACGAAATGATACCGTGTGTCGATGTGCTTTAACTTCCAATGTTTGGCTGGGTCTTTACTCACCTGTATGCACCCCTGGCTGTCTGTGTATAGTACGGGCTGAACGCCCGTGGCCTCCAAATCCCGGAGCAAATATGAGAAGAATAAGGTTTCTCGTACCGCTTCGGAAGCGGCGACAAACTCTGCTTCGACTGCCGACAGTGCCACACACTTCTGAACGTGTGATTTCCAACTCACCGGACATCCATACACATATGTTATCGACCCCGAGGTACTTCTTCGTCCATTTGTGGGGTCGGATGCCCAGTTTGCGTCGGTATACGTCGTTACCGGTGTATCCGAGTGCTCGTTTGTCTCTCCTCCTAGGTGCAACTGATATTCGTTCGTTTGGTTCAGGTACTTTACCACGTGGACAGCTGCCTTCCATGCACTGTCGATCGGGATCGACATATATCGCGCCAATACGCCGACGGCAAAGGCAATATCTGGTCGGGCTGTGTTGGAGACCCATAATAGTTGGCCGACCAATTCTTGATACCTCTTTGCTCGCTTAGGTTCACATCGCTCGCCTCCGGCGGTGTTCGCTACACTCAGCATGGGTATCCAGGATTTCTCGTTTGCTCCTCCTAACCATTTGTTCACCATTTCCTTGATGTATGCCGTTAGACTCAGGGATATCCTCCTCCGTCTTCTATCACGTATAATCTTGATACCCAGAAATTCTTTGATCCTTCCATTGTCTTGCGTCTCCCATTTGTCCATGATCTCCCGCTTTGCGCGGTCTACTTCCTCACGACTGGGTGATGTTATCAGCATGTCGTCCACGTATGCTGTGATGATCGTGATCTTGTCGCCTGTCCCTCTTGAGTATAGGCATGGAGCGCTCTGCATGCAATGAAATCCGATCGTCCGGAGGTGTGAGTCTAACTCAATGTTCCATTCTCGGCCCGACTGTTTCAAACCGTACAGTCCTTTCACTACCTTCAACACTTTTCCGGGTGGTATTTCGATTCCTACTGGGGGCTTGAGGTATACATCATGGTGTATAGTGGAGTTCAGGTACACTTGCTTTACGTCAATAGAATCCATTTCCCAATCTCGTACTGCTGCGACCGCGATCACCCCTCGAATGGATTGGATAGGTGCTACTGGTGCGAAGACCTCTGTATAGTCGATGCCCTCGCGTTGAGTGAAACCTCGTGCCACGAGCCAGGCTTTGAACTTTGTTGGCACGAGGTTTGCATCGGTTTTGATCTTGAGTACCCAACGTGTGTCGACGGTGTTTGCACCCTTTGGAAGGTCGACTATCTCCCATGTGCCCATCGCCTCTAATCCATCCAGCTCCTTTCGCATGGCCTCCTCCCAGTGCTTTCTGTCCTCTCCATTCATTGCTTCATGTATGGTTGGGTCCAGGTTCTTTCTCCGTTCCGGTCGCGTCGCTACGAGTCCATAGAATTCGCTGTCAATTTGAGTTTCGGCGATTGGTCCTTGTTCCATCACCTCTGCTATTCCTTCGCGTAATCTTTCTTCCGAGTCTGACTCCATATCCATGTATTCTCGTAGTGGCTCTTCATCTGTTTCGTCGAATATATTTTCTTTGTTATATCCTAGATCTTCGAGATTTTCTTCTGTCATCGTCATTGGGGGTCCCTTTGTATCAACCGGTCGCCACTCTGTTCTGTCTGACCAGCACTTTGATTCCATGAATTTTGCTGAATTACTCCAGAAGATGTTCGGATTGTAGTCCGGGCTGTAGAAAAGCCAGCCCTTCCTCTCTAGACTGTACCCTAAGAAAATGGATGCGACAGCTCGCTGGTCCAGTTTCTTGTTGTCCCGTTTAACTTTGGGTATGTTTACCCATGCCAGACAACCAAACACTCGTAGGAGCTTTAAAGCTCGTTCCGGCGACTTGCCAAACATCGCTTGATAAGGGAATTCATTATCAACGCTCGGAGTGAGGTTTATTTTGAACGCTGCAGCTCTGATCGCGTATGGCCAGAACTTCTTCGGTAGTCTCCTCTGCATTAGCAACGTTCTCATCTTCTCTCCAAGGGTCCTGTTCATTCTCTCTACCCGTCCATTTTGTTTGCTGTTGTACCCTACGGTGGTTTGCCACTCTATGCCCTTTTCTAGCGACCATTCTAATGCATCATTGCTTTTCCATTCTGTTCCTTGATCGGATCGGATCGCTTTTAGCTTCCGATCCGTCTGTGTCTCCAGGAACGAAACAATCCTTTTAAGTTGCATAAAGGCATGACTCTTTCGTGTCAATGGCTGTGCATACACATACTTGCTATGATCGTCGACCAGCACCAACGTGCATGTGTACTCCGTCACGTGGGACGAGTCTATTATTAGATCGACGTGGATAAGATCCAGGGGCCCTACGGCTCTCTCGCCGCTACCTTTCCCCATCCGAGCGCTTGTGCTCTTGGATCGTACGCACTGCTCACATGTCAGAGCGGTGTTTGGATCCAATTTCATGGTATGCTTATCCTTTAACTTGTTTGTGATCGCCTTAGCTTTATCTCTTCCTGGGTGCCCGAGACGCTCATGCCATAGTTGTTGCTTTGAAACTTTCGGCTCATTCTTAATATGCTCGAACTCCTCATCAACACCTTCAAACAATGGTGCTGATGTGGCCATCGCGCTTTCTTGCCATGTGTCGCCTCGGAACTCCAGAAGTCCTCGCTCGCGATTCTTTGCAATCTTAAGTGTCATGCCGTTTGTTAAGAAAATTTGGCCGCCGGTTGTGTCCAATATCACTCGTGCTCCTTCATCCGTTAATGAATTTGTTGACAGAAGGTTAACATTAAGGTGCTTTACATACAATACATTTTGCAGAGAGATTTCCCCGTAATCTGTTGATATGCTCGCATCTCCTATAGCTGCTGCTTCCAAGACCTCGCTTCCGGCGGTAATTATCCGCTTTCGGCAAGTTCTCGGGTGAATGAGCATGCTGTAGTCATTCACCATATGATAACTCGCCCCCGAGTCCAAGATCCAATGAGCTGTTTCTTTTGGGTTCGAGGGGTCCTGCCATTTCATTGGGAGGGTGAGGGAGCACCACACTTCCTATTTGGGTTCAGCGAGGGGAGAGTCCTTGGGAATGGTAACCAAGGCGTCGCATTGGCTGATACCATGTCCCGGTCGCTTGCAGATCCAGCATCGGATTCGGCGTGGTTTGCTTGCGTTCCTCGGGCTCGCGTGGCTGTTGTCGGCTTCGGCTTCGGTCTCTCCGGCCCGTTCATTTTGATCGTCGTTGCCGGCGGTTCTAGCGCTGGCTTGTCGGGGGTCGATCCTTTGTGCGGGGACACTCTCGACAGCAGTCTGCCGGATGCTTAATGCGGTGGCAAGGGCGTTGAAGTCGATTTGATGGACGGTGGCAACCGTCTCCTTGTACACCGGATGCCGGATCGTGCATTTCTGCAGGGCCGAGAACAATGTATCATCAGCGAATGGTTTTCCGAGGAGACTGCTTTCAGTTTGTATGGACCGGATCTCTTGGATTAGCTTTCTGGCATCCGAGTGAAACATCTTTGCATCGTTGAGTTGCGAGACAAGCGCAAGTCTGTGGGACGTCTTGGTGGCTTCATTCGTGAGACCGTTTTCGATCTTTCTCCATACTTGGTTGAAAGTAAGGTACTCCTTGATTACATCTAGAACGAGGTAGTTTACATTGTGTTCTCCGGTAGTATCGATTGTTCCACGCAGGGCGTTAATTAAAGCATCGTCAAGGGAGCGGCTCCATTTCGGGTGTTTCTTGTCGTACGTTCCCTCGAGATGTTTCATCGCATGAGGCACGGATCGGAGGAAAGATTTCACGTGAGCGCTCCAGCTATGGTAGTTTCGTGACGTGAGCTTTGGCACAGGTTCAAGGAGCTTTGCTAGGGTGCGAAAGTTATATCGCTTGTCGCCATCATCAAAGTCGGAGTCGGAATCGGTGTCTCCGTCGGCTTCATCGTTGATGGCCTCCGGCTCGTTCTTGCTCGTGGCATTATTGTCGACCCGAACCTGGGTGTTCTTGCCTTTTCTGCTTCCTTTAGTCCTCGTTTCGGTGTCTTCTACCATGGTTGTCGGCGAGTTTTCGGTTAGCTCGGTGATAGCTTCTTCAGACTCTTAATCAATTGAAGATAACAATTAATATACGGCGTTATCGGGGTCACGATCAGACTCCCTTTGCCACAGCCATATGTTCTATGTAATGCTTAGTTTTCTTAGTGTGAGACTAAATGACAAACACATATATATACTCCATTCACTGCTCTGATCCCATCCGAGGCAGGGTGTGTTCCTTCATTTGTACCCCTGTGTTGCTATGATACCGGGTGCCACTGTGCTGTCACCATGACAACAATTGCGTACCTCATTGTGCTCCTCGCTTATGTGAGCCTCCCGTATCTCGATGTCTCGGCCGTAACACGTGCACCTTGCTTGAGATGCCGACGCATCTTCAACTGACTGACGCGCGCCTGTCGCAACCTGCAAGTGTTTATCTTTGTGCGTCATGTGACAGATCAACGCTTCAACACTTTCATCGCTTCCTGCTTTCCCTCCTCCACCATCATTGATCCATCTCGCAGCACCGCGCCTGCAGGTAGTGGCAGCATCTATTCCAAGAGGCTGCATGAAAGGCATCGCTCAATCCTCACAGGTTGGTCTGCGCACAGACATCGTAGCGAAGCTCTGATCTTCGCAAAACCAAACAATTGGATCGCACTGGATGATAGAGACATTTGCGATGCTCATCTAGCAGCTCAGCGTTCAACGGCTGCTTTCGTTTGCTCCATCACAAGCACGTTCGTCCTAGATTTACTGTCGGGTCCTGTTCCTCTCTCTTCACGAAGCCTGCGGCATCAAGCACCACCCTCGCACCACCACTTGCGCACCATCTCCCAAAACAGCAAAGATGGCGCAACTAATCCCAGGAGATGCCTCAATCCTAATCAGCCGTCTCCTCATCCTTTTCGTCTGGGGAGTCACTCCATTCAGCTGGTTTGTCGTTCTTACCCGTATCACCGCACTCTACATCCGACGCACTTACCCTTCGGTCTCAATAGACGCTAGACTCTTCAAGCTTATCACCACCCACACCCCGCGCTGTATCTCCAAACGACTCTCCCACATCCTCTCCTCGTCTCGATGGCGTCTAGTCGGAAACCTAGTTTATGCATACTTCTGCATCGAAGCGCTGTTCTCCATCTACTACTTTTATCTTTGTCGTCGGATCCAACGTCCAGCACCATGCCCTCTGTATGGTAGACGCTTTTTGAGACGGGTTTTTGCTCAAGCTCTACAAGCCGGGCTCACATCCCCCTCCTCCACGGACGGGGTGGGGAAGGGATATGCTTCAGCTGTGTCCTCTTCCCTCCCATCCTCCCAAGGTTCCGAGCTAGTAAAACGATCCAATGCAATGGAACTTGATGAAAAGTCAGCAGAGTCAGACGTAAGACAAAGACTGGGCAGACTAAGAGCAGCCTCATGGGTGCCACAATTCGTCACCACACCCATCAACGCCGACGATCCAAGGGCGAAAAAGTTTCAGGAAGATCAAGCAAAGTGGTTTTTCGGTGTTCCTCCCGAGGAAATATGTAGGAGAGATGTTATGCATTGGTTGGCTTGGAGTCTTTTTGCGGCCGAGTTGGAGGATTTGGAGGCGGAGAGAGATCATAGTCTTCTCCATTCGAATGGTGGTAATGGGGGATGGGGATTGGAAAGCACGACTGCATCGACGTCTACATCTCCAATGCCGCCTTCTGAAGCAACGTTTGGCGGGCCTCCACCTGCGTTCTCCACACAAGGAAGAGGGGGGAGGGATGTTGGTGCGAAGGAGGGAGAATGGGATCCAGCTACGGGAGATCGACTGCGATTTCTAGAATACTGTCTTGAGCTGTTGGAGACTAGACAGGGGAGAAGTTTTCCCGAGCATCCACCTTGGCAACCTTCAGCGCAGGGAAAGAAGACGTTGTTGCAGCCAGCCAAGGCGGGACCGAGGATAAGAATGATGCGTCTTACCATCGATCCCGTTAGAACAGCTTCTCGGCCCCTTGTATGCTATTTTGTCACGAACACTCTTTCCGCTCTTACCATTCGACGGGCGATTAGAGGTGGGTTTGAATATCATACTCAAGGTCGTTTGCCATACCTCTACCGACCAGCGCCCAAAACCGCCAGTACTACCTCTGCCGATAAAACCCCTCTCATCATATTGCACGGTTTAGGAATAGGTCTAGCACAATACTCATCTCTCCTGACCTCCCTCCTCCGTACGGCGTCCCTTTCATCGCGCCCTTTGCTCATATTGCTTCAACCGAACATCTCGCAATCAATCCTCTCCCCATCATTCCTCCACCCATTTGGTCACCACGAAACGACCTCCGCCTTTCGCCACATCCTCGCCCGCCACAATTTGACCTCGATCGACATCCTCTCGCATTCCTACGGCTCACTCGTTCATTCCTGGCTAATCAAGTCCCTCGGTCCCGTCGTACGAAGAAGCTGCTTCGTAGACCCAGTATGTTTCCAACTGTGGGTACCTTTCGTTTGTTCGAATTTCATCTACAAACGTGCCTCAACCCCGATAGAGCTACTTATGCGATACTTTGTAGCAAGGGAGGTGGGGACTGCGAATACGCTTTGTAGGTATTTCGATTGGAGTAGTAACATTCTCTGGCCGAACGAGATAGAGGGATTGCAAGATGGGAAGAGAGTTAGGTTCTATCTGGCGGAGGAGGATGCGATTTTAAGCGCCAAGGATACACTGGAGTATTTGGTCGAATCAGGCTGTCCGAAAGAGAATATTTATTATGGAAGGGAAAAGGCTCATGGGGAGATGCTAATGCATGGCGGGAGCGAGTTTGATGATATTGTGACTTGGCTGGCGATGAAGATCTAATCCACGGACATCAAGTGTGCAAGATATCTGCTCAATGCCAATCATCCAGGTCATCTCATGCGGCTGCTTTGGCGTATTTCTTCGAACCCTTGACTGCTCCTTGTCGCTCTGCGGCCGAAACAAGCTCTGCTGAACATTGCCATGATTCTCGCTTCTCGTGTGGACATGCTCCACAAACCATGCCTGTCCCTATGAAGCTGCGTTCCGTACAGAGACGTGAAGCTGATCTAATTACTGAAAAGTGGTGCGAGATAGATTCCGTAGCCAAGACAAGTAGGAAGTGAAGGGGTATGCAGAAGAACCTGAATCGACTCTCAGTGGACAGGTTACTCTCCGAAGAGCTGCACAGTACAAAGTAAAAAGGCTTGGTCAGAATCATCCTTGCGCTAGGCGAGAAAGAGTTGGATTTAATGTACTTACCTTCTGAACCCGTTTCAGTACCGAATCTTTACTAGGATCGTAGGGATGATCTTTACTCGGAATCTCCAAAAGTGCAGGGAAAGCTTGGGTATACTTATCCACCATTGGTCTGATCTTCTCCGCAATGTGCTGGTTGATGAGGAGAATTGCAATATCTTTTCTTTCGTTGGTGAAATGGTTGAATGAGGATTCGATGTCGGAGACCGAAGTTTTGTTGTCGCAGATGAGAAAGTTTTTGGTCCCGTCTGAATCGACGTTGCCTATTCCTGCTAGGAGGAGGCCTGTGGTTGAATCCTGCATGGAGGCCGAGATGAGAAAGGGGGGATGTTAGAAGGGGGATGTTAGTGATGGGAAATAGAAGGGGAAGTTGAACAAGGGGGAAGGTCGGAGACTTACCTCATCAGCAATCAACGCAATGAGCGTTCTATCTGATGCCGACATCTTCGTCCACACCTCTCCGCTAAGGTATGTGAGAGAGGAAGAGGATGGTGTTGAAGAGTTGAGGTTGGTAGCGAACCCTTGATTTGGTATGCACGCTCGAAATGTGGAGCTGTGAGTGTGGTAAAGGGGTTGGATGTCACGTGCGGTTGGGTGTCACGTGCGATGAAGGGCCGCTCGAGCCAAGTTTGATTTTTTTCTTCTCGTGCGGTACTGCTGCTGGAGTGTGGAGATTTTGGTTCGGAATAACGAGGGTCCAATCCTCTACGGCAGCCCCGGATTCATTCTTCTGGCTAACTATCATCACCATCGTCGCTTTTTCCTACGCTCATTCAATCACCCTCTCACCATCCAGGTTTAGAGCATCCGCTTCACGAAGGCATCTGCCAAGTCTTCTGGAAGGTTGACGACCAAGCTGAGTTTCCAACTCGCTGCCATCGATCAAGGCAAACTGTTTCCGACCATCCGAGCTAAGTCGCAACCATCACGTCGGACTCATCCGCAACTTGGACTCAGCATTCGACTAGCCACGATCAGCACCAATCGCAACCCCTTGCCCTCTGTCTCCCTCGATCATCCCCTGCCTTGGGGCGTAAAACCGGCGGCCCAGCATGACATCCACCTATCTCCCACCCAACTCCAACTCCATCGTCTCGACCTACAACGGCCACTCCTCCACCACCGCCAATGCCGACGAACCCCTCTTCGCCTCCCTCTCCAACTCCTCCAACCCCAACCCATCTCGCGTATGCTATTTCTTCGACTCGGACATCGGCAACTATCACTACGGACCCGGCCATCCCATGAAACCTACCCGTATCCGTATGTGTCATTCCCTAGTTATGAACTATGGTCTCTACAAACGCATGGAGATCTTCCGTGCCAAACCCGCTACCAAACGCGAAATGTCCCAATTTCACACCGATGAATACGTCGAGTTCCTAAACCGTGTAACTCCTGATAATGTCGATTCGTTCGTGCGGGAACAGGCAAAGTTCAACGTCGGCGATGACTGCCCCGTTTTTGATGGCTTGTTCGAGTATTGTAGTATATCAGCAGGGGGAAGTATGGAGGGAGCAGCTAGGTTGAGTAGAGATAAATGCGATATAGCTATTAATTGGGCTGGGGGTTTACATCATGCCAAGAAGGGAGAGGCTAGTGGGTTTTGTTATATCAATGATATTGTGTTGGGCATTTTGGAGCTGTTGAGGTACCATCCGAGAGTGTTGTATATCGATATTGATGTTCATCATGGAGATGGAGTCGAAGAGGCCTTTTACACTACGGATAGGGTTATGACTTGTTCTTTTCACAAATATGGAGAGTTCTTCCCAGGGACAGGCGAACTCCGCGACATCGGGATAGGCAAGGGCAAGATGTATTCTTGCAACTTTCCCCTGCGAGATGGGATCACAGACGAATCCTACAAAACCGTATTCGAACCGGTGATCAGCCAGATTATGCAACATTATCGACCTTCAGCAGTAGTCTTACAGTGCGGATCCGATTCTTTAGCTGGCGACAAACTCGGATGCTTTAATCTTTCCATGCGCGGTCATGCTAATTGCGTTGAGTTTGTAAAATCTTTTGGTCTACCCCTACTGCTACTGGGTGGTGGAGGATATACAATGCGTAACGTCTCTCGAGCATGGGCTTTCGAAACCGGCCTTGCCGCTGGACAGGAGTTGAACCCTCAAATCCCCGTGAACGAATACTACGAGTATTTCGGCCCAGATTACAGGCTCGATGTTCGACCCAATAATATGGAGGATCTCAATACTCGCGATTACCTCGAGAAGATCAAGATCCAAGTCTTCGAAAATCTACGACAAACAGCACACGCACCTTCAGTTCAAGGGCACGTAGAGCCAAGGAGTATCGCAGAGCAGCTCCACCTGGAAAACCTAGAGCGTGGGGAAGGGGAGGCGGATGAGGAGATGGGCGATTTAGCAGATAAAGGAGGATTACAGGGTTTGGAGGATAAACATCCGGATGAGAGGGTTGTGGGGTTGCAGGCGTTTAGGGATTATAGTAGGAGAGGTGATGATGAGTTGGATTCTGAAGGGAGGGCGAATCCGACTAGAGTTGCAGATGGGGACGGGGGGAATGGGATGAATGGGGTGAATGGGGTGAATTGGGGGAATGGGGTGAATGGGGTGAATGGGGTGAATGGGGGTGGAGGGGGAAAGATGGGGATTATGGAAACGAAGAATCCAACAACGGAGGAAGAGGAGAATAGGATCGATGAACGGATCGAACAGGAAAGCATTGCTAAGTCGCAGGCTAAACGGGTTGAGGCTGAGGAGGAGAAGCCGGCCGAGCCTGTGACGGCAGCGGAAGGTGAAGGTGGAGCTAAAGACGCAGCATCTAGCACGACGAGTGCGGATGCAGCGGCTGCGCCTTCAGCAACAAATGCGACCGAAGCCGGAGCACAAGCTTTTACTGCCCATGTTGCCAACGCTCCATCGACAGAAGCAGCACCTGCTACAACGGCAACAGAAGCTTCTTCCAACACTGACGCTCCTGCTGATCCCGCTGCAACATCTTCAGCTGAAACCACCGCTGCATCTGGTGATGCAGCTTCGGTTGAAGCAGCAAAATCCACAGGTGAGGAAGAGTCCAAGATGGATCTTGACTAGATAAACCGCCATCCTTGCAACAGTTTCGTGTTCCTCTTGTATTTGTCTTGTTCTCATCAAATCATGAAATCATGAAATCATGAAATCGTACTCTTGAAGCGAAAGCGGGCTGTCACACACCTTTGTTGGTTCAAACGCAAGAAGAGAAGACGGTGTTGCAATTGATTGGGATTGTTGATCGTGATCTACGCATAAGAAATGATGGTGTCTAAGCACGTTTCTTCCCTCCTTTCTTCACAACCTTAAATGCCTCACCGCCCGTTGCTGCACCTGGTACACTACCACTTACTCCCGTCTTACCACCCGTTTTCACCGCACTCTGTTTCACACCGGCGCCGAAACTTGCCATGCCACCTGCACCAGCGGCATCCGCACCCCTACCCTGTACATCCAACTTGCGCTTGGACACGAAATCCAAGGCAAATCGTCTTCCATCGAGTGTACCCGAGTTGGCATAAACGGTATCGGCAATAATCTCGATCACATCCGAACTGGGGTCGAGTGGAAACTGAAGGAGCATATCGATGAAATCGTCCTTATTGATGTGAAGGCCTGCGAGGTTGTCTTTGCAGTACCTGATGAATTCTGGGGAAGGTGCGTTGGGATCGGTGGAGGTCGATGGACGAGGTTTGGTGAGCGTTGATGAAGCGGTTCGGGTAGCGGGGGAGGGGGAGGCAGGGGTGGATTTCGTAGCCGTGTTTACGGCGCTGCCGACTACAGACCATGCTCCGGCACCGGAAGACGAGGTTGGGGCGGTGGTGGTGGTGGTGCTTGTTGATCGAGTAGAGGTGAGAGTTGGGCGACTAGCAAGAGGTGAAGCAGCAGCAGCACCAGTAGCGTTGGTAGAGGAGGAGGGTGTAGTAGAGGGAGTCGTTGGTTTTCCACTCGCCCCTACCACCGACCAAGCTCCACCGCCACCCGAAGCGGCGTTGGTAGTAGATGCAACCACCGCACCATGCAAGTTCCCACCTGCAGTCCTCGACGCCGAATCAGCATAGCCTTTCCTCAACGCAATCTGCTGAGCTTTGAGTTTCTCCGCTCTCTTCCTCTCCTCTTCCTGAATCTCCATCAGAGTCTTCTTCGGAGCCGCCTTGCCTGCGTTCCAAGCTGGAGCTGCCGGACCACCAGCACTAGCCCCACCACTCGCACCTTCACCCCCCGCAGCAGTTTTGGCAATGGCAGCAGGCGCAGAAGCCAAACCCCAACTCAAAGTAGTCGGCAACTCTTCACCCCCCGAAGGCGAAGCAGTAGCCAACCGTGCACGAGCAGCGGCTTTTTCAGCCGCACGCTTAGCTTCAGCTCTCTTCGCTTCCGCTTCTTGAATCTCCCTCAAGCTAGGGCCGGTGCTTTGGGGGTTAGAATCATCTTTCGCTGCCCATGGAGCTGGTTTGCTTGCGGGAGCGGAGGAGTCGCTGGCATTTCCGTCGTTGGGCCAGTCTGAAAGCGAAGCTTGAGTGCCCGAAGCCGAGGTAGATTCGGATTCTTTGGGCCGACGGAATTGGTCTGACGTGACAACACGGACGTTGCTCGCTCCAGTAGGGCGGTTGGCGGAGGTGCGAGAAGCAGCCGTCTCGCCAGAACCAGGAACATTGCGTTCAGAGGTTTGTCGCTGGAGGGCGGAACGCTGCTCACGCTTGTTGGAGAGTGTGAGAGCGGGCATACCGGAAAGTTCGGGTTCGGAGGCGAATTCGACTGCTTTAGGACTTTGAGGCCAGAGCTCTTCAGGTCGAGGCTCGCTCGCAGTGAAGGCTTCGGGTGGTGGGATCTCGGTTTCGGCCGTCTTGGCAGGCTGAGCGGGTTCCTGAGTCTTGGTAGGGGTGGCAGCAGCAGCAGCAGCCTTTTGCGCTTCCTTCTTGCTGAGCTTCTTCTGAGGGGTGGAAGCAGCAGCGGCGGGCTTGGCAGCCTCGGTGCTGCTAGACTCAATCCTTTGCTCGCTTGCAGGCTTCGCTTCAGCAGCAGCAGGGGCGGCTTGGTTGTTCGCAGCCTGCTGCTCAGCCAGAGTAGGAGCAGGAAAAGCATTTTCGAACGACTTTTGCTGCTCATCCCTGTGCTCTGCCGCTGCTCCAACATCATGGTGATGCTGAGGAGCAGGCGAACGAGCACGTCGAGGCGTTCCAATAGGATCGGCAGCTTTGATCGCCTCGTTCCTCAAGATGCCCTCGCTAAAATCCATCTGACGGTTGTTCACATCGGGTGTGGTGGCGGAAAAGTTCCAAGGCGCGGCCTGTTGCTGTTGTTGCTGCTGCGGTTGCTCGCCCCACTGACCTGCCCCTGCCATGGGATGCGATCGAGGTGCCAGCGAAGCTTTTTCAGTCCAAGGATTGCCAGTTTGATCAAAAGTCTGCTTCTGCTGATGAGCGAAGTTGTCAAACGCAGGTCGATCACCACCAACCAAAGGACTCTGATGTTGAGCGCCAAGACCACCGACATCGCCAAATTGACCGAGACTGCTATGACCCATGCCGGCCCAAGGAGAAGGCGACATAGCAGACTCAACACCCCAGCCAGATCGATCAAGACCACCACCAAATCCATCGAGCTGACCCAAGCTCATACCAGCTGGACCGCGCGATGCGGCAGCGGCTGCTTGACGTTGCTCCTGCAACTCACGCTCGCGAATGATTGAGATGATCTCGTCTTGATTACGGAGACCAGCTTGACCTGCCGAGAAGACGTCAGGGCGGCCGAAAGGGGAAGCTGGAGAGGGACCGACGTTGCCGAGACCCGCCAGGCCCAATTGTGCAGGCCAGCCTTGCTGCTGTCTAGCGGCTGGTCCAGGCCAAGAGCGATTGCTGTCAAAGGCATCAGTAAAGCGACTCTGCTGCTCGCTGCCACGCAGGTTGTCTCGACCCAAGATGCTGTCGAACGGAGGTCGAGGTAGGTTAGGGCTGTAAAGCCAGTTCGAAGGAGGAATAACAAACGGCTGTAAAGCATTGCCAACCGCAGCAACCACCTGAGCGAGAGGCCTAAAGTCAGCATCCTCCTGACGCCTGATAGGCAGATCATCAGTAAAGTACTGCTGCGAATACCAATCTTGCATCATGAGACTGTTGAAGGGGCCTTGCACGTTGCCCTGCGTATCCCTGTAGAGCCACATAGAGGTCTCGGGTGACCAGGAAGCGATGTTCATGGATGCTTGCGAATGCGAGTTGGGATTCTGGTGCTGCTGTTGGTCAAAGTGTTGTCTGGGATGGAAGTTGTCTGCGTGGTTGTTGTTGTTGGCGAGAGGATCCGGGTTGATGTTCTGCTCGTCACCAGCGAGAGGGGCGTTGGTGGGCAAGCGGGGACTGTCATCCTGATCGAGCTTCAGCGAACCCAAGAGGGTGGAGGCGTGCTGAGCAAGATCAGCGTCGTCGCTGTTGAGAGGGTGTTGTTGGCCTGCACCTGCGTTCTGGCCAGTCAAGTGCTGTGCTTGGATGCCTGACTTTTCGGTGAAAGCGGAGGGAGCAGCACCAATTCCAGCGTCGCCCCTCGAGGCATAAGGCTTAGCAGCCTGACTGATCTGGCGCTCACGCCGTCTCTCAAAGCCAGTCGACTTGCCGAAGCCAATACTGCCATCGGAAGGAGGGCCGATGGGACCTTCGCCGGGCAAGCGATCTTTGTGGCGTGCGAATCGAGCGGAAATGCTCAAGCCTTCGGGATTGCCGCTTGGCACGATCGGCTGAGCCGGTGTGGCAGTCGCAAGACTGGCATTTTCGGCAGCAGCCGATGCAATTCTGCCTCTGACGCGATTCGAGCTGAATGCATCTGAGAAAGCACCAGCAATGATTGCTCCAGATCCGGTCTGGCCACTAGCAGAGCGACCCCAAGAGCCCATAGCACCGCCATTGACGCCATTCGACGACTGCTGCGATGGGTTGGTCTCATCTTGACTGCTTTTGATGGAACGACCAGTGCGGGTAGGCTCCAGGAGGCCAGCAGCTCCACCATCGCTGCTTTCCATTCTCTTGCGAGCAGGAGGTGCTACACCGGATAGCACACCTCCCTGAATACCGCTGAAGCGATCACGGGAGACCGAGGGCGAGAGAGGACGTGAGCCTGAGTTGGTATTCACCCCGGCCAGAGCACCGCTCGAAGCACGCTGAAAGAGACCAGGACGCTCCTTCTCGGCTTTGTCCGAATTCAAAGTGCCAGCGGATCCAAAGCTTGCCGAAGTCGAGCGAGCGTTGAGACCACGAGGCTCGTTGCCAACCAGAGCAGGCGAAACGGGTCCTCCGCCGATTGCTCCAAGTTCGGCAAAGGCGGAAGGACGACGGTCCGATCCACCCTTTCTGCGAGAAGTGCTGGTAGAGCGTTCAGGTCCCGCGTTGCCGCTGCCTATAGGTGGAGCTGCATCGACCGGCCAAGGCTCAGCACTGGCTATCTTGCTCGAGCGATCCGAGCTGTACAGACTCAGCAGCTTCTCACGCATCGCCTTGTCCTTGGCCAAAGCAGCGGAAGTACCATTGAGCAAAGGCGTAGAAGCGTCACTCTCGCCGCCGCCGCTGCCACCACCAATACCAGAGAAGCCATGCGGAGTGGAAGAATGCGATCCATTGCGTTCCGAGTTCTGCGCCGTTGCTGCAGCTGCTGCGGCTGCAAACGAGAAGGCGCCGGGAGAGCTCACAGGAGGGCTGACAACAGGTGTCGGACCGGATAGATTTGCAAGTCCACCGATTCCACCATTGCGCTTCGCGCTATTGCCTCCGCCCGTCATGGGACCGGTGCCGGGGCTTGTAGCGGCTGAAGGTGTAGCGGAGGGAGCATTTTCCTTGCCGCCAGATTTGCTGTTGGGGCCTTTGCGCATCCACTCGGGACCGAATTGCATAGAAGTCGCCATTGTTATATGAGTGTCTGTCGAGATGGTCTGATCGATCAAGATACGAGGTTAATGCTGAAGCTGCTGCTGAGAAGATGTTCAGGAGCCGAGATGCGGTTGCCGGGATGTTGTGGAGTCAGTGGAGGCTTGAAGCTGGCGCTATAGATCTGGGCGGAGCAGGTGAATTGTAGTGCCGTCTCTGAGTGTATAGACGGATCTGATGGAAGAGCGGGCGAACGAAATGTGTGTGCTGCCGAGCGGAGATGTTGGATTTTTGACTCGAGAGTGGTGAGGACACTGGCTGAGGTTAGCGTGCGGAACGAGATGCGGTTGCTGACGAGTTGAGATGTCTAGTCACGAGGCAGTGCTAGAATGGATGTAGAGTGCTGAATGAGTGCTGAATGTCGGGAATATGTCCTTTTCGCAAGATCGGTGAAGAAGCTGGAGATGAAGGGAGCGAAATTGTGTCCTTGGCGATGAGGTGTTGAGAAAGACGTTGTCTAGTCTTTGCTCGATTGTACTATATAGTTGAAGATGCGAGCGATGCAGAAGCTTGAGAGCTGAGAGTGATGGAAGAGCTGGTTGCTATTCGTGTGATGATGGTCCGTAGAGCCGATTATATGTTGCTGTAGATGGTTGAAGGGTAAAGCTGGACAATTGGAGTTGCTGCTGCTGCTATGAAGCTTTTCAAGTGGATGCGCGACCGGCGAGAAGAAGAAGAAGAAGAAGAAGAAGAGTGAGAAAGTTGAGAGTTGTTCGGTGACACGAAGAGACTGGCAAGCTCGACTTGAAAGTGTTGCAAAAAGAAAGAATGGCAAGAGCGCAGCGCAGAGTTTCTTCACACACACACACACACACATACACATACACATACACACAACTTTTTTTTTTTTTTTTTTTTTTTTTTTTTTTGCTTCATTAGCACAGAGCGACAGCCAATCAGTTGAAGCTCTGAGCTGCGAAAAAGAAGGGGGGGAAAGCTATCCGGTGCGTGCGTTGCAACTCTCCTTGTTTGTCCTCATTTTTACTCTTCCTTCTGTGCGCTTTGTCGCTGTCTGCTGCCTCTTCTACCTCAGCTCTGTTTTGACTTTTTTCTTCTCATTAATGTAACAAAGAGAGGCTTCTAGACTTTGAAGCGTGCATGAACAATGGAAAAGGTCATTACGAACGAGATGCTCTTCATGCTGCTCAACTCAGGCCGAGCGCAGAGTCTTGTCAGCTCGTACAGCCTGCTCAAGCAAGTCCAACTCATGTCTTGTCATCAAGCACGAGACAAGAAACCCGCACACACGAGCTCGACAGGAAGCCTTCTTCCGGAATCAAGACGGCCAAAGTTGACACGTCTCGTCAAAGCCAGAAATCGATTTCTTGTTAGGTTAGGGCTGGTTGCGGCGATCACCTCATATCAACTTTGAGTGAAATCACATGACCGCATGCTCATGCTCTAACACGACCGCAAACTTCACTTGGCGTCGCCACCCGTCAACTCCCACCAACGCTCAACATTCCCCACCAATATCCCTATCCCACTCGACAACGGCACATTCTCATACGTGTCACTTTCATCTATACACACACATTGACCAACAACAGGAGCATATATACTTCTGTTATTGCTTTGTACTTAGTTCCCTTTTGAATGCAAACGATTTACCGCTTGCTTGACCGCCCTGATTGCACTTTCCTCAACACTTTGTTCCTGCAAGATTCGGCGGAGAAAGTTCAAAGATTCACTGTGGCTCACATCATTCATCCTTCCCACGGGTCCGGGGGTTGAAGAGTTGTGAAGGATCTATTGCAATTGCTAGAGTACAAGTTAGATGATCAGGTTCAAGACTTAGAGTCGGTGGCCTCGCTCGTCGGCTTGGCGCTCTCCTTTTTCTCGGTCGTCTTCTCTTTCTTGGACGAGTTAGCTGTTCTGTTGTCTGCTGCAGTATCAAACAAGAAAAGAGAAAAGAATAGAGGAGGAGTGGTGTGATTTCAGCATGCGTGAACGAGTGTGTGTGTGATAGATTACACTGTGAGAAAGTAGCAATGCTAGCGCTCTATGATTGCTCCAGGGAGGCAAACTCCTTCATTTTCTGTTGGTCATCCAATCCCAAGTGCGACCCAAGAATCCTTTCTGTGACTCATCTTGGGCTGTTCTCGACCAAGTAGCTTGGCTGGCAGAGCCTTCTGTTGCACCTGAGCTTTTGGTCTCTGGCTTGCGAGTCGAAGCTGACGCTGGAGCTGAAGAAGGGGCAGCACTGCTAGCATCGTCAGATCGAGATGAAGGATGAATAGAAAACCTACCTGTAGCAGTCTTTTTGGTTGTCGGCTCAGCTGAGCCTGTCTGTGCATGACGGGGGAATGTCGAAGAGGCTTTTGTGCTTGTTGACGAAGCAGAGCTGGATGTTTCGTTTGTTGAGGCTTTCGCACCTGAGGCTGTCCAACTGCTAGCAGCTTTGGTGGTCTTGGCATTGGATGCACCTGCTGAGCTGGAAGCATTGCTGCTATCGCTCGGTGCCCAAGTGCGACCTTCGACCTCATCAGCATACTGCTGCAAAATCTCTCGCTGACGCTTTGTGAGCGACCGAGGCATAGTCACCTCGAACTGCACCATCAAGTCTCCCTTCTGTCCACGGCGTGTCGGCGAGGGCACACCACGATTAGGCAAGACCATCTGCTCGCCAACTTGTGTGCCTGCTGGTACACGCACCTCGACGGGGCCTTCAAGTGTGGGCACGCGAACCTTGCCTCCGAGGATAGCAGTGTGGAAAGGAATGGTGGCAGGGAAGAACAGCGTCGAGCCTTGACGTCTCCAGATGCGGCTTGATGCGACGTTGATGCGAACGTAGAGCGAGCCAGGTGTACCAGCACCGGAGAGCGGAACATCACCAAAGCCGTCCTTGCGAATGCGGAAGCCATCGTCAACGCCTGCTGGAAGATCAATCTCGACCTCTTTGCGTCCACGTAGACGCCCAATACCATCGCAGGTGTTGCAGTTGTCGCCAGGAGCAACTGTTGAGCCAGCACCACCACATGATGGACAGGTAGTGGCCATCTGGAAGCCGCTCTGAATGACGAATGTGCGGGTACCAGTACCATTACAGGTGCCACATGTGCTCTTCTTGGCGCCAGGCTTGAGACCTGAACCGGTGCAAGTGCCACATCGCTCGATAGGGTTGATGACCACTTTACGCTTTGTGCCCTTGCAGGCTTCCTCAAAGGTAAGGTTGATGGTCGTTTCGAGATCCTCGCCTTGTGCCTCTCCTGCGAATCCTGCAGCGCCAAAGCCAGGACCACGCTGACCTGGCCTTGCTGCACCACCGAATGCACCAAAGAGACTCTCAAAGATGGAACCTGCATTACCTGCGTTGGAGAAACCGCCAAAGTCTTGGAAACCGCCGAAGCCACCTGCACCGAAGGGAGACGAACCTGCACCGCCGAATGGATCGAAACCTGGCTGATGGTCAGTTGTGCCGTACTGATCATAGGCAGCACGCTTCTTGTCGTCGCTCAGCAAGTCATAGGCGTTCTGGATCTCTACGAAGCGTTCCTTGGAGCCCTTTTCCTTGTTGGTGTCTGGGTGATACTTTTTTGCGAGACTGTAATATGCTTTCTTGATATCCTTGACATCAGCATTCTTCTTGACACCAAGGACCGAGTAAGGGTCCTTGGTTGATGCTGAGCGGCTGGCAGACGAGGTAAAGTTTCGTTGGCCGCATGAGTGGCAAGGGGCAGCCGTTGGAGGGCACTGCGAACGAGAAAGAGTGACGAGAGTCCTAGAGGAAGCGGCAACAGCGGAAGAGCTGGTTGCGGGAACCTCTGCCCGTTTCAAGGGAATGCTGGGTCGTTGAGAAGTGAAAGATCGTCGATGCACAGCACTGCCAGCAACGGCGCTTGACGATGATGGAGCGCACAACGACGGAAGGCGGCTGACTGCGCCACGAGCTGCGGGTGTTGACATGGTGTGCGATCCGTGCAGCTGCCGGAGGATAGTGATGAAAAGAAGAGTGGTGATTTGGCAAGATAGGGAAAGAAGGTAAGGTAAGGATTGAGAGCAAAGGTTGAGAAGGTGTCGCACGTCGGCTTTCACCGTCTTGGGGGGGGAAAAAAAATAAATATGACGAATCACTCTCAAAATCATGCTTCCTTCTGAAGCTTCCGATTTCATCCTCTTCCTTGACACAACCCTCATTCGCAGATACAGCTCTGCTTCGATCGATAGCCTTCTCTTTGGATCCACAACAGACTTTGAGCACTCAAGAGAACCCGATCAGCCCCACAGGATCAGCTGCAAGGCAACATGATCCGGGTGGAAGAAGAGCCGAATTGAGCGTCCAGAGAGAACTTTCCAGATTTTGAGAGCATGTCCCTTTAGGCTCAGCTTAATTCAACTCGAGATCTTCTCGGATTTGTCAGGAGAACACAGATCGGAGATCGGGTAACATTGCCTTTCGATATCCCGATACACAACTCCTCGCCAACGCCAAAATATCGACGCGTCGGACGGCTGCTCCTCCCAGCCCTACACTCTCTGGTATGTACAGACTAGTTAGCGGAAAGAAATTCAATTTTTTAGCAGAAATTCAACGCGGCTATCGGGCACCACAGAGAGAGGGAGAGAGAGAGAGAGAGAGAGACCCATAAAAGAAAAAGAAAAAGAAAAAGAAAGGGAAAGGAGAAAGGGAAAAAAAAAAAAAAAAAAAAAAAAAAAAAAAAAAAGGTCGTCGTCGCATTTCCAGCCAACTGCAAGATGGCGACAGTCGCATCGCATCTCTCAACGCCTCTTCCTTCTCCTTGTCCTGTTCCTCAGTTCACCGGTCCAGCGTCTCTTTGGTAAAAACCCCCCCCACCTTCATCCTTTCCATCCGCTCCGCTCACTTGGTCATTGTCTACCTTTCTCTGGCACTCGCGGTCTTTTCTAGCACAACCTACTTCTTGCTCACCTGCGTTTCTCTCCCCGCACGTCGTCGCCGCTTCCTCTCATCGCGTCGAAAAGTCTTGGACGCGTCCTAGCATCTTCGCAACCACGCTCCCTACCTTCGATCTATATCTATTAGCAAGCACATTAACCCCAAACATGTACGGCCGAGGTGGTCAACAGCAGTATCGCGGCGGTCTCTCGTCGTGGGACATGCAACCACAGTCCGGTTACGCGTCCTCCCCCTCTCAACAGCAGCAGCAACAGCAGCAGCAGCAGCAGCAGCAGCAAGCCAACTACTTTGGCAGCAACATCGTGTCTTCTGGCTCTCGAGATGATGTCGGCGGCTACGGAGGCTACGCGTCTGGAGGCAGCAGCTCGCATTTCCCCTCCAACTATCAGCAGCAGCAAAGCGGCACGCCCGCTTCCTCCTCATCTGCAGGTAGGGGTGCCAACACCTTTGCTAGCTTCTCGGAAGCTTTCCAAGGCGGATACAATGGCAATCAGCTCATGCCCCAGCAGCAACAGCAAGCTCAGCAGGCTCAACAGCAACAACAGCCGGCGTCGCAGCAACAGCGACCTCCACCTACCGCCTCGTATCAGAGCGAGCACAGTTACTACCAGCCTTCCGAGTCGTACGGTGCTGCCAACCGTGATCGTTCCGCTCAGTCATTAGGCTATTCCAGCGATGGTTTGGCCGGTCAGACTGCCAATGCTGCCGGTGCTAGGGATTCGCGTTTCGACAACGGCTACTCTTCCAGTAGTCAGCAGCAAGACTGGAGCAACTATCCCACCTCTTCTGCTGCTGCTGCTGTTGCTGCTCCTTCACGCGATGGTAGTGCTGCTTCTCGCTCGCAATCCGGTGCAACAGCTGCGGCTCAAACCGCTCCATCCGCTTCACCCTCCGTAGCACCTGCCGCGACAGCAGCAGCGAACACGCCTAAGAAGCGCGGGCGTAAGCCGAAGAACGCCACTGCAGCATCCGCACCAGCACCCGCCAACGCCAACGCCAACGCCAACGCCAACGCCAACGCCAACGTCAAAGCAGGCTATCCAGTGCAACAGCAAGCCAACTTCATAGATCCATCCGCTACCATGATCAAAGCTGGCGCTGGTCCCAACGGTGCTCCACCCAAAGGCAAGAAAGCCACTGCCGCTGCTGCACAGGCCGCCGCCGCCCAACTACCTCCCTCTCCTGCAGTCACCGGTATCCGACCAAAAGGCAAACGCGGACGTAAATCCAAAGCCGAACTCGCCGCAGAAGCCGCCGCCGCTGCCGCTGCTCCTCCTCCCGCACCCGTCTCTGCATCAGATACATCCATGAACCCTCCCCCCGCTAAACGCAAACGTCGAACCAAACTCGAAATGCAAGCTGCTCGAGCAGCAGAAGCCGAAGCAGCAGCACAACAAGCAGCCCTCCAAGCCGCAGGTCAAGCTCCAATTCCCACCAAAGACCCCAGAGGGAGAAAACCTGGTTCGAAAGGTAGCTTTACTTTGGCATGGAATAAGCAGATGGTTTCCAAGGTTCAAGGTCTGAGAGTCTTTGGGAGTATGATCGAGGATGACGCGACACAGCAAGAATTTGATAAGAGTATAATGGATTTGTTGAGTATGTTGGATGGCAAGTTGCCTGAGGATAAGGCTCACGCTGGGGGTGCGGGTGAGTCCGCATGATCCTCACTCTGTATCAAGGGAGAACATCATTCTCCCCCCTCTTTCGTACTTCTTTGGCTCTTTGTTGTTCTTTGCTTCGTTTCATATATCACGGTCTTGTATGGCTTCTTTCCTGGATCACACTCTCGCCCACAACACAAGTCGATGTTGTTGTTGTTTATACTGTAAACCTTAAATCCCTGCAGCGCTCTTGGCTGTACTGTAATGGAGACTCGAAACGTATATCCCCCCAACGCCCTCGCTCTTGACTGTGATCAAACTCGCAACACATGAAAGCATCGAACTGCGCTGAATGAATCTCTGACGTAAAAGCAATCGCGGATTTCCATAGCAATCAGCTATGCTGTGTAGGCTATCGACGTCTTCTCGGACCGTCGTACATGGGTGAATTTAAGCCTTAGAAATAAGAAGCCAACTTATTCCAAATCTGCTCCCTAACTCCTCTCTCCCTCACGTTCTTACTCAACTCCAACTTCTTCAATCCGGCAGTCAGCAGATTCGCTTTTCCCGTCTCTAAATACCTCTGCCCCTCCGCATTTGCCAACACATAGAACGGCAACTCGGCGTATCCACCTGGACCAGGCTTACTTGCCACCATTGGTCCAGCTAGCTTCCCTGCTAGTACCAACAATGGGTTGTGTCCCTGATTGCTGAGTGCATCGGTATTGACGAATCCTGGGAAAGCATGGGTGATGGTTAGGTTTGGGTTTTGCTCTGCAAGGTGTTGACAAGCAGCGTCGAGGATTGAGGCGGATTGGGCTCCCTTTTTCATCAATCCTAGAGGTCCGCCCCACCAACTACCGCTAGCTTTGGCTTTGGTGAAGTCCAAATCGTTCACATCGACGGGTGAAGAGGAACCTTGACCAGGAGCAGCAACCATCAACACACCTCTCTTGATCGTTCCTGCTTCGACGAGTTGTTTTGCTAGACCAACACGAGAGAGGACTTGAACAGCGAATTGCTTTTCGATACCGTCGGAAGTGGTTTCGATAGCACCGTGGGGTGGACCTCCTTGCGTTTCGATCAGGTAATCGATCCCACCCTTTCCTGCTTTCGAGGTGATGTCTGAAGCGACGGATTTGAGTGCGGTGGGGGATGAGAGGTCTGCTTTGAAGAACTCATGTTCCGCATTGTGACTGGTGGGAGAGGAGGTGGCTGATCGACGTTGAGCTTCAGAAGAAGCCTTTCTAAGCGTCTCGAGTACTTGATTTGCCTTTTCTTCGTTTCTCCCGATAAGCCATACTGAAGCTCCAGCCAGAGCGAATCGAAGTGCAATACCAGCACCAATGCCTTGGGTACCTCCTGAGATGAGTGCTCGTTGACCGGTGATGTCAACTGAAGCATTCTTCTTTGCGAGTTCGCTGTACGATACCATCTTGTCCTCGTCGTTGGCGGTGGTAGATGAGAGCGAGGGTGGTTGGTGGTTTATGCAATTGCGCGTTGTGGAGGCATATCCCGCACGCACGAACACGACCTTTTTTCTATTATTATTTTTTTGCTTTTTTTTTTTACTTTTTTTTTTTTTTTTTTTTTTTTTTTTTTTTTTTTTTTTTTTTTTATTTTTTTTTATACTTTTTTACTTTTTTACTTTTTACTTTAATTTGAAACCCGACTTCCGACCTTCCTAAACACCTCCGTCCATCTCTTTCTTCCAACCATACATCTCATATAGAACATCGTGCAAGGATGGCAGGAAACAATAAATTGCCAGCGGAAGGAGGCGAAAAGATCAACCTCCTTTTCTGCTGCTTAGGAAACATTTGCCGTTCTCCTATGGCTCGTAAGTTCAACCCTTTTACCTCACCGCTTTTCACTGTTCCACCCCACTAGCCCACCCGTTTTATCCCTCCCTTACCCTCACCCTGGCGTAGTGGCTGTATTCGAAGACACAGCAACAAAAGCCGGCGTCCGGCGCCACTTCGGCAAACTAGATTCCTGCGGTACCGCCAACTACCACGAAGGCGAAGAGCCGGACGAACGTACCACAGCTCTCCTCCGTCGCCGCAACATCCCATACGACGAGAACAACTTCGCCCGGGGTATCACTCAAGAAGATTACCACTTTTACGATTACATATTCGGAATGGATACTAACAACGTACGCAACCTCAAAAGTATGCAGCCAAAAGGTAGCAAAGCAGTGGTAAGGCTGTTTGGTGATGTGGATAATGGTAAACCCATTGCGGACCCATACTATATTGGTGGGAAAGACGGGTTTGAAGATACATATAAGCAGGTGTTGAGATACTCGAGAGCTTTCTTGCAGGAATTGAGGCTGGGAGATCAGGCTAAGTCCTAGAGAAGATGTTTCGAAATAGATTCATGTTCCGGCAGCAACAACGAGGTGTGTGTCTTGTGAGATGGTACGAGCTTAAGTGGTGTCAGGGTTAGGGTGGAGGCCCGTGTTCCAACCGAGCCCCGACTTGAGGTTGTGTTCAGTTTAGCTAGGGCCGGTGTTGTGACAAGAATGATTGACTGGCATGGGCTCCCTTTCGAGACGGAGTCCGTTCACGGCCTTTGAGACGATCTAATGCTTCACACTCATGTCTCTGTCACGGCAGCAACTTGGGTTCGAAGACCTCCGGTCTCAACGGGGCAGGATCCCTAACCGGCTGTCGGTTTAAATGGCGGAGACTCAAAATCTTGGCGAGACCAAAGTAGTCCCAAGACTCTCGTTCGGCCTATGCACGCACACGTTGAGCAGGCATGACATCTTTGACCCAGATATTCCATGACATTACATCTACACCAAACGCTGGCTCCTCTTGTCCTCCACCAACTGTGTTACCGTCTTCTGTTCTGTTGCTTTCGATGGTGCGGATGCAGAGGCTGTCGATCGCTGCCCGAGCGCAGCTTGAGCCTCCTCCTTCAACCTAGCTTCCCTCCTTGCCAAACGCTTAGCTTTCATCTCATCCAACGCTGACTTGACGTCGTCAGAGTTTCGTGGTGGTCTGTACAGGCTTTCTTCTTTTGGCCAGAATTGATCTCGAATCTGCCACAACCATAACAAGAAGATAAGTCAGTAAGCGAGACCAGGAACAGCGAAGAAGACAGCAGTACCTACCGGAAGAACATTGCGATGGTACCATTCAGGATCACCGTAGTGTACCATGACCGCTAGTGGGAAGAAGAGGTACATGCCGAACTTGAAGAGTTCGAGATTGGGGCCGGCCATGGTTGCAGAGAGTAAGAGATATCGATTGTCAATCTGATTGTTCGTGGCTTGGCTGAAGAATTGGAGGCGAGCTAAGGATGTGGTTCTGCTGCGCCCAAAGGTGTCGATGTCTTTATGTGAGGTGGATATTGGTGTGGAGCCAAGTTGATGGAGCTAGCAACGGCCTGCTGACGAGAGCGAGCTTATATTTTGGCGTGAGGCGAGACCCGAATGCCTCCACTCTGCCACTTTCTGTCAACCGCATTCAATCCATCGTCTTGACAGCTCAGATCTCCTGGTACGACACACGACTAGCCGCTTCAGGCACAGAACACAGGCAGCCATTGTAACCAACGCATCAGATGCGATCCCCTGAATATGAACAAATCTAAAGGCCGTATCTATGGGCAGAATGAATGTTACATGCTATATATAGACGTTGTAACGGATCGGGAAGGAGGATCTACTAGCTTCCGTACAAAGCAACGATAGGAATTCGAAAGCTCTCGTGCGGCATCTATTCGCACGAGAAAGTGCTTAGGCGTGACACCGTATCTATGGGCAGAATGAACTATTCATCTACCAACCTAGGTCGTCACCACCAATCTGGTCGTCACCACCAGCATAGTTCTTAGCACCAGCCTCATCTGCCGTATATCCATTCAACTCGTTCGATAAATCCGGCACATCCCCACTTCCCGAGCTCTTTTGATCAGCAAACAATGCATCCCTACCCGCAGTCGAACCATAGATCTTACTAGCACTGTGACCGACCCCATCGATCATCGTCAACGAATGCTTCACCTCTACACCCCTGAACCTAGTCGCCACCATAATGCTGGATCTCGGGATGTTCGTCTGGCTTGTCTGGCCGTATTTGGGGTCAAGGGCTGGGAAGGTACCAGGGAACTTGGTAAGCTGATCTGGAGAAGTACCTCCGGATAAGAGATGGATGTACTTCCAGTAAGCAAGGCTTCGGTTTCGACGCTTTTCACCACCGACAGCATGAGCCATGCAAGTCTGATCGCCATTTTTTGATGCCTCGTCGGCAATACCAACCACGTAGCGCACCTCCTTCGATACGTACGACTTGAACAACGCTGGTGCTCGAGAAGCCGACAACCCGGCATAAGGAGCGGTGTATTTGTTAAGCCCATACCTGTAGTCGTTCCATGTCGGGCAAGATGCAGTGTCCACACCTACTGGTCGATCCGGTGTGAAGTACAACTCGGAACTTGGATCTCCCACAACGTATCTCACACTGAGTCTAGTAGGATCCGGGTTGGACTTTCCTAACACAGCATATCGCTGCAACATCTGTGCTCCACCACCATGAGCTACGAACGTAATCGTTTTCATCTTCGGATACGCGCCCTTATCACTGAACCGGTTCAAAAACATATCTAGCACTGCAAAACTCGACACTCCACTCCCGGCAGGATGCGTCGACCCTTCGCCGGCAGTCCATGCATTCGGATCTCCCCATCCCAGCTGACTCGCATCGTACGCCTTTGCATCTTCTAGCGTGCTAAAGAAAAGAGGTGCAACACGGATCGAGTTAGGCCGGGCAGAACCAAGACCAGCATCACGTGCTTTGGCCCAAGCATTGTTGAGGATAGTCCAGTAGGCGTTGGCGTTACGATTGACACCGTGGATGATGATGAATGCTGATTCGGCGTCTGCTTCGTCGTAAGGAGCTTTGGAGTACCAGGTGAAGATGGATGAAGTGGATGTGACGGCGAGTGAGCGAGGGTAGGCTCCGTGGGGGCAAGAGCCGACGGAGGAGAGGGAATGGTCACCGATGGTGCCGCGGACATCGGTAAATGCATCGCGTTTGAGGAGGGTGGTGGCTGATGCGATGGTAGGGCTCAGTGTGAGAGTGAAGAATAGGGCGAGGGTGAGAAGAAGGAGGGTAGAGAGGCAAGGCAAGGTGGCTCGCCGGGATGGCGAGGAGGGTATGCTGGGGATCATGTTGTCGAGTGGGTGTTGAGGGGGTGCTGATATTAGACGAGACTGAGATGGAGAGGGTACTTGTATGATGGTGGTGGTGGCACCGAGGTCGATGCTGAGCGACGTATCGAGAAGCTGCCCAGGACAAACGAATGTGAGGACAGATGAACGGAAATGATGGTGAGGAGGAAAGTAGACATCTAGAAGACCAGCAACAAGAGGTGCTCGACTATCACGCAGCAGACATATTGTACCACAGTAGAGGCAGCAAAGCAAACACAGGACAGCCAACGGAAGGGCACATCAGGTGAAAGGGGCACAGCTGCAACCCTCTGACAGCTACCGAAGTTGCAGTTAGTCGGCTGCGAAGGGCACCAGCGTCTGCCATTCATAACAGCAGACACACAAGGCGAGGCGACAGGCAGTCGAAGGACCTCGAACCCATATCGGCATTACTCACATCGGCATTCAACTTGCACCAGGGAAGGGTCGTTTGGCGCCAAGCGAGACGTTGGGAAGAACACCTCATCCCACTCGCTTCCCTCTGACTTAATCCCCGACAATTTCTCCTCGTCCCTTAACTCTGTTTATCCCTGGTTGATCATCTCGCACCCTTACCATCTCATCACTTGTAACCCTTTGTTGTTTTCGAAGAATAGATCTCTCCATCGAATGAGATCTAGTTCAAGGTAGGCCGATATTTCCAGGGTCTAACATGTTAGGTCGGAGTATTCGTGACCAGAAGACCGAGATTAAGCGAGGTGTCGGCGCGACCTAGATAACAACTTACTCTCGAGGATTGACACCGAGATATGAAGTATGCCGAGTGGTGCGTTGGCATGGCAACGCTTATGAAAGGGGATGCCACTGGACAGACGGTTAAGAGTTACATGGGAAAGGATACACGGCTCAAGTGAAACAACACAGCCAGTGTCAGCGGCGGTGATAAGGTATATATACTCATGTTTTGTAGCCCCCATTGTTTGGTAATAACTAAGACTTGTAGTAAGTTAGTTACATATCTGTCCGTAGGGAGCCTGATTGTCGCCCCAACGAAGTGGTGTTTCTACTTTCAACTGATCTTCTCAGTAAGGACTCATCAGAAAAATACTCTGCGGAGTCTGTAAGCAGGGATTGCTCAGCAACACAACAGCTCGGTGTTCGAACTGAATCGGCTTCAAATGATCGACACTCGATTCAAGCCAGCCCTTTCTCTTCTCTTCGTCCAAAGGTGCGGGTCGGAAGGATGAGTTGTGATTGCGCTTGCACCTCTTCCTTCCGCCGGCGATCAACAAGTAAGTGACCGGAACTGGGAGATGAGAAACGTCAAGCACATTCCTTTTTGACCGTGTGGTTGCAGAATGACACCTACAGCGATGTGCAAGCGCAACGGGGACTTTCATCTGGCGGGTGGGTGTTTGAGGCGTAGACTTGGCGAGGTTATGAAGATCCCACATCCCACATCCCACATCCCGGAGACAGCATCGTACAGCTCGGCAAACAAAAGAGAGAATTCCCAACGTCAAAAGTGCCAGCCAAGAGGGAGCAGACACATGTCCTTTGAGACCAACACACACACACACGCACGCCAAGGTGTCGATACATGCTGCGATACCGTATCTACTCCGTGCCAAGACTGTCGATCAGGTACGGTGCATACGATACAAGTGCGCTGTTTTTGACCATGGTCGACGGTGGTAAGGCCGACATCGAGATCCGAACGTAATCTGTATCGGGTTCGGTCTTGCCGATACAAATCCAGGGGCAAGATCGCATCGGGCAAGCCTGTAGCAATTGCTTGCAGAGATGGGCGCTGTCTGCGTCTCTCCTGCTTGATTGAGTCTCAGCGTTTCGTATGACTGGCAGCCGCTTTCTCCTTTTTTTACTTTTGGAAGAGACATCCTAGTTTCACCATCTGCATTGGCCCTTTGTCCAGAGAGCTTCTTGCAGATCACTGACTCGAACCATCGGCATCCAATTTGCATAGCGGCCAGCTCTGACAAGCATGTCTAGTAACGAATAGCCCTGCGAGGTCATTCTTGTGCGAGTATGAGGGTGAAAGTGAATTTAGGAGTTCTTCCGTCATTGTTGCCAGTGGTCGATCTCACAAATGTTATCCCTAGCCAAATTCAGGAGCTTCGGAAGCGTCTCTGACCCTGAAACGCGCAGGCCAACACTTGGCTTGTTGGCTTTCAACCGAGCTGAGCTTTGCCAGACCCACCATCTTGACCTGCCATCATCCTCATCATCACTTCATCTTCCTTCCCATCATCAGCTAGCACGTATAGGCACGTTTGCACCCAAGACAGCAACAGGCATTACCGACACGGCCCCTCTGCCTCCCCCACGAGGCCTGAACTTGCATGGCTACTCCAATCTTCTAACCAATCTCCGCCCTCCCCCAGATCGAAGCTCGGGAGAGGAGCAACATGGAGGACGAGGCGAGCGGCACCAACGGCCGTCTGGCCGGCCTCCAGGATGGAGATGCTGACATGCCCTCCAAGAGTGGTCTCACATCCGCCGACATGTCGCCCTCTTGCTCGGCAGCACGCTTCAATGACCTCTTCGACACATCGCGACTCAAAGCATACTTTCGCTCGCTTCTGCCCATTCTTCTCGACTCAGACCCCGACATTATATCCGATCTCTTGCTCGATACACCAAACTGGAAGGAGCAGGCCTCCATCTTCGCTTCCGACCCCAGCATCATCACCGCATACCTCAACAAAATCCGACGTCAGCATGTCTCCTCTGATGCGCCAGAGGATCAACTCTTCGATTACGAAATGTCGACACAGGCTTCCTACTCTTCCCGTCACGTCTCCAGTATCGCTCTCATCAAGAGAGTCTCGGTGCTCGATGCTACGGTGCCACTGCCACATCAGCTACATGTGCTCACACTTTTCGGTCCAGCCGCTGCTGCGGCTTCTTCGGATCCCACTGCGAAGACCAGCGCCTCCGCCAACAACGGCAGCACCAACCTCGACGATACAGACGGCACATCAGCAGCATCCTCAGTACGAGAAAGCCCCTACGAAGCCCTTCATAGTGTCGTTCACAACGTCATGTCACCTTGGTTCGACGCCTTCGTCGCTAGCAAAGCACCCAAGGACAAAGCTCTCGTCTCAGGCGCAAAGACAAAGGACAGCGACACCAAGATGGGCATCCCAATGGCCAAGCGCAAATTTGCCGAGCTCGAGCTGAGCCTCTTCCACTTGCAACAGAACGTCGAGATCCCAGACATCACTCTCACTATTCATCCGGTCGTTCGTGCTGCTGTCGACCGGTGTCACGCTGCCGGCACTCGTGTCAGTGTCGAAGCCGTCGAGCCCGCATCGCTTCTGCAAGACTCTTCCTTCCTCAACAAGCTTCAGTCCGATGTCAACTCCTGGGTCAAGGAGGTCCAGACTATCACCAAACTCGACCGCAGCGTCGCATCTGGCACCGCTTCCCAAGAGATCAACTTCTGGCTCTCCATGGAAAAGGCGCAAGAGTCGATCGAACAACAGCTTCGCTCCGATCCCATCGTCCTCACCCTCGACATTCTCAAGCACGCCAAACGTTTCCACGCTACCGTCTCCTTCCTCGCAGACACCGGTCTCAAGGACTGTGCCGAAAAGGTGCACAACTACAACCTCCTCATGAAGGACTTCCCCATCAACGAGCTTCTCTCTGCCACCGACCTCGACAAGTGCGCCGACGCCCTCAGTGCCATCTTCAACCATCTCAACAAGAAGCTACGTATCAGCCCGTACCCCGTCAAGCGTGCCTTGCCACTCGTCGAGGCCATCAGCAGAGATCTCAACGACACACTGCTCAAAGTGCTGGCTTCGCAAAGAATCATGTGGCAGGAATTTCCGCGCTTCTGGGAGACCGTTTCCGCTGCTGCCGAAGTCTTCCAGGTATGGGACGAGCTGATGAAGGACTTTGTCAACATCGCTCGAGAAGTCACCCGCAAACGTTCCGAGAAATTCTTGCCTATCAAAATCAACCCGGCCCATGCAAAGCTTCGCGAGCGTCTCAACTACATCGGTGCTTTCCGCAAGACGCACGAGCAGCTTCGAGCGATGGTCAGTTCAGGCAAGGGACTCACTATGCCCGGACAAGTCGGTGCTGGTGTCGCTGCCTCTGCCAACGATCGACAGGTGGCTACGCAGAACTTGGCAGGTATCGAGATGAGCGAAGAGATTCGTGCGGCATACGACCAGGTCAAGGTGATCGATGTGCTCGACGTCTCGCAGCAAGGCACCGAGATCTGGACGACCGCCGAAGGAGCATATAACGAGCGAGTGGCACGTGTCGAGAATAGCCTCATCGCACGCTTGCGTGACTTGCTCGGTCAGGCTAAATCGGCGCGAGAGATGCTTCGTGTCTTGTCGCAGTTCAACAGCCTCTTCGTCCGTCCTAAGGTGCGCGGCGCTGTGCAAGAATACCAGCAGCAGCTCCTCAACAGCGTCAAGTCCGACATCAAGGCGCTCCACGACAAGTTTAAGGCGCAGTACCGTCCCTCCGAGGCCAACCACATGAGTCAACTTCGTGACGTTCCAGAGATCGCAGGTGCCATCATCTGGGCTCGACAAATCGAACGCCAGCTCAACGTCTACATGAAGCGTGTCGAGGACGTTCTCGGCAAAGGTTGGGAGCTGTATGCTGAAGGTCAGAAGCTGCAGAGCGAGAGTGAGACCTTCCGTCGCAAGCTTGACACAAGACCGCTCTTCGACAGCTGGCTTCACGACATCAACCGAAGAGATATGAGCATCTCCGGGCGTGTCTTTGATGTCACCAAGAACCGCGCTGCCGGCAACGCTTTCCAGCTCAGTGTCAACTTTGACGGTCACACTATCTCGCTCTTTAAAGAGGTCCGCAACCTTATCTGGCTCAACTTCCAGATCCCACACGCTATCACCAACTTAGCGAAAGACGCGAAGAAGGTCTATCCGCACGCCGTGTCGCTAATGGAGACCGTCCGCACCTACAACCAGACTTGCAGCTTCGTGCGTGCCAACCCCGAGATCACTTGCCTCATTGCTCAAGTCTACACCGATGCACACCAGCTCATCTCGCAAGGCATGACCTTGCGATGGGAACACTTTGCCAACATCTACGAAAGCGCCCGTGCTGCAACCTATCTGCCAGGGTCGGGTGGACAATCGGGCCGAGAGAATCGCCAGGTAGCCTTTGTGCGTCAGTTCGCCAGCATCGTCAGCCTCTTCCAGGACAAGACTGCTGAGCTGATCGAGATTCAGCGTGACATGCACACGACCATCGACGAGCTCGGCAAGTGTGCCTACAGCACCGAAGCTTTCGCTGAGCGACTGCAGAAGATTCAGAACACCATCGACAAGCTCAACCTCGAAGGCTATCCAAACCTGGAGGAATGGGTCGGCAACCTTGACCGTCTCATCGAGGATGTATTGCTTCGTAGACTCAAGTCGGTCAGCATGGCGTGGTGCAAGGCGTTCGTGCGTCATGGCTTGAACCAGAGCGGCGGCTCGTCAGGCCGTGGCGACCGAGGCGCAAAGAGTTTGGCTGTCAATGGTGCTGGTACTGCGAACGGCAGCGATGCCAATGCTGCAAACGATCACATCACGTTGCAGCCTATCACGCTCGAGGTGCGCATCCAGAACCAAGTCATCTTCCTGGACCCTCCTCTCGAGCATGCACGTGCTTCGTGGTTCCGACAGCTCCACGAGGTCTTGTCGGTGGTCTGCTGCCTTACAAGGATTCAGAGCTCGCGCTACGAGATTGGCCTGCAAATGCGCGGCAAGCAACGTGTCACCGAGCAAGACTACACCTCGCTGCTCACTTGCTTCCAGGACGGCTCGCTCGAGCGGCCTTTTGTGTTGATCGAGGCTAAGCTGGCTGAAGTCGGCAGCTACGTCGCCAAATGGCTTCAGTTCCAGTCGTTGTGGGATCTCGAGTCCGAGCATGTCTTTGCCCGCCTCGGCGATTCGTTGGCCAGCTGGCAACAGCTGCTTGCTGAGATCCGCCGCACACGAGCCACCTTTGACAACTCGGACACACAGCGTTCCTTTGGCATCTGTGTTATCGACTACGACCAGGTGCAGAGCAAGGTCAATGCCAAGTACGATACCTGGCAACGCGACATTCTCAATCGCTACGGCACCAAGCTCAGCGCTGCAATGCGAGAGGTGCATGCCGCCGTCGCCAAAGCACGTGTCGAGCTTGAGCAGCACAGCATCGAGGGCAGCTCGACTGCTCAGGCCGTCACCTTCATCACCTTTGTGCAGGACCTAAAGCGCAAAACCAAAGTGTGGCAGCCTCAGATTGAGCTCTTTGGCACAGGACAGAAGACGCTCGAGCGACAGCGCTACATGTTCCCACAGGACTGGCTGTACGTTGATCAGGTCGACGGCGAGTGGAGTGCTTTCCAAGAGATCCTCAGCCGCAAGAATGCAAGCATCCAGGAACAGCTCGCTGGTCTGCAGATGAAGATTATCGCCGAGGACAAGATCGTCAGTGACAAGATCTCGACCATCATCAGCGAGTGGGAGCAGCAGAAGCCAATCCAGGGTACTCTCAAAGCAGGTGGTGCGATGAACACCATCAACGTTTTCGAGACACGTGTCACCAAGCTCGCCGAAGACCGCGCTTTGGTTGTTCGTGCCAAGGAGGCGCTCGACTTGGAGCACACGCAGGATGACCGTCTCGAGCCTGTGTTCGAAGAGTTGCGCGATCTCAAGACGGTCTGGACGGCTCTGTCGGGCACATGGAGCCAGCTTGCAGAGATCCGTGACACCAACTGGAGCAACGTCCAGCCTCGAAAGCTTCGACAGCAGCTCGATGGCTTGCTGGCTCAAACGCGAGACATGCCCAGTCGCATGCGTCAGTATGCCGCCTTCGAGTATGTCCAGGAGCATCTGCGTGCTCTGCTCAAAAGCAATGCTGTCATCTCTGACCTCAAGTCCGAGGCAATGCGCGAACGTCACTGGCGCTCGCTCTTCAAGCAACTTAAGGTGCAGGATCACTACTCGGCCAGCAGCATGACTCTCGGCACTGTGTGGGATCTTGACCTCAAGAGGCACGATGCCATCATCAAGGCCGTCGTCGCTCAAGCGCAGGGAGAGTTGGCGCTCGAAGAGTACCTCAAGCAGGTGCGAGAGGCTTGGACCAACTACACGCTCGACCTCGTCAACTACCAGAACAAATGCCGACTCATTCGTGGCTGGGACAACCTCTTTCAGCTCGCTGGCGACAACCTCAACGCACTACGAGCCATGTCGATGAGTCCACACTACAAGGTCTTTGAGGAAGAGGCTTCGCTTTGGGAGGACAGGCTGTCGAAGATCTCCGTGCTCTTCGACACATGGATCGACGTTCAGCGTCAGTGGGTCTACTTGGAAGGCATCTTCAGCGGTAGTGCTGAGATCCGACACATCTTGCCCGTCGAAAGCTCGCGCTTCCAAAACATCAACACCGAGTTCCTCACGGTGATGAAGAAGGTCTACAAATCGCCCTTTGTGCTCGACGTACTCAACATCCCTGGGGTCCAGAAGAGTCTCGAACGTCTCGCCGACTTGCTCAGCAAGATCCAGAAGGCGCTTGGAGAGTACCTCGAGCGAGAACGTGCCAACTTCCCTCGCTTCTACTTTGTGGGTGACGAAGATCTGCTCGAGATCATCGGTAACTCGAAGGATACAGCGCGCATTCTTAAGCATCTCAAGAAGATGTTTGCTGGTATTGCGACGGTCGAGCTCGATGAGGGTGCGGGTATGCTGACGGCCATGGTCAGTCGTGAGGGCGAGTCGGTGCCTTTCCGCACTCCCATTGCGCTCAAGGACTACCCCAAGATCAACGACTGGCTTGCCAAGGTGGAGAGCGAGATGCGCGTCTCTCTTGCTGAACTTCTGTCTGAAGCTGCGGCTCAGCTGGAGTCGTTCTACACGAGTTCCGAGTCGCTCACCTTGGATAGCTTTCTTGCGTGGATTGCCAAGTATCCGGCTCAGCTTGTGGTGCTGGCTGTACAGGCAAGATGGACAGCCATGGTGGATGAAGCCTTCGAGAATGGCACCGCTGGCCTACAGCATCCTCTCGACGTCGTGTTGCGCGGTCTCGACTTGCTCGCCGACACGGTCTTGACCGATGTGGAAGCATTGCAACGACGCAAGTGCGAGCATCTCATCACTGAGCTTGTCCATCAGAGAGATGTCATCCGTCTTCTCATGTCGCAGCGTGTCGAAAACGCTCGTGACTTCAACTGGCTCTCGCAGATGCGCTTCTACCTCAACCGTTCAATCGAGAAGCCACTCGACCGTCTCACGGTTCAGATGGCCAACGCCACCTTTCCTTACGGCTACGAGTACCTCGGTGTGCCTGATCGCCTTGTTCAGACGCCATTGACCGATCGTTGCTACCTCACACTGACGCAGGCGCTCAACTACAAGCTCGGTGGTGCCCCCTTCGGTCCCGCTGGTACCGGTAAGACCGAATCCGTCAAAGCGCTCGGTGTTCAGCTCGGCATGTTCGTCATTGTCTTCTGTTGTGACGAGACATTCGACTTCCAAGCCATGGGTCGTATCTTTGTCGGTCTCTGCCGTGTCGGAGCTTGGGGCTGTTTCGATGAGTTCAATCGACTCGAGGAGCGAATTCTGTCAGCGGTCTCGCAGCAGATTCAGAGCATTCAGCAAGGATTGGCTGACTCGGCCAGCAATGCCAGTGCCATCGCCAACGGCACTCCGAATGCGAACGCAAGCAACGAGATCGAGCTTCTCGGCAAACGTGTCCCGCTCAACGACCGTGTCGGTATCTTTATCACCACCAACCCTACCTATGCTGGTCGATCGAACTTGCCGGATAATTTGAAGAAGTTGTTCCGTAACATGGCTATGACGCATCCCGACCGCGAACTTATTGCGCAGGTCATGCTCTTCTCGCAAGGTTTCCGTCGAGCTGAAACACTAGCGTCGAAGATCGTGCCCTTCTTCAACCTTTGTCTGGAGCAGTTGAGTCCTCAGCCGCATTACGACTTTGGTCTGCGTGCGCTCAAGGCGGTGCTTGTCAGTGCTGGTCAGCTTAAGCGCGAACACATGCTCAATGGTGGTGATTCCAACGCTGAAATGGAGGTCTCAATCGATGTTTCGGAGCAAGAGATCCTCATTCAGAGTGTCTCGGAGACGATCGTGCCGAAGCTCATCGCCGAGGATGTACCGTTGCTCAAGAGTCTCTTGAGCGACGTCTTCCCCGGTGTAGAGTACAAGCCTGTCAATCTGGACGTGCTGCGTGGTCACATTGCTGCCGTTTGCGCCGAGCGTCACCTGGTGGAAGGCGGTTTGTGGACGGAGAAGGTATTGCAGCTCTACCAGATTCAGAAGATCTCGCACGGTCTCATGCTCGTCGGACCTTCAGGTACGGGTAAGACGCAGGCTTGGCAGGTGCTGCTTGCTGCGCTCGAGAGGCTAGAAGGACAAGAAGGCGTCTCATACGTCATCGACCCTAAAGCGGTCTCGAAAGAGAGTCTCTACGGAACCCTCGACCCCACGACACGAGAGTGGAACGATGGTCTATTCACCCAAGTCCTGCGCAAAATCATCGACAATGTTCGTGGCGAAAGCAGCAAGCGACACTGGATCGTATTCGATGGCGATGTCGATCCTGAATGGGTAGAGAATCTCAACTCGGTGCTGGACGATAATAAGCTGTTGACGCTGCCCAACGGTGAACGTCTCAACTTGCCACCCAACGTGCGGATTATGTTCGAGGTCGAGTCGTTGAGGTATGCGACGTTGGCTACTGTTTCCCGTTGTGGTATGATTTGGTTCAGTGACGATATTGTTCGTCCATCGATGCTGTACTCGAGGTACTTGACGGGGTTGAGGTCGACGCCGATCGAGTTGGATGATGATGAACTGGCGAGCGCTGTTGCAAGTCGACGTGCTGCTGCTGCGGCGGCTAATGGAGCGGCACAATCGAGCGAGGTTAGCCCTGATCTGCTGGTGCAGAGAGCTGTTGCTGATGCACTGGCACCGTTCTTCGAGGATGATGGGCTGGTCAATGGTGCACTCGACTTTGCACGCAATCTGTTCCACATCATGGACTTCACCGAAGCTCGTGCACTCTCGACTCTCTTCTCGCTCATCAACAAGACCATCCGCAATATTCTGGACTACAACGCCCAGCATCCCGACTTCCCCCTCAATCCCGATCAGATCGAAGCCTACGCTACTCGTCGACTCCTCATCGCCATCGTCTGGGCTTTCACGGGAGATGCCAAACTCGACGTCCGTTCCGAGATGGGCGAATATCTTCGCTCGCACACCGGTGTCGATCTTCCACCTCTGGGCCCCGGGTCTTCTCTCATCGACTACGATGTTACCTTCGCAGGTCAAACCGTCGAATGGACCTCCTGGCTATCCAAAGTGCCCACCATCGAAATCGACACCTCTGCCGTCTCCTCCGCCGACGTCGTTGTTCCGACCATTGACACGGTCCGTCATGAAGACGTTCTCTACTCTTGGTTGTCCGAACATAAACCACTCATGCTCTGTGGTCCCCCCGGTTCCGGCAAAACCATGACACTGTTCTCCGCACTACGCAAGTTACCGGATATGGAAGTGGTCGGACTCAACTTTTCCTCGGCCACCACGCCCGAATTGATCCTGAAAACCTTCGAACAGTACTGCGAGTATCGTAAGACTCCCAACGGTATCGTTCTTTCTCCTACCCAGATTGGGAGATGGTTGGTGCTGTTTTGCGACGAAATCAACTTGCCGGCTACTGACAAGTATGGGACGCAACGAGTCATCTCCTTCTTGCGACAGTTGGTAGAGGGGGGTGGATTTTGGAGGATCAGTGATAAAGCTTGGGTCAAGTTGGAAAGGATTCAGTTTGTTGGTGCTTGTAATCCTCCCACTGACCCTGGAAGAGTTCCGTTGAGTCATAGGTTCTTGCGTCATGCACCGCTGATTATGGTGGATTATCCAGGAGAGATTTCGCTCAATCAGATCTATGGAACTTTCAATCGCGCTCTACTCAAAGTTACACCGAATCTCCGAGGGTATGCGGAACCACTCACAGCGGCTATGGTCGATTTTTACCTTGCCTCCCAGCGAAGGTTCACACCCGATATTCAAGCGCATTACATTTACTCTCCTCGAGAACTGACGCGATGGATGCGCGGAATCTACGAAGCTATCAAACCTCTCGAATCTCTCAGCGTGGAGGGATTGGTTAGGGTATGGGCTCACGAAGGATTACGGCTGTTCCAAGACCGATTAGTGGGGAGGGAAGAAAAAGTTTGGACGGATGAACAGATCGATTCTGTTGCCTCGGTACGTTTTCCCACCATCGATATCTCAACGGCGTTGGCTAGACCGATATTGTTTAGTAATTGGTTGAGTAAAGAGTATAAAAGTGTGGATAGGGAGAGTGTTAGGGAGTATGCGAAAGCTAGGTTGAAGGGGTATTCGGATGAAGAATTGGATGCATCTTTGGTTTTGCATGATTCGGTATTGGATTTGGCGCTGAGTTGTGATAGGGTTTTGAGACAACCTGCTGGACATTTGTTGTTGATTGGGGCGAGTGGATCGGGGAGAACGACTGTTACTAGGTTTTGCGCTTGGTTAAGAGGGTTGTCGCTCTTCTCCATCTCGACGTCGAATAAGTATACGGAGGAACATTTTGATGACGATCTCAGAGCCTTACTAAGGCGGGTGGGTTGTAAGGGCGAGAAAGTTTGCTGGACTATTGATGAAAGTCAAATGTCTAACGCTGCTCGGTTGGAGAAGTTGAATACACTGTTGGCTAATGCAGAGGTAGCAGGTCTGTTCGAAGGTGACGAACATTCTTCTCTGATCAGCTCACTAAAGGAAGCAAGTCAAAGAGAAGGTCTCATGCTAGATGCGGAGGAGGAGTTATTCAGTTTCTTCAGATCAGAGATCACGAAAAACTTGCACGTAACACTGACCATGAACCCGCCGGAGGGAGGTACGGGCGGAAAAGCTGCTGCCAGTCCAGCACTGTTCAACAGAACGAGCATTATGTTCTGTTGGTAAGCCTAAGTCCTGCTCCCATCTTTCGCTGGTCTGTTGCAATCTCACTGTTTGCAAGAACGAAAGGCTGTGATCTGGCGCCTGTAACTCGTGTTCCCCAAGACATTGTCTTGTGTGCTTGTTCAATCACGGCAGGACGCCAACTATCAAAGCAGCATGGGTTGACATCTCTTACCACCCCCACTCACTGACTCCACCGGTGAAACAGCCTGGTTAGCCGTATAAACCACGACGCAAAACGGACCGAGAGCGAGCACCAGCTACCAACCGAGTTCTGTACTGATACCAGCAACCCACCTTAGCGTTACAACTATGACGTTCATAATCGCAACTCGGCTCAAAAGCAGTAAGACTGAGACACAGACACTGCACAACACGAGCAACACGTAGAGATTGACACTGAGACACAGACACTGCACAACACGAACAACACGAGCAACACGTCGAGATAAGAGGCAAATTAACGCCCATCAAAGGGTTAACGTTGTAGTCATACAAGATGATATTTGTCAAATGAGCCGGAGCTCGACCTCAAGCATCGCTACGCGGACTCAATTACCTCCACGCAAGCGCAAGACGAGGTGCAAGGTGCTCTCCTTCTGGATGTTGTAGTCGGAAAGAGTACGGCCGTCCTCAAGTTGCTTTCCTGCAAAGATCAATCGCTGCTGGTCAGGAGGAATACCTTCCTTGTCCTGGATCTTAGCCTTGACATTGTCGATGGTGTCCGACGACTCGACCTCAAGAGTGATGGTCTTGCCAGTCAACGTCTTGACGAAAATCTGCATACCACCACGAAGACGGAGGACGAGATGCAAGGTGGACTCCTTCTGGATGTTGTAATCCGAGAGAGTTCGGCCATCTTCCAACTGCTTCCCGGCGAAGATAAGACGCTGCTGGTCAGGAGGAATACCTTCCTTGTCCTGGATCTTGGCTTTCACATTGTCAATCGTGTCAGAGGACTCGACTTCGAGAGTGATGGTCTTGCCAGTCAACGTCTTGACAAAGATCTGCATACCACCGCGCAATCGCAATACAAGGTGCAAGGTGCTCTCCTTCTGGATGTTGTAGTCGGAAAGAGTGCGGCCGTCCTCGAGTTGCTTTCCTGCAAAGATCAATCGCTGCTGGTCAGGAGGAATACCTTCCTTGTCCTGGATCTTAGCCTTGACATTGTCGATGGTGTCAGAGGACTCAACTTCCAAAGTGATCGTCTTTCCTGTCAGAGTCTTGACGAAAATCTGCATACCACCACGGAGACGGAGAACCAAGTGGAGGGTCGATTCCTTCTGGATGTTGTAGTCCGAGAGGGTTCGACCGTCCTCAAGCTGCTTTCCGGCGAAAATGAGACGCTGCTGGTCAGGTGGGATACCTTCCTTGTCCTGGATCTTGGCTTTCACATTGTCAATCGTGTCAGAGGACTCGACTTCGAGAGTGATGGTCTTGCCAGTCAACGTCTTGACAAAGATCTGCATACCACCGCGCAATCGCAATACAAGGTGCAAGGTGCTCTCCTTCTGGATGTTGTAGTCGGAAAGAGTGCGGCCGTCCTCGAGTTGCTTTCCTGCAAAGATCAATCGCTGCTGGTCAGGAGGAATACCTTCCTTGTCCTGGATCTTAGCCTTGACATTGTCGATGGTGTCCGACGACTCGACCTCAAGAGTGATGGTCTTGCCAGTCAACGTCTTGACGAAAATCTGCATACCACCACGAAGACGGAGGACGAGATGCAAGGTGGACTCCTTCTGGATGTTGTAATCCGAGAGAGTTCGGCCATCTTCCAACTGCTTCCCGGCGAAGATAAGACGCTGCTGGTCAGGAGGAATACCTTCCTTGTCCTGGATCTTGGCTTTCACATTGTCAATCGTGTCAGAGGACTCGACTTCGAGAGTGATGGTCTTGCCAGTCAACGTCTTGACAAAGATCTGCATACCACCGCGCAATCGCAATACAAGGTGCAAGGTGCTCTCCTTCTGGATGTTGTAGTCGGAAAGAGTGCGGCCGTCCTCGAGTTGCTTTCCTGCAAAGATCAATCGCTGCTGATCAGGTGGGATACCCTCCTTGTCTTGAATCTTGGCCTTGACGTTGTCGATGGTATCGAAAGACTCCACCTCGAGGGTGATGGTCTTACCAGTCAGAGTCTTGACGAAGATCTGCATAAGCTGTGGTTCGAAAAGTAGGGCAGTGAATGAATGCGAATGAGAAAGGGTCAGCAAGGAATGCTACGAACAAGGTGGAGTGAACGGCTGCTCATTGGGCGAGACGGACGCGCTGATGAAAGACCCTGCAGAGAGCGTGCAGCTGAGGATACAGCCGCGGATGGATTTGAAGCTGTGGTACTTACTGGTTACGTGTAGAATGTTGCAATGGGGTGTGTGTGGGTGTCGTAATATCGAACGTTGATGTGATTGAGAAGATAAATACGAAGGAACCAGAGTGTAATGTAGTGTCTGGTGTGTGGATGGGGAACGGAACGGTGGAGGAGTGTGGCGGAGCAAGTGTTGGATTATATACTAAGCCCTGCAAGCGTGCGTGAGTGATTCGACGTGTGGCAGGCAGCCGAGCGCAGTCTCACACCGGTGGCGTGGGAGAGGGTGGCGCGCACGGGGCGGCAGTTTGAGTGAAGAGGAAGGGGTTGCCAGACACTGATCAAGTGCCTCTAGCCGGGTTTAACTAATTGCGGCGACCGGCCAAGTGCTGCAGTTGCGTGGAGATTGAATTCAATTCGAGAAAGGCTGAGTTGCTTCGATTGCCAAGTTGCTTTTCGCACAGAGAGCGCGGCTGAGCTGTGCCGTTGCTGAGCTAGTTAGCAACTTTTCGCTTTTCGCTGGCCGCCTTTCCATGTTTCCGACATTTTCTTTTCTTTTCCAGATTGTAAGATTGTAATCGGCCGATCTGGCCGATGGCGCGTTCGATTAATATTCTCCCTCATTTCAAGTCTCATCATGGACAATTTCGAATTCAGGTTGCCCGATTCAGTCGAGTCACTGAAGAAACGACATCAATGCCGATCACAATGCCAGTCGTTTCGACCGATACAAGGCCGTTTCAACCGATGTTAGAGCCACACCTGAACCCAAGATACGCGTTCTTGTTCGGCTTCATACCACCGTCTTGAATACTGTATCGATTGTATGCGCTTCGAGTTTAACCCTTCTCACCATCGATCTCCTTTCCAACGCTGCCATCGGATCATCACACTCGCTGCGGCTCACGAAGGCAAGCTTCTAACTTACCGCTTTCGATCCGTTGCTCGCGCCCATCAAATGGTGCCGAGTGATGGGCGATCTGCATTCCATCGTTTCATTTGACTGACAGACTTGATTCTCTCCTTATAATGTCACACCATCGCCAGGCGCCCCGCACCTCCCGATCACATAATGAGCCGAACCTGAAGCCGCAAAGTAGCGGTAGGCGATCACCGCCTCCGTCTTCCTCTTCACTGCAACCAGCCAACAAAAGACCCAGGCAAGACACCGTGACCACGGATCGCAGCGTTTCACGACATGCAACTTCATCGAGCACCGCCAAAGGCCCTACATCTGCCAAAGAGGAGAAGGTAGAAGCAGTGTCTGCTAATCTAGACAGTCTGCTCGACGAATACGATCTAGGCATCGACCAAGAGGAGCGCAGGCGGAGGACCTTGGAGGAGAGTCGCAGAAAGCGGCAGGCCATCTTAGACAAGTATCGCAGCTCAGACAGCCGACAACTCACTCCTCAGCCAACAGAGACATCTGCGCAGGCCAAGATCAACTCTGAAGCGACAGCTACCGACACTGCTCAGGCTGCTCCAAGCGAAGAGCCTTTCTTCCTGTGCAAAACTGACGCTCACCATCTTGGCCACGATGCATCAGCGTTGAACGAGGAGACTTCAGCTGCCGAGCTCCATCCTGACGCTGACCGAGCACAAGAGTTCGCGCGACTTGAGCAGCGTCGACAAGCTAATCTGCAGCAGGCTTCAACTTCTGATCAGGCTGCAAACGCCTCCACATCTAAGTCACAGCAAGAGGAAGAGTATGAACAAGTACAAGTCATCGATGATCAAGATGATGCAGAGATGGACATGTTTGCCCTTTCCGATGACGAATATGACGAGCAGCCGAAGAAAAACAAGACCAAAATCATTCCCTTTCCAAAACGTCACGGCTCGAAATCTGCCATTGCTAATCCGGCCATAACATTGCCCATCGCAGAAGCAGCAGCTGCAACCGCAGCCACCAACCTATCCAGCAACTGGGACGACAGCCAAGGCTACCTACGCACCATTCTAGGCGAGATGCTTGACGACCGATACCGCATCTTTGCCGTGCTTGGCAAGGGAATGTTTGCCTCGGTAGTGCGTGCGCGAGATCTTCAGGCAGATGGTCGGCAAGTGGCAATCAAGATCCAACGTGTTCAGGAGAGCATGTACAAAGCCGGTCTCAAGGAAGTTGGAATCTTGCGGAAACTCAACGAGACGGATCCAGATGATCGGAAGCATGTCGTGCGACTGGAACGGCATTTCGACTACAAGGGTCACCTGTGCATGGTCTTCGAATCGCTCGGAATGAACTTGCGCGATGTAGTGCGTCGGTACGGTCGTGATGTAGGTCTCAACATGCAGGCAGTACGTGCTTATGCTCGTCAGCTCTTCCTTGCGCTCTCTCACCTTGTCAAGAATTCGGTCATCCACGCCGATATCAAGCCAGACAACGTGCTCGTTAGCGACAGCAAAGCGTTGCTCAAGCTGTGCGACTTGGGCTCAGCGTCGTACTTGAGTAAGATGGAGATCACACCGTATCTCGTCTCTCGCTTCTACCGTGCGCCAGAGATCATCATGGGTCAGGCGTACGACTGCTCGATCGACGTATGGTCCACTGGCTGTACACTGTACGAGCTTGCGACAGGCAAGATCTTGTTTCCTGGTCGGACCAACAATCATATGCTGCTGCTGATGCAGGAGCTGCGAGGACGTTTCACGACCAAACAGATTCGGAAGAGCCAATTTGGTGAACAGCACTTTGACGATGCCAATGCCTTTCTCTCGATGGAGCAAGATAAGAATACGGGTCAGAGCGTCGTGAGGAGGGTTAATTTGCACAAGCCGACCTCGAGCCTGCGGACTCGATTATTGCCAGGAGATACAGCAAAGCAGCTCAAGGCGAGCGAGGTCAAGACCATGAATCACTTTATCGACCTGTTAGAACGATGTCTCGAGCTTGATCCTGCCAAACGCATCAAGCCTAAAGAGGCGTTGGAGCATCCGTTCCTAGCAAATGTGTAGTTTAGTTCAACAATACCATAGACATATTGCTCCTCTCGAATGTTTCTGCTTCCTATCTGCTGTGAACATGGACTGAAGCAATGTCTGTCTTAGACTGTTGGCACGGTGAGGTTTGATCGACGCTCAGGCCAGTCGCAGCATCGGTCTCGATAGCTGGACCCTGAATCCTCGCAATTCTCGAAATCAGATATGGGAAGCCAACCGAGCAGACACGCTTACCTAAACCCATATTGGCACGTGAGTTGGTTCCGCCTTTTCTCTCGCAACTCGTCTAGAATCACACTTCTTGGCATTCGTGATTCCACTTATCACCTCCACTCCACTCTTGGGCTATGAGCCGCCAGATGTTTGGCTCAGCATTCATCTCCTCAACCTTCACAGCCACAATCGCGAGCACGACTACCACCACGACTACCACCACGACGCTTGGGATGGTAGCAGGCATCGTCCGTCCAACTACCACTTCCATTCCATCGCGCCTTTAAGGTTTCAGCGGACATCGATCTCGCGGCTTTGACTCACGCCGACTCGAAGGTGACTGCAATACTCTGACCCTCACGGCTTGGATATGAGCGCTCCCAACACACGCTCTGAGTGGGACTCGAAGCTCAAGCACGCACAAGATCAAGCACAACGAGCCACCAAAGCTGAGCTCGCTCGCAACTACGCCGAGGCATTCCAGCTTTACGTTAGGGCCGGTCAGCTCTTTGTTTGGCTTCTCGGTAACTTTCCCACTTCTAACGGCTCTCGCAGCGCTGGATCACCTAGAGTAGAAGCGGAGAGCTCGACCAGCGATGCTCTCTTTGGCGCGGCAACGCCTGCACAGACGCGCGAGCGTCTCAAGCAGATGGCCACCAAGGTGATGGCCAGAGCCGAAAAGATCAAGTCAACACGCAAAGATCTCCGCCCTGTTGAACGAGACGCGCTTAGTCAAGAAGAGCAGTCGAGCATCTTGGTGGCATCCTCGCTCGTCAATGGGCAGCGTTACCCGGTCTGGACGCCGCCAACCTCATCTGCAACGGCACACACCACATCCCAGATCACTCAGCCTGCCTTGTCACCGGGGCAGCTCCGGAGGCGCGCAATCTACAAGCGCGCCTCCCTAATCAGCTCGGATACCTTCGACAAGCGGCTCAGAGGCAGCGATATTGTGCAGGACATTGTCACCGACTGTTCCTTTGTCGCTGCTCTCGAGGTGGCTGCAGAGTACGATCGTCGCTGTGGTGGACACCTTGCTACTTCCGCATTATACCCGCAAGACTCTCAAGGTCGCATTCTACCAAGCCAGGACGGTCAATATCGAGTCAAGCTGCATATCAACGGCGCGCCTCGTACGGTCTTGATTGACGACTATCTGCCTCACTATCCATCAGCACCGGCCGAAAAGACTGACACATCCAAGGCCGATGCATCTCAACCTCAGACGGAATGCCTGATGTGCGCCACCTCCCGCACAGGCCAAGCGATATGGCCTGCTCTGCTCGAGAAAGCCTATCTCAAGGTCATGGGTGGCTATGACTTTGTCGGTTCTAACGGTAGCATCGATCTTTACGCTCTTACCGGGTGGCTACCAGAACATATCTTTCTCCGCCACGCAGGATTTCAACGCGAGAAGACATGGCATCGCTTCCTCTCGGCATGGCGGGCTGGTAAGTGTATGGCTACGGTTGGTACAGGCAAGGCACCAGCACCGTCAGGTGGAACGGACAAGGATGTGCGTCAAGAAGACCAAGGCCTGTCTACCATCACGCTGGAGTCAGGGCTAATCTCTAGTCACAACTATGCCATCTTGGATGTGCTTGAATGCAACAGCCGTCGTTACCTCAAGCTGATGAATCCATGGCGAACTGCAGCAGGCGTCCGACCTGCCATCGCCATTCCAGAGTACGAGGAGAAGCGCATCTACGCAGAGTCTTCCAGTGAGACGCTCAACGCTCAGCTCGAGAGCCTGAGCCTGGACGCGAAGGACGCACAAGATGCAATGTCACCGACCTTCACTGTCACTTGGGACGACCTCTGCAGCCACTTTGATTCGCTCTTCCTCAACTGGGATCCGAAGCTGTTCGACAACAACGTCACTGTTCATTCAAGCTGGCGGGGAAGTAGCGCATCTTCAGCATCAACACCGGGCTTCAAGCAGCCAGATCCGCATTTCCGACTGACAGTTACCGTACCAGCGAATCAGCAGAGCCATTCGGAGCCATCAAATGACCCTGCTGCAGAGGTCTGGCTGCTCCTCAACCGACACATCACCAATACAAGACCGTCAGATCACAGTTCCGGAGAGCAGCTCGAGGTCTCCACTAAGGCTTCAGCTGAGTACATTGCGCTACACGTCTTCGAAGATGACCAGCATGCATCGCAGGGCGGAAACCCGTCGGCCATTTCGGCACTTCCACTGAGGAAAGCCAAGCATATGGGAGCGTATGTCGACGGTACACATTGTCTTGTTCGGCTAAAGCCATCTTCACTTTCGCGCCAGAAGGCGGATCCTCAATCAGGCGGCCAGCAACAGCAGCAACGACGGAGCTTCACCGTCGTCGTCTCGCGTCGTGATGAAAGGGACTCCTTGCAGAAGCCAACATCGGCCGGCACTAATGCAGACCAGAAAGGAAATAAGGACGTCAACTACACCCTTTCGGTCTTGTCGCGATATCAAATGGAGCTCTCTGAGCTACGTACTCGCTTGCCCTTCTGCGAAACCATCTCTGGATCATGGACTACACGATCTGCAGGTGGGAATGCAACCTTAGCCTCTTTCCTTTGCAATCCTCAGTACACCCTTCTCGTCCCACCTGAAGGGGGTGAAGTGCAGGTGCAGCTTGTGCTGGAGTCAGCCGATCGTCGCATTCCAGTCCAAGTGCTCCTCACATACCCTGGTCCAGGTTCAGGCAGAGTCACCCACCTCACCCAAGGAGACGTCGTACTCAGCAGTGGAATGTATCATCACGGCCTAGCTTTGTGTTCAACCTCACGCCCAGGCAGCGCAAACACGGGCCTCCGACCGGGAACATACACCCTCATCGCATCGACCTTTGAAGCAGACACGCACACCGACTTTCAACTTGGCGTCGAATCCACCCGCCCGCTCACACTCAAACCCATCGCACAGGAAGGCGCTGGAATGTTCCATCGCCGTCTAACATCTTGCTGGCGGCGCGGAGTCAGTGCGTTCGGATCGCCGGCAAACAGAGACTACTTGGGCAATCCTTCATGGCGACTCACTATCGAGCGTCCCGGTTTGAACAGCTTAGTAGGCCGCATCAGATCCTCAACAAGCGGTGTTCGTCCCTACATCAACCTCGCCCTCTTTTCAGAGACGAGAGAGGGGTTGAAAGAAGTAGCAAGCAGTGGAAGCTACACCGACTTGGCATGCGGAGCGGCTATGGACTCTGTCAAATTGCAACCTGGTGTTTATAGGGTCGTCGCTTCCACCTATCAACCCGAAACAGAAGCCGAATTCAGTGTAGATCTGTATACTGCTGCAAAGATCGATGTTTCTCCTCTCTAGCCTCTTCAGTTTCTTATATGTGATATAAGGTATATTGATACAGATGCGGTAATGTTACAACTCTTCATCCGCACCATTGATGCCACTGATAGGGATAGCTGCGCTACTACTCTCCTTGCCGAACTTGGTTTCGACGCTGTAAAAGCCGGGTACAGAGTCGAAGAGCCATTCTAGCTCGCCTAGGAGGGTTATGTCTCGGATATACGTCTTGGCTTCCCCACTGCCTCCTGTACCCTGCATTGCTTCGCCGAAGAGGATCCAGCGCTTTCGGCTATCAGGCTTGCGATTGAAGAAAACACTGCTGGGATGCGGATGGACGGTTTCACCGCCCACAGCGGTTGTATAGGTCATTGTTGCTTCGTCGTATTTTGCCAAGTTTGCGTACAGACCTTTGGCTAGAACTCTGGTGATTTTTTCTATCGCATCCTCTCTGTCCAACACCGAAGATTCGGCGTTCAGCTCTGAACCCGGACTGTTACTAAACCGAATGAGATACTTTTGGAGCTGGTTACAGATCGACACAGCCCTCGATAGCGCCTGAAAATTTAACCTATTCCTAGAGCACCACTTGGCACTTCTCCTTCCAACGCTGTCATTCGTAAAAGCAACATAGACATTCAGCAACGTGAACAAATCCCCTTCCTGCGCAATAAACTGTCTAACACTAGTTTTCGTCTCGATCGTCTCCAGCCTCCAGAAAGGCGAGGTGATCTGCATCATTGCCACCACGCTCAGCATTTCTTTCGCACATCCCTCCTCCGCAGCGCCAATGAGAATTCTGCCCAAATGGGGGGGTAGAGGCAAGTCTGCCATCCATTCGCCCCGCTGCGTTAAGCGTGTGGACTCGTCCAAAGCTTCGAGCTCCAGTAAGCATTGTAACGCTCTAGCTAAGGATTCAGGCGGGGGTGCGGGAGGAATCCAATCGAATCGGACCAGGTTGTCTATGCCTAGTGATTTAAGCATCAACACCGGCCGCGTGAGATCAACTCGGTTGAGTTCTGGCGGCGTCATCTTGCGCATCTGCGTGGAAAAATATTGTTCGGTGTACAGCCGGAAACATCTCCCCCCGCCCACTTGGCCAGCTTGAATCGCGCGTCGAGCCGCAGTAGCATGGGATGTAGGGAGCGAAGCTAACCTTTGGATACCATCAGGGGAGGTGAGCGGAAGCTTTTCGAGGCCACAATCAACGACGTAGGTGATGTTGGGGATTGTAATGCTCGTCTCTGCGCTATTTGTCGCCACAACCACTTTTCTTTGGCCAGGAGGGGTGGAGGAGAAGATCAATTCTTGTTCCGAGGCCGACAGCCCAGCGTGTAATGGAAGCAGCAAGAGTCGAGATTCGGAAGGCGGCAAATCCAGCTGACGATCAGATAGGAGTTGAAGGGCGAATTCGACCTCTTCTCGACTAGGGAGAAAAGCTAAGATATCCCCCATCGGTTCTGTTGAGTGGATTTTGAGCATGGTTTCAACCATTTCCCTTACGTAGTCTTGACAGGGCTGTTTTAGATATGCTATATCAACCGGATAGGTCCTGTCATCGAGCTTGATCACCTTCACCCCTCCGACGCCTTGCTCTTGGAAAAAGTCTTTAAAAATCGCCCCATCTGTAGCACAACTCACCACGATTCTCAACTCCCGCCTCCTCCTAATTACCTTTTTCAACATCGCCAGCAACAAATCACCCCAAGCACTTCGCTCTTGTGCTTCATCTACAACCACCACGCTATAATGTGTAAGAAGAGGATCTCGAATCAACTCTCGAAACAGTGCTTCATCGGTGAGATACTTGATCCGGGTGGAGGGAGAGGAATGATCCTCGAATGGGACACTATACCCAACCGTGCTCCCAAGGGGGCAAGAGAGAAGGGAGGAGACGTGAGAAGCGAGTGATATGGTTGCGGTTCGACGAGGTTGGGTAATGCCGATGATGCCGTGTGTGGGGGAAGACCAGGAAGAGGTATGGAGTAGGAGAGGGAGATGGGTGGATCTGTTGGCTGAGGTTGGCGAGATTAGGATTACGATTTGGGATGATTCGAGGGCGTGGAGGATTTGAAGGCGAGATGAAGAGATGGCGGAGGTGGTGCAAGTGGTTGAGGATCGAGTTTGCGGGAGAAAGGGGGTGGATTCGGAGGAACGATCGAGGGAGGATCCTGTTGGTGGCGGGGCTGTGCCGGGTTTCCAGAATGCTGGTTTTGAAAGGGTGACGGGGGTGGTGATGGACATGATGGCTGGCTGACGTGTGCTGCTGTAGTGGTGGTGAGAGGTGCGTGTCAGCCAGCCGTGTGTGCGGAGGAGGATGGCGAAGAGTGAAGAAAGGGAGGAAGAGAGGGTCGTTGCAGATCTTTAAAGCGCACCACAAGACCAACACCTCCACACGCATCCCAGCATGTGATTCACACCTTCACCACCATCTCAATCCGACGAACCCATGAGAGACCCTATCGCATCTCGTACCACTCCATCTTGCACTTGCTATCAACTCTTACCCCACACCTTACCGCACCCACAGCAGTCTCTTTCACATCGCATCCACTTCTCAGCTTGGATTCAGTTTGAGTCTCGACGGGCGCCTCTTATTCCGCCACCATGACTCCGAAAACTGGTCTCACCAAATACATCTCCCAACACCCCGACTTTTCCAGCCCCTCTTCCCACGCCTCGCCCCTACCCTCTCTCTACGCTGATCTTTCACGGCAACGCAAATCCAACCCAGCAGGTTTCGCAGCCAGCGTCGAATGGTGGAAGAATATTCTTCTCGATGTGACTTTTCGTGCGGTTCAATTCGATGCCGACCCCTCCGATTCCTCCAACGCCGCCTTCTCGGCTCCAGAGGTAGATCGAACGGTCTTTAGGCTAGACGAAAGTACTAAATCGCGATGGACGATCGAGTCTGTCGGGCGGCCGCTAGGGTTGGGCACTGTTATAGCCGAACTGGAGAAAAATGGGGCTGTTATCCCCTACAACGTCTTCCTGACCAGTTCGAAACCGATCACAGGGCCAACAAGAAGAGGAGGTGGTTTGAGGGGTTATATTCCAACGCTGGGTGGTGTAGCAAGAGGGTTGTTGGTTACGCCGGTGAAGTGGGTTGCTGGGCAGGTGTATGCTGTGGTTTTAGGCGGGAGTGGAGATGAAGATGGGGAGGGGGAGTACAGTGAAGATGAGACATTGTTTAGAAAGATGAAGGGTGATTGGGTTTTCTTCGTCCTCGTGGAGAGGATCGCGGATGCCTTCCTAAAACAGCACTATACGGCAGAGGCGACGATAAGTCCACTTTCAGGCTTGATGACCGAGACTGAGTTCAGAGAGAAGCTTTGTGCTATTTGCGAGAAGGAGTTTGCGTTTCGTCCTTCACAACGAGATGCGAGTTTGGTGCTCAGGCATCTAACTCGAGATCGTGGCGGGAACGTGCTTCATCAGGATGGGATTGTCAAGCTTGCCCCAACTGAAGGGGAGATGGCGGAGGCGATCACAGAAGAAGACCGCAGCGTTCTAGCAGTACGTTCAACCCTCCATCGTGTCGAACTTCAAATCACTTGGCTCGAATCTCAAATTTCTCACCGAACCTCACAAGCCAAATCCTCACTTCGGAACAACCAAAAATCGCAGGCCGCCTCATACCTGCGGTCTCGCAAAGCTTTAGACGAAGTGTTGGCGAAGAGAATGGTTACCCGAGAAACACTCACTAATGTGGTGCTCAAAATAGAACAAGCGAAGAGCGACGTAGAGGTTCTGAGGGCGTACAAGGCAAGTGACGAGGTATTGAGGCAAGTGTTGGGTAGGGAAGAGATGAAGGTGGAGAATGTGGAGAGGGTTATGGAGGGGTTGGAGGAGAGTTTGGCGAGTCAGAGGGAGGTCGATGATGCCTTGCGTGGAAGTGGGACAGGGGTGGGAGAGGAGATGGTGGACGAGGAAGAGTTGGAGAGGGAGTTGGAGGGGTTGGTTGATGAGAAGCGGAGGGAGGAACAGAAGAGACAGGATCAGGTGGAGAGGACGAAGAGGCTTGCGGAGAGAGAAGAGGAGAGGAGACAGGAAGAGGTGGAACGGACAAGGAGGCTGGCTGAGGCAGAAAGGGAGAGGACAGACAGATTGGCACAGAGCGAAAGAGAGAGGGAGGGAAGAGAGCAAGAGAGGGAGAAGGAGAAGGAGAAGGAGAAGGGAAGAAGTGATAAGGAAGCCGACGACCTTCTGGCCAGGTTCGAGAAGCTGCGCGCCGCACAGGTGCCAACTACATTAGGAGCTGCGGGGAAGGAGACGCAATCACCGCAGGAACAGCAACAGAAGCAGAACGAACCTGAAGCGGCATCATAAGCCACACATACCTATACGCAGCATAATGAGGTCTAAAAGAATTAGCAATTTCCTCACAGCGAGTCCTGGGGTAGACGCACATCTCACGCTCAGCAATGAGGATCACCTCAGTGATTCATATGTTGTTCGGACAAGTTGGTGTCATCTCCACGTCGACGACAGATCTGATCGTCAAACCGTGGCTGTGCATACGGCCAGTGAGAATGGAGAGTTTTCAAATCTCTTGCATGTGTGCAGAGAAAGACAAAGTGTGTGTATTGATGATGATACAACAAAACGTGCGTATTGGTCGGAAGATGAACCAGACCAGAAATGCGATTGTGTGTTTGTGAGGTTGGGCACGAGGTGAGACCCTTTTCATTGGCTTATGAGAGAAGGAGACGAAACAACGACGATCCTAGAGAAAAAGGTATTGCATGATAGAAATGGGAACCTGGTTGTATGCTGTGTAGGAAAGTACGTGTTTAGGCCTTGTTCTCGCCGTTAGGGTTCATGCGGCGCTTGCCACCGGGACCGGCAACAGCGTTGACGAATCTGTTGATGGCAGGAATTGCAGGATGAGCGAAGGTGAAAATGTTCAGTATGATGAAAATCGAAAGAGGCTTTGGAATGTGTCTCGAAGCAAGATCGAAAGAGCAACAGTCCATCATGTCCAATCGTAACAGAAAACACGAGCGATGACATGATTCTGCATGTTTGGCCTTGCTGATCCATCCTTTCCCCGTTCTACGGTCATCTAACCTTCCATGTCGGTTTATGCCGGCCAAGTGGAGAGCTTCGCTGGGTGGCGTTGACTGCCAAAGTCGATCTCCTCGTCGTCCCTGCGCTGCTTGATCCTGCTTCGTCCTTCGCGTCACTGAGGTTCAAAGTCGAAAAGAGATCCAAATCAGGTAGCGCCTTATCTGCTGTACAGCATGGGCTTCAACGCTCTGCACGCAGACTGCTCTGTAATCCGGTTGATTCCATCATCCATGTGTCTGTGTCGCGATGTATGTCGGCCAAACTTTTCAACGTCCATCCTTGCCATTCTTGCCTTGGGTGAGGTCAAACCATCCTTACTGATAACAATGTTGCTGTTTCCGATGTCACTTGTCGACTGCAACGAGTAATGATAACTTACCGTCGGGTGTACAAGAGACGCTTCTTGGCACGGCCCTTGGGCTGCTTGGCCTTCTCTTGCTTCTCGACCTTGGGGGTCTGCGACTTGACCTTACCGGCACGTGCGAGGGATCCGTGAACCTTACCCATGTTGGATTATGTGTTATCGAGGGTCTGTTTAGTGGCGGCAGCGGCGAGATAATGAAATCACAAAGAATCAGATGATGATCTGATGCAAAGAGGTCTAGGCAAAATCGCGCGCTATGGTCTGTTGTGACTTGGCTGGGTTGGGTTGGTCTGAGCTGAGCTGAGTCGAGGTAAAATTTGCAATAGCAGCAGTTGGATGGGCAGTGATTTGGCTGATATTTGACCGTTAAATGTTCGATTTGCGTTGGACATTCGTTGCTGTGCAAGTATGTGAATATCTCGAGTTGAGGTCGTGATCTTCCTAGGTGTGCACTTCGAGCAAGTTGTGACTCTGGCAAGTACTACGTGCGAGACTGACAGCAGTTTGAAGTTGCGCCAATCACTCTGATACTTCCAGCGAAGCGACAAAAAGAGATGCACTATCTATTGAAGCTAATGCTGAGGGTCCAGGGGTGATGCTCCTTCAATATACCGAAGGAAGCGTCTTTTGTCGGTCTTTGTCGATGCTGCGGCTGTCAATGTCGATCCAAAAAGCGTACTGGATGTCGACTTCTGAAGACGTGTCGAACAGACCAATGCGCTTGCGATGTGCCGAATAGTTGGTGTAGGTGCTTACGTGTATGAGTAACCTTGACGATATGGAGGGCAGAAGGAGGAGTGATCTCGAAGCTGCTTTCCATAGTGTCGGCGCTGAGTTGGCCAGATTTGTGCTCAGCCAGCCAGTCAGCCAGCCAACCACTCGTTCTGCCGCTCTGCTGCCCCAAAATTTCCCAAGGCCACGACCTCACTCTCTGACTTGTCTGACAACGTTGACTCTCCTTGTGCCTTGGCCACTTGGACGCGCAAATTTGGCCAAGAAACGGCTCTCCAGATTTCAAGGCGATATCGCACACACAGCAATACAATCCCTACAAAAATCAAGGCCCATCCGAATTCAAAAGGCTAGGCGTTGTATTCATTGGGTGAGTTTTGCCTTGACCTAACTGCCTTAACCTATCGAACGCGTAAATGAGTGACAATTCTTGAACTTGTTTTCTGCTGCCTTTGTGCCAGCCCGATCGACAAGCGTGGGAACTTTTGTTTTAGTATTCTACACGTGCAATTCGACAGGCAAAAGTGCAGAGAAACAGTGGGAGAAAGCGCATGTTGAGCTTCAGCTGCCCGATCTGATCTGGTCTGGTCTTCATCACCTTTTGCGAAGAACAGCAAGGCCTGGAGACCTGCGAGCGGCAGACGGTTGAGCCAAAGTAGTGAGATCGTCATCGTCATCGTCACCTCTCTTACCCTCTTCTTCCAAGGACTCATATCTCAATCATCAAGAACGTAAGTGTCAGCATGATCGACTCAAACTCCTTGGCACCATAGAGAGCATCGAAAGCATTGGAAGCAACAGCGACGACGGCCGAATACCAGCAGCGCACCAGCAATCAGCATCGAGATCAGCATCGGCGTCAGAGAGCAGAAGCAAGCAGTAGGTGAACATGCCGACTTGTCTGCACATTCAGTCCACCATGGCAATTGATGACTTAGCCGTATACGAAGGGCAGCCGGTTGGTGCACAACTCTTGGCTGGAATCGATGCTCGTACAAGCGACGCAGAGTTGGACGTGACCGTCTGTAGGCTTTGAATACATGGTGGATGCAGCAGAATGGCCTAGTAGTGGCAGGACCACCCCTTAGACGTAAACCAGCAGGCAGATATGAAACACATGCAACGACGAGCAGTATAGCTTACAATTGTGCAAGGGGTGTCGTCGCTGGTCCGACACGCGAGTGCTGCTTCAACCGATCATTTGCCTTGCCCTCCCATCACTTCCCATTGATCGAACAACATAAACTAACCCTTCCCCCCTCACTCCACCATCTTTCCCATTTGTTACTCGTAGTAAACCTGCCAAAATGATCATCAGCAAGGAGAACCGCAAGAACATCTACGCCTCGCTCTTCAAGGAGGGTGTTATGGTCGCCCCCAAAAACTTCCACGTTCAGCACCCTGAGCTCGAGATCCCCAACCTTGAGGTTGTCAAGGCTCTCCAGTCGCTCACCTCGCGTGGTTATGTCCACACCCAGTTCTCGTGGCAGTGGTACTTCTACACTCTCACCGACGAGGGTGTTGAGTACCTCCGCGAGTACCTCCACCTCCCTGCCGAGATTGTGCCCGCTACCCACAAGCGCCCTGCTCGCCCTGCTCGTGCCCCCGTTGATGGCCGTGAGGGTGCTTACCGCGCTCCCCGTGGTGACCGTGAGGGCGGTGACCGCGAGTACCGCCGCCGTGACGGTGGTGCCCCCGCTGGTGACAAGAAGGATGGTGCTCCCTCGGGCGAGTACCGTCCTCGTTTCGCCGGTGTCGGTCGTGGTGCTCCCCGCCAGTAAAATTGTCGTCAACAAACCTCTCCCTTGCTTGCCAGCGACAGCACAAAGGGTGATTGTTTCAACAGCCGACTGGATTCTAGCAGCCCTTCGACGACCGTGATTCACCAGCAGCAACGGCAGCAGTGTTAACGACAAACGAACCAACAAAATAAGAGACGTTTAGTCACACTCATTTCTCCCACCGAAAGGTTTTGTCACTGGTCTCCAACTTCAATTTCAAATGTCTTGTTCTCAAAACCCGGATGCAGTTGGGCACGTAGGATATCTTTCCCTCCCTCCTCAATCACTTCTCTGTATGGTCTTTTTTTGTTCCCAACTGTTTTTATACATCAGAGTTGCTCTCTCCCTCTAAAATCCAACGTCGGGCAGGCGCCCTTAGTCCTTCCGCATCCATTTTCACGTTTTGCTTTCTACTGTGGTTGTATTCGCATCTGTTTCCCGCATGATAAAAACAGTCTATCCTTTACATTTATCTTTGCGAGAGAGATCCTTTGAGTGAGATACCGTTGAATACGAGTGAAGATCTTGCACTACTCAGAAGTGGTAGGTTCTCCATCTTGTCAGGGTCCTGGTCGCAGACTCGGTTGAGAATGTCTCCGAAACTCTCCGCCGACCACACAGTGAGAAGCGTATCGACAGACTGGCTGCGAACACTGCCTCTCTCTTTCAAGAGCACACACAACCTGACTGAAGACGCCGTGTCTTCAGTCAGACACATGAACCAGCACCACACACTAACCTTTTCGACGTGTTCTTGCGATGTGAATCATTGCATTTCTACCTGCAATCGTGTATCTACTGATTCGACGCACCCCTACCGCCTTGTTTCCTGGCCTCGGTAGCACCGAAATCGCTCCTATCAGGTGTGCTCTGCTGCTGCTTGCTCGGTCTGCTACCATTTTGATGTTGCTGCTTCGTCGCCATTTCGGAAGTCTCTTTGTTGGCACTTGACGAAGAGAAGTTAGCATCTGTTTCGTTTTCGATGGCGGAAGCGGAAGTGTCAGGGTTGGGTTTGTTTCCGTCGTATGCACTTTCTGTGTTTGCGATGTCCTCAGTCTACAACAAAGGTGATTGAGGAGAAAGATGAGCGGATTAGTAAGGGGCGGGGATATGCAGGTGGGAGTCAAGGGACAACTTACAGATCCGGATCCGGGAGTGGTTGCTTCACTTTCAGAGCCTGGCTTGACTGCTGACTTGAACGAAGAGCTTGTGGAGAGTGGTCGGCCGGTGAGCATGAGCACAGGTGTGCGGCGCGAGACGATTGTTCGGAGTGAAGACAGCATATTGTTCGGTGATCTTTTGTGGTTGAGGTTGATGCTGCGGTTATAGTCGAGGTAGACATACACGCTGTAGCGGTGTACTGAAAAGTACTTATACTTCTCTTGCCAGCAACGCGCACAGACACAAAGCGCAAGAGAAGCAGTCACGTTCTTTGTCACATCTTTCCTAGGGTGAGAGAGGAGCGGCGCCTAGTTTGACAGCTCGCCACCTTACAGGAGCAGTGACGTTAATGCTCACTCATCCAAATTTTCACCAGCTGTTAACCCCCTGTGTGAAACTAAGCTCTAACATCCTGCTTTAAAAAGTTAAAATTTCGGTTCGTGCCTGAATATGTATATATATATATATATATATACATATATATATGCAAGGGCAAGGGTTTGTGGCCCGGAAGTCGGAGTGAGTGTTGGCTGTTGACGTGCATTATGAGTTTGAGCTTGTTACTTGGACCTCCTGCTCCGCCACACGTCAGACCAACACCATCGCTTTCCTCGAGTTGATACGCATACCTATACCCACAAGCAACGACCATTTGCAAAACTCTAGGCCTAGTCAGGTATTCTTTCAGGCCGGTCCCGACAGCGACGCAGCGCAAAGCTATCACGGCGCTCGATCCGGAGCCGAACCCTCGAACACTCACTCAACGATCGGCTTCCACATCCAACATTCGGCTTTGCTGACGTACAGCATCGACTCCAAACCCTGCACGCTCTCTACGCTCTTCCTTCTCCCGCTCACTCCACATCCACCATCACATCCAACACCACCACCGCACAATGACACCACTATCAACATCACCCCTCCTCCTCCCCTTCCTCCTCCTCCTAACCACCCTACTTCTTACCTTCACCCCAACCCCAGCACTCGCAATCGGCGTAGATCCAGCAACAATAGCCCACGAACCCTACCAATACTTCCACTCGGATGGCGTCGGCGGATCCAACGCAGTATGTTGGCTCTCACGCGTCCCTTTTCCTCAAATCGACGGTGTATCTTGTCGTTTTGCAGATACTATCAGCCAAGTAAAGGGTAGACAGATATGGCAGTGTGAAGGAGATCAAGGCAAGTTTTGTCAGGGATGTCATGAGTTGGAGAGTAAATTGACTGATCCGAAGGAATTGGTTGCTTGGAAAGTGCAGGGTTGTTGATTGGCCGAGCGAGGGTGGGTGTTGGTGCAGTATGGCTTGAAGGCTCGGAAAAGCGGTGGTTGCGCCTGGGCTAAGGCCAGGTGAAAAGAGATGGACTCGGACGATTGCAGTAGCGGAAAGTCAAATCGCTTCGTCCAAAATGCCGCAGTAAGGCAGAGTGCATCCGCAGGCTCGGCTCAAAGTCACGTTGCAAGGATAGAGAGCGCATTTAACTTCCCGTCTGCTATCTGGGCTGGAACCACAGCATGAAGCATGCCTTGAAAACCTTATCATCGCGATAGTCTTTAATCACAGTGGGGACGTCATGCTTCCCTGCGCAATCAACCCCGCAGCAAACAGCATTCGACACATCCGCATCGGGGCGTACCAAGACATCCTCGTCGATTCAACATAGCATCTCTGCTAATCGCTTGATATAGGTCCAACTGTAATCTTCCACCAGATTCACGAGACGCTTTCAAAGGCAGCATATTCGCAGTTGCTCTTCGCGCATCTACTCACCCACTCACGTACTCAGCCCGACTCGCACAACACTCAGCCCGACTCGCACAACACTCAGCTGTATCACACCATCAGACTCACTAAACATGGCAATCATGTTGATCACTTGGTCTTGTCACTACAATCAGCATTGGAATCTACTTCTATATCAGATGAGAAACTCCATCTAATGCGTGTGTGTATCTTTCTTTCGATCATCCATCCCACTTCTCTTAAGACGAGAGGGTTAAAGACCCTTCTTCTCGCCATTGACTTTCTCCCCCGTCGCTGCCTTATTAAGGAAGAACACCCTGGTAACCAACTTACAAACTTCCTCAATCAACACCACTGGAGCACTAATCCAAATCACCGCCTTAACTTCTTCCCGTGTCAGCCTTGTAACTTGGAACCAATCTTGCAAGAAAGGCACAGTACAGATCGTCCAATGCAAAGCCAGACTCAACGCGATAGCGCCGATCAAGAGTGGGTTCTTCCAAGGACCGAAAGTAAGCAAAGAATCCGTCTCGCTGATTGCGTTTAAGGCGTTAAACATCTCCACGACTACCAAAACACTCAACGCGATCGTAGATGGTTGACGGAAAGCACTAAAGATAGAGCAATCTACTCCGTGGAACAGCGCCCCAGGGAGTTGAGAGGAGGGTAAGGCGCATTGGTGGAAATGCGAGAGTTGAGCGTAGGTAATCTGAGGACCGGTGGAGGAGAAAAGGAACCACCAAGCGTAACCGAAGATGGTAGCCGCTCCCACGAATGCTCCTACGACAAGGTAGCGGGTGAAAATCCATCCTGAGATCAAAGGGTCCTTGCGAGAACGTGGTTTTTCTCGCATGATGGTGCTGGAGGGTGGGTTGAAGCCGAGAGCGGTAGCTGGGAGACCATCGGTGACCAAGTTGACCCAAAGCAGTTGCACCGGGATCAGCGCTTCCGGTAACCCGAGGAGAACAGTGAGGAAGATGCTGACCACCTCTCCGATGTTACTGCTGATAAGGTAACGGATGAAACTTTGCATATTGTTGAAAATACTCCTTCCCTCTTGCACTGCCGCTTCAATGGTGGCAAAGTTGTCATCAGCCAAAACCATATCCGCAGCCAACTTGGCAACATCAGTTCCCGATCCCATAGCAATGCCAATATCAGCCTTCTTCAATGCAGGTGCATCATTAACACCATCACCCGTCATCGCAACCACCAATCCTTGCGACTGCAACAGATCAACCAATTGAGATTTGTGAGAAGGTTCCACTCGCGAGAACAAATTCGAGTTCGACACTGCCTCCAGCTTCTCAGCTTGGGAAGTGAGAGCGTCAAACTCGCGACCTGTGTACGATTTACCTTCGAGATCCTCATTCTCTCCAAACACGCCGATCTGACGACAGATCGTCTCGGCGGTGTTCTTGTTGTCACCTGTAATAACGATAACGCGGATACCTGCTTGACGGCAACGAGCGATAGCGTTGCGAACTTCAGGACGTGGGGGGTCCAGCATACCAACGAGACCGATGAGTGTCATTCGTTGTTCGAACTGTGCGTATTCGGAAGGAGAACTGCTGCGGTAGGATTCAACGTCCAGCGGGACATCTTCTTTCACTGCGATGGCGAGTGCTCGGAGTCCCAAACGACCGTATTCGAGCACCTTATCTCCAATCTGTGCACGCAAGGCTGAGTCGAGAGGGGAAACGTTCTTGCCCAGTTGAACAGTTGTGCATCGCTCGACGACACTCTCGGGTGCACCTTTGACGAGCAAGCATCCAGTAGCAGAAGATCGTTGGATCAAGGTAGACATGCTCTTACGGTCGCGGCTGAATTCAAAAGTAAGCAAGCGGGGGTTGGCTTTGCCATACTCGTTCGAGATGGCACTGCATCGTTGGGCGGCATCGAGACTGGAAACGGTAGCGTTGACGGATGCATCGTGGTGACCGAGCTTCTCAACGAGAACTTTGAGGGCTGCTTCGGTGGGTTGTCCGACAATGTGGTAGTTGTCGTGCTCGTCGAGTTGGACGAAAGAGTCGTTGCAGATGGAGCAGACTTCGGCCAGAGCGTGGAAGGGAGTTCGGGGCTGGTTCAAGCTTTCGAGCTTCTTGCCGAGCGAGTCGGTAATTTCGCCGGTAGGAGCAAAAGTGCTTCCCGAAACGGTGTAGTCGGTGATGGAACCTAGAGGAGAGAAGACTGAAAAGTGGGTAACGCTCATCTGGTTGGTGGTGAGAGTGCCGGTCTTGTCGGAGCAAATGACGTTGGTTGAACCGAGAGTCTCTACGGAAGGCAAGTGGCGGACAATGGCGTTCTTCTTGGCCATCTTCTTGGTTCCCAAAGCAAGGCAGGCGGTGATGACAGCAGCGAGACCTTCTGGAATAGCAGCAACGGCAAGAGCAACAGCGATCTTGAAGTAGTACATAGCACCTCGAACCCATCCGTGGTGCGAAGGGTCATTGAAGTGACGGAAGTTGACGATCCACACAAGAATGCAAATGACAGTGATGACTTTGGCAAGAAGCTCACCAAAGTCGTCGAGCTTCTGCTTGAGTGGAGTTTTGTCATCGTCATCCTTGGAGATCTCTGCATGGATGTCACCGATAGCAGTGCGAGTACCGGTCTGTGCAACAACGGCAATGGCAGTACCGTTGGCGACAGTGGTGCCGGAGAAGACAATGTTGGTCTGGTCCTGCTTGACTGCGTCGACGTCGGAAACGGGATTGAGGGACTTGTTGACCGAAATGGACTCTCCGGTCAAGATAGCCTGATCGACACGGAAGGAGGAGGAGTTGATAGCAATAAGACGGCAGTCGGCAGGGATCTTGTCACCGACAGTCAAGATGAGGATATCACCGGGAACAAGATCTTCAGATCGAACCTTTTCGGTGGCGCCTTGGCGAATGACGTTGGCAGTGTCGGGGCTGTACTCCTTCAAGGCATCGATGGCCTTGTCTGCATTACGCTCCTGTACTACGCCGACGGTAGCATTGGCGATGAGAATGAGGAAGATGACACCAGGCTCAATCAGAGCAGCACCGAGAGTCGTGTCCTCTTCAAGCAAGGCGAGAACGAACGAGATGACGGCCGAAGCGAGCAAAATCAGCACGAGTTGATCCTTGAACTGTTCGAGAATGAGCTCCCACAAAGGTGTAGGTGGCTGTTCGGGAAGTGTGTTGGTGCCGTACTGTTCACGGCGCTTCTCGACCTCTTCTTCGGAAAGACCTTTGGAAGGGTCAACTCTCAAAAGAGTGAGCGCCTCGTGAACGCTCTTTGTCCAAGCTGCGTCCATGTTGCGCAGACTATAACTAGATGCGAGCGTCGAGAAATCTACGTTTGAATCTTGATGTCGCGCCAGTCACTTCTGAAAGACAAGTGATCGAATCGAAGCGAATGTATATAGCGCGAGGGTGACGAGGTGGTGAGAGAGGTAAAGCAAGGCGGAGATGAAGACAAAGTTTCGGTGTCGAATGCAGCAGAGCCAACCTAAGGGCGCACGGACACTTTGGTTTCGAGGCGGCGGAAGACTTGTGCTGTAGCCAAAAAGGAAACTCGGCTCTGCTTGTCGTTTTACTGTAGAAGAAGAGCGAAGATGCCTACGTGTCACTTTGAACGCATCTTTTTCTCTCCTTCTTCCGCCTTCCTGGCTGCTTAGTCGTCCCATCTCTTCAGCAGCTCACTGCGTGCACACCAAGGCGAAGAACCTTGGCATGACACGTCAGGACGGAATTGGCAACGCGGCTGGAAGCTGCTCTGCCGTGCTCTTGTGTCACTCTCTCTGTCGTCGTGTTCAGAGGCAAACAAATTGACCGATGCGCTTTGAGTTGCCGGGGTTGCTATTGTAGTCGATGCGTTGACAAGACCATCCTCCATCGATGTCATTCAAGCCTCCATCTCGCCTTCGCTTCCTTCGATCCTCGTAGTAGAAGCCATCTACTGTCTTGCTGTACTGAGCTCCTGTTTGAGACAAGACTCGAAGGAAGCAAGAAGGCATAGGATGAAAGCAAGGATCGGGCTCGACACGTGGAGCCTTCATCAGAATTGCTTGTCTAAGCTTGGCACTGTATGTACTACACGCACGGAAGGACGCGTCCTCTCATCTTGCTCGATCGGCTGCCCGATCACCTCGGACCGACTCTAACATCGATCAAAAGTCCGAAAATCCGGCTCCGCTCTCGCTCTTTCGGGAAATTTTGGATCTTCCAATACTCACCCTCTCCTTCATTATCGTCACTATCGACACCATCACTACCTCTATCCTTGGCCAACCTGCATTTGCACAATTGCACATCGCAGCTCTACGCCGCTCACATCACATCAGGATCTACCGTACTCTCCTTGGCACCGCCGATTCCCACATCACAACTCTTCACCGTCAATCATGTTCGGAGCCTTCCGTCCCACCCTGCCATCAATGGGTGGTCTCCTGTGGAAGAATCCATGGCGTCTCTCTTCAACCCGCAAAAACCGAGTCCGTATGCGTCTTCGTGCAGTAGACGACGTGATCTCCACCCTCCAACAATCACAGATCCAATGTGGAGCATTGGAAAGAGCACTAGCATTGCCAACAGAATCCCAAATGGCTGCAAAGGACAAATACACAACATTCAGCAAACACGATCGAGGGTTCAGAAAGTCCGTCCACAAGGTTCCCAAATGGACTAGAAAGACGATCAGGGAGAATCCCGTCGGTTACTAAACCGGTCGAAAAGCAATCATACTGGATCGAATCATTTCAAGCATCTTCTTCAAGCATCTCTCTACCTCTCATTGTAACATTACTATCTCGCCTCTCAATCAATGGTATGGCATCATTATCGCTCCGCTTGTCAGGCATTGCCCTTGTTGCGACCGACCTCTTCTTCGCACTTTGGAGGCAGAGTGGATTGGCGGTTCTCACTAATCTCACGAAATCGACTGTTCCAACCTCAAGACACGCGGGAGAGACAGACGGACAGCTCTCAAAGATGAGATTACAAGGTCAGGGGTATAGACAATTGCAGAAAGAACAACAGATGCTGAGACAAGACACGCTAAAGTCGAGTAAAGGAGACATAGACCGGGAGAAGAGGCGCACACTAATGACTGCAGTACTGAAAAACAAAGCTGACATCGTCATATGCTTGTTCTGCCCTAAGCAAGTCATCATGCAGATTGTGCATCTCGTTTTTGCCATAATGGTTCCAAGTGCTCGTATCACCGTACAGCAGCGCAGGGGCCTTGATAAACTGCCTGCCGTTCTTGCACCGCTTGCACTTGTATGTATCGTGCGTGTCGCAAACCGTCTCTTCTTTGAAGGTGAACAATGCCCTCAAGTCTTCACCTGAGAAATGGCGCGCAGCATCTTGTGCCTCGTCGACGACGCACGATGAGAGCGACTGCTTGTGCGACTGTCGTTGCAAGATCTTCTCCTCGATCGAGCCTGTGGCGATGAAGCGATAGACAAAGCACGACTTCTTCTGTCCGTCTCGCCATACTCGTGCCAACGCCTGTTGATCCGAAGCAGGGTTCCAATCCGGGTCGAACAGCACCAGACGGTTGGCACCGATCAGGTTGAGACCACATCCACCTGCTTTCGAAGAGAGCAAAAAGATGAACTCCTTGCCTTCCGGATCATTGAAGCGGTCGACCAGCTTCTGTCGTTTGTTGATCGTCATGGTACCATCCAGACGGAACATGCCCCATCGATTGGCTTGGCACATGCGCTCGAACACATCAAGCGTCTGTGTGTAGTTGGAGATGAGCACAATCTTATCGTTCGTCGTAGCTCGGATCGTTTCCAAGAACCGCTGCAGCACCATCATCTTACCAGACAGCTCTGGGTTGACATGACGTCTGTCTCGGGGTGTGTAGCCTTCGGGGAAGTACTGTTCGCTTCCGTCCAGGTCACTGGGTAGATCCAGCAAGTCTGGATGATTGCATAGCTTTTTGAGGATGCCAATAGCTTTGAGCGGCTGACTTCCCGTACCGCGCAGCAGCTTCTTGATCTCGGGAGATCGAATGAAGAGTCGGTACAAGTCGAGCTGGAAGGGCGCCATCTTACAGAACACCACATGCTCATACTTGACTGGCAAGTACTTGGAGAGCAGATCGTTGGTACGTCGGATGATGAAACGGCTGACCAGTGCAGAGAGTTGAGCGAGCTTCTCGTTGGCCTCCTGCTGCTGCTTTTCGGTCGCCTCGGAATCGCGACCCTTGAGAATGGCAATCTCAAAGTTCTTACGGAAGTCAATGCGGCTGCCGAGCAGCTCGGGGTTGGCAAAGTTGAGCAATGCAAAGTACTCGGACAGATCGTTCTGAATCGGTGTACCAGAGAGAATGACACGTCGGCGGACCTTGATCTGTGTGAGTGCCTGGAATGTGAGCGAATCCGCATTCTTGAGTCGATGACCCTCATCACAGAGAAGGAGACCAACTTCGGTGTTGCCTAGTTCTTCTTGCAGGTTGCGAAGCGTCTCGTAGGACACAATCATGACCGGCTGTGTGATGGCACGGCCCGAGGCATTGCACCAACGACGAGTAGCCTCGATCATTTCGTCCTTGCTGAGCTTGCCGTCCAGAGCAAGGTTGCCAGGAGCAGCAGCGCCAAGCCACTTGATCAGCTCGTTGGCCCAGTTGCGCACCAACGACGAGGGACAGACGATGATACACTTGTCGATGGTCGACTTGCCTGCGATAGGAGACTGCTTGAGTAGCGTCCACATGAGTGTGATACATTGCAGAGTCTTGCCGAGGCCCATCTCATCCGCCATGATACATCCGTATGCGTTCTCGACAATGAGACCGGTGGTGCATCGATACAAGAACTTGACACCTTCGACCTGATGGGGACGAAGTACCTTGCCAAGACGAGGATCGATGACGACAGGTACTTTCTCTACTTCTTTCGACTTGGCCTTGTTGAGACCGAGGATCTCGGCAAGACTCTTGTGTGGCGTAGGAATCTCTGCGCCTGCCTCGATCTTCTCTTCTACGGCTGCCTGCTCTTGCCGAATCTCTGCTTTCCTGCGCTCTGCTTCGCGGTCATCAACAGTGGGATCGAAGAGCACGATGGCGTGCTCGCCCATCGGATCATATAATGGACGCGGTGGAATATCGATCTTCCTCCGTGTGCCTAGCGCTGCGTGGGAAAGCCTGGTCTCTACCACTTGACCTTGCTTGTTGGTCATCGCGGGTAAGGAAAAGCCCTTCTTGATGGCATCTGGCTTGATTTCGAAAACCTGCCACTTGCGACGGTCGACATTGAGCGAGACGCCTGATGCATCGATGCCCTTGTAGACTCCTTCCAGCGTCTTCATGGCTGCTTTGCCCTTCTTCTTGGCGCCCGCTTTCGCACCTTTAGCAACACCATGGTCGTCAGAGTCTGAGCCTGCACCAGCTTCACCATCGTCAGCAGCACCCGAGTCCATGCCGCGGTAGTCGACCTTCTTTCGTTTCCTTCCGCCTTCTGGGTTGTCTTTCTCGCGCTGGTTGGCAAAGGAGGGTGGCTTGAACGGCTTGCGTCCCAACAGTGGGCCAAAACCAGCAGCGTTGGCATTGCGAGAGACGTCTGCCAATGGTGAGGGGCGTGAGTAGGGCGAGCCCTTGGCTTTCAGTGGTGTCGTTGCATCTTTACCGTCACCTGGTGTTGGTGAGGGCGAGTTGCCGAGCGCTGCAAGGATGATGCTTCTACGCATCGCAGGCGATGATGAGCGACCAAGGGCTGCCGATCTAAGCTAGAGGGAAGCTCGACTTGAGCGAAGGCGAAGGCGATATGGGACGTAAGATGGCCGCCTTCCAGCGGTGTCGGTCGGTAAATGCGTGTGGAGCTCAAGACGGTGAGCAGCAAGGCCGTGGCGCGGCCACAAGTCGCAGGGAGGTGTCTTGACTTGAGAGGTGGCGATCAGAAGGAGTTGATGATGATGATGATGAGGTGTTGGTGGGCAAGAGTGAGATAGAGTGCAAGATCAAAGCTCAGTTTGTTCGGTCTTGCTGCTCAGTTTGCAGCTTCGGTTCAGCTGTGAATTGTCAGTCAGTCTCACGCCTCCACGCCACCTCTCCTCTTGTCAACCGCACGCTGCAACGACGCAGTTCGAAAAATTAGCGCGAGAAAAGTGACACTTTGTTCCTTGACTTTTCTTCGCGTCGGCGCGTAAAGCAGTCACGCGACGAAGAGGTGACGCAGCCAAGTCACACCGGAAACCAAACAGCTGCTTCTCATGACGATACAGGACACATATAGGCGTAGAGTATGGCTTTGGCTCAGACAGAAGCGAGATCCAGAGACGTCACACGGGAAGCAGAATACGACAGCAACACACGTCAGTGTCAGCCAAAGCAATGTTGAGACGGTGCCAAAGCAGCACTTACTCCGTATCCGTTCAAGTGTCATGAGTTCACAGCATGGCGAACAATACCAGTATACTTGATGCATTGCAAAAGATGGTCAGACGAGACTTTTTTCACATTATCGTGCTTGCTACTGCTATTGTTGTGGCGGCGGCGGCTGCTGCTGTTGCTGCTGCTGTTGCTCAGGAGGAGACAGCGGTGACACGGGTGGACCAGCGTTGCCAGCCTTGGGCTTGGTAAAGCTGCCCATCCTTGCTGTCAGCGCCTGAGCCTGAGCAGCATTTGCTTGCGCCTGGATTCTAGCCTGCTGCATGTACGCCATCTCCATGTCTGGTCTCGGCTGACTCCTTCCGCCACTAATGTACCCATCCTCGTGCTGCACCAATGGACTGCCATACATTCTCCACTCGCTACCCGTTCCACCAGCGCCATCCGGCCAGAATCGTCCACGACCAGAGAACGCCAACGCTGTCTCGTAGAACCACTCGCTCTTCTTGAGGTAATGCACCACGACTGTTCCACCGAAGCGTCGTCCGAGGTATCTTCGACGATGCAGCTCTTCCGCTTCGCCATTGCCATCCTTGTGGGTAGGCAGGGGTATCATGCGTGGCTGCATGGCCGCGTTGGCGAATGATCGTTTGCGTCCTTCGGCTGCAGCGCGTGATACACCACCAGCGCCAAAGTCGAAGCCAGGCACGGATGGAAGATGCGCTAGGAAGGGTATATCGCGTTTTCGCTTTTCGGTCTGTTGCAGCTCGCCGTCAATATTGGCAAGAGGGTCAAGTGGCTTGGGTTTCACGGCGTTGATGTGTCGGACGGTGAGACCAGAAGCAGGGTCGACGCCAACTTCTTCTGCCAGTGTAGGATGCGCTCCGAAATTGTCAAGGGTCGCCAGTCTGAGACGCTCGTCATTTGCTTCAAAGACAATCTGCTGCCATGCCACCCAGATCTGTGTGACATTGCCCTCTTCACCTCGAACCCATGTACCTGCCCATCGTCCTCCACCTTCCACCAATGCCTCGACTTCCTCTTCGATGGTGAGATCATTTCGTGGCTCGACATAGGGAGAATGCCAGCGTGAGACAGTCGAGTATGACTTGGCCCGATGCTCGCCACCACGACGTGCGATCTCTTGGTCCGTCAGTCCACGTCGACCTTCGAGCTTGATCTTCTCGACGTAGTCAGGGAACAAGAATCCATGCGAGTACGCCGTGCCTGCCTTCGGATGATCGTAAATCCAGCAATGCTCCGAGACCCAGTGAATGTCGGATCGGTTCGGATGCAAGTTGATCCATTGCGCCACCTTCTTGTCTTCCTTGCCCTTGACATAGTGTAGGACATTCTCCGAGTGCGCCACGTACTGCACCAAGTCATTGGATAGCGCATAACACTCGCCACCCATGAACCAGTTGCGGATCAGGTAGCCCCAATAGGTCATTTGGCGTGGCGCCACACGAAGATGTCGCTCGAGCTCTTTGAGAACGAGATAGGCATCGTCATCGGCTTTGACCACATAGTCGGCCTTCTTCCACAGTACCTGATAGCGTTGAGCCTGGTCAGAAGATCCACCGAGAACTTCCCGCGTTTGACCATGCCCATTTCCATGCAACCCTCGCTGTCCCAGGGAGGCACTACCCGCCTGCTGCTGATCGTCCTCGACCGCTCGCAGGAAAGGTACCGTTGCGTTCTCTGCTGCCCACCGGAAGAAGGCATGCGTCTTGCCTCTGTTCATGTTCTCATCCATATCGAGCACCACGAGATCGTTGAAGGTCTCCATCTCGAGAGCGACTCGTCTCGCATGGGCCTGCCGCGGCTTGCCGATGATGAACTTGACCTGGACATTGCTAGTGGGTGTGCCTGTGTTTGGGTCGACGGGCAAAGTGTGCGTCGCATAGGTGCTCCGAATGAGATGTCGACGCTCGTAAGCGCTGTCAATGCTGAAGACGCCGACGAAGACGTCCACGGGTGCAAGGGCGTCCGCATAGGCGTGCGGGAAGGATGGCTGTTTCTGACAATAGGTGCGCCACGGCAAGGGCTCCTTGTCCGGATTCAAGATGTAGATGATGAGCTTGGTCACGGATGCCACAAAGCTGGCAATGAGAACCAGTGCCAGAACGATGGTGACCGGATGAATTGGGCCAAAGACAGTTCGAAAGATCTTGCTGAAGAAGGAAGCAAACATACGCAACGGATGTGTCCATATTGAGCCAGGTCTGCGATTGCGGCTGCGATCCTTGGACAAGCCAGAAGTTGAAGAGGAGAAGAGCATCTTGTCTGTCTTAGAATTGCGGTTCCATTTGGACTTTTTGAGACTGCGTGAGCGAGTCGCGGCCAAAGGGGCGTAGTTGGGGCCGGATCTGTTCCAGAAGGGCTCGCCACGAAAACTTTTGGTGATAGAGCTGAACATGGATGTTGCGCTTGGGTTTGCGCCACTGCCTCGTCGGGCTCGCCGCAGCTTGACGCTATCATCGTACTCTGAAACGTCGGACTCGGTCATATCTGCAATCTGCTGGTCGGTAAGATTGACACCGACAAGCGGCGTGGGTATACGGGTGCTGGCTGCTGTCGTTGAGCGGGAGGAGGATGCAATGGGCGTGAGGTCGCCGTCGGTGGAAGATGCGTAGCTTGTCGACTTGTTGTGCAGTCTTGCTGAGTGGGACTGAGGTCCGGAGCGCTCATCCGCTACAAAATCGTCGTGCTGCTCGGTGTCAACGACAGCGTAGGGCATGGATGCTGGTCGAGAGCCGGAAGGCTCTGACCAGTACTTGGAAACAGACGCAGGGCGACCGGAGCCATCCAAGTCGGCATTGTGACTTGCGTACGAGCCTGACAATGGCGGCAGACTGTTGACTGATGCATCGAGGGGAGGATGCTCCGGATCGCTGGATGATCTCGAGCTCAGGTCGACGGCTAGTGTGCCATCCATGCCTGACGACGGATGCAATGCGGACGAAGATTGATTCGAGTCTCGTGGTAGGTGGAAGCGCGGTGGTTCTGTTGAGGGCGTTCGAGCGAAGGGGTGTCGTTGGACAGCAGTGGGATTGTTGGTAGCACCGCTGCCTCTTCCAGCACCTGATCCTGAGCCGGGTCTCTGAGGTGATCCACGATCCACCGACATGGGGTGCTGAGCTGCGGCGGATGGCTAGCTGTGTGCTGTAGTGGTGATGACTGCGAGAGGCTTGAGCCAAAGCTATTCAGGTGCTGGCTGATGAGAAGAAGATGAACATCGGTGATACTTTCGAGAGTTGCTGCTGATCGAGAAGATGCGGTTGTTCAGACAGTTAAAGAAGAAGCAGCAGTGGATGTACAGCCAGATTCGAGATGGCCGAACTTGCCAATCTGAGAGAAATTGGTTGATTTGAGGCGGTCAGTGATGGCGCGGTGTAAGAACAGAAGAAATGTAGGATGTTACTGTATGGCGAAGGATAAGGAAATGATGCAGATGGGGGTCCAAGATGGACGTCAAGTTCTCGTTACCGGTCACCAAAAATTTGGCGGATGCCAAGTCTTGGAAAGTGCAAAAGTGCTGTGCCGTTGACGTTGTGTGGCGGTGCGTGGCAGCGAATGCAGACTGTTGCAATATTGGAATTGCGTTGGGACGTGCGAGCGGAGGAAAGGCATGAGCCGTGTTGAAGTTTGAAGACGTTTGGGTCCCGATAACTGGTGATCGGGGAGAGTCTGAGTACGATGTCACTGCTGCTAGAAGACAGAAACATATATACTCAATTGACTAATGAACGTGGTGAGAACCTAGTGTTCTCAGTTTGATATATATACATTTGTGAGGCTCATACCTAACGTGGGAGTATGCTATCTCATGACCTAGTTTGACAACGAGTGGGACTATGTTGTATCCGATCTCTAGTCAGATCGGCTCCGCTTGATCCATGATCAGATCTGCTTTCCCGATTATGTTCTAGATCGATCTTGCCCGATCCTTCGTCACTTTGACTTCCTACTGGATCGTTATCTTTAGCAGGCCGGTCAAGTGGGATTTTTCATCCATCTTCAAGTTGTTAGGCCTTCATTTACACACAGCCTCGAACCGCGAGTAGTTCGAACCGCCCGATGCTGGCCGGGTTTTCGATCGCGACTGTCCAACACTGCAACCGGCAGTCACAGAAACAGAACTTGATAGTGCTGTCATGTCTCAGCATCGAGACCCGCTTGTAGCTTAATAAGAGAACTGCAGGCTGTCATCTGCTCATCCATATCAATCCATATATCGGATCTGTCGAGCAGCTTCTTAGCGTCCAGCAGGCCAAGTGACGGAGGGGATGCAATAGTGAGTTTGCGATTACGGCCAAGGCGCTTGGCTGAAAAAATAAAAATGATATGACTCGAAAGGCTCGCTAGGCTAACCAGTTTTCTTTGTTTCCTTCACCACTTCCGTGTCCCTCTCAGGCCCGTGTCCATCTGGATCTTGACAGACAGTCGACGGCTCACTGCAACCTGCGCTCCTGTCACCAAGCGATCTCATGACCTCGCCCGCTCTGCGATCTGCAGCTGTCTTGACGGCATCAGCGTGATATTTCTCATTTCGCTTCCACGATGCCTTTGATCCGCCTGCAATGCGCCTGCTGCCTCTTGCTGCGTGCTGTCTCGGCACAATGACTGCTCTTCGAACACACCCACCGGACCAGACTCTGTCAGCTTGCCGCTCATAGATGTTCTTTCCGAGACATCTCCCTACGCCATGCGAGCACAGACTCTGCCCCCCTTGTTTTTGCTGTGCTTGCTGCCAGGTCTGCCCTTGTCGCCTCTTGGCCGAACCACAGCTGCGTACTTTCTGATGGTAGTTTGGCTGGGACATGAACTCTCTCCTCTGAGACAAGATCTCCTGCCCTTATCTTTTGCAACCTGGACCCATTCGAGACACCAAGACTGATATCAGCCTTGTAGTCCTTGACTCCGCTCTTTTCACTCCACGCTATCTGCAACTGCTATCTAGTATCTCACCCACTCAGCTTTGCACTATCACTTTACACAACGAACCATATCCTCACACTATCCAACAAGCTCTTCCTCAAACCACCTCAGCATCAAGCACTTCCAGCAGTCACGACCGGCCTCTTGAGGCTATCCTGAAAGTACGACACAGGATCCACAAACATAGCAGGTACACTCGCCCAAGATGTCTGGATTAGGAATCGACTTTGGCAATGAGTCTGAGGCCTACTCCACCGATACAGGCTCTCGGGTCTCCGCCGCCTCCACCTCGACATCTGGTTTCCACAGCCGCACTCGAGCTCATATGATCCCAAAGAAGTCATCCATGAACAAGATGCGCGGCGCGAGGCCCAAGACCGCCGAAGAGGACGCCAGGCGTGTCCGCATCGTTTCTGGCGAGCCTAGCGTGCTTGGCCATGGTGCTTATACCGACGAGGACTTTATGTCACCGATCAGTGTAGAGGACATCGTTGTGCAGCCGCACAATCTTCACAGTCTTAGCGCTGCAGTTGCTGTAATGAACTGCTACAGTACCGACACTGCAACGAGCAGCACTGAAACCGAGACTGATAGCGATCAAAGCCCCACGCTCACCGAGTCTTCGGTCACAAGCTCCTCCTCGGGTGCGAGCAGCGCTCAGAGGATCAACACCCTCAAGAAGCACAATAGCCATGCCGATCTCTCGACCGAAACTGTCAGGGCCAGTCAAGCCAGGCCGGATCCAAACAATGGACGACCAGTGTCGGAACATATTGTCATTGAACACGGCAGGTCTGTGCACAAGAGCCAGAGCAACACTAGTGTGGCATCTGGTTACCGATCAGATGGGGGCTCCAGTCTGGGTCGATCAGCTGAGATCCCACGCGGGGTTGGTCGTAGTGTTGGTCGAGGCGGACACCACAAGCTCAGCATTCGAGGTGTAGCCAGCCGTCAAGGTACCCTGCAAGGCCGTCTTGGTCCTAAAGCGGGAACCACCCAGACGACCAATTCTTACACTGCCTCGCAGCAAGAGCCTGTCTCTGACGAAGAAACCGAGGTCATGGTCCCCGATGGCTTCGGAGGACACACACGCGTCAAGCAATCTCGATCTCGACCTGCTGCCGTTGAGCCAGCCGCACCTCCGCCTGCTCTTCTCCAACGCATCGATATGTCTATTCTGAAAGAAGCTCCATCTCGATCCGCCTCTCAGGCTGCCTCTCATCAGCACTCCGATGCCCGACCTTCTGCCGCCAAATGGCGCGTGGGCAGCTTCTATGGCCCTGACGGCTCCGAGACGGCTCGCATCGATCACGAGACAGGTGCCATCAGCGAGCTTGCCTCCCAAATCGGAGGCTCAGAGGCTGGACCTGGCGCTGTTCCTTCGCGCATCAGCTCGAGCAAGGCTTCTTCCGTCTCGCTCTCACGCTCACAAACCTCGAGCGTTGGCCTGAAAGCTAGTATGATGAAGAGTCTCACCAATCAAGCCAATGCCCATGCACAAGCTGCTGCTGAGCAGGGTGACGGTCCAGTAGAAGGCTCGACGAAAGCAGCCGCGCTGGAGCAGAACAGGAGATCTCGCACTTCTCTGGCCAGTGTCTCAATGCGAAGCAAGCGTGGCCTGCAGGGTTTGGAGGAGGCCGAACGAGGTGGTGCTCTGGTGAGCCTTGACAATTACCGCATGACATACGACACCGGATTTCCCATCTTGCCTCATGAGATCAAGGCTCTGGATCAAGACAGTATCATGGGATCGGTTCGCCTTGGTGCTGAAGCCCAGCCGATGAGGTCCTCTTTAAGTCAAGGAGGTATGCAGCCTTTGTCTTTCGCACAGAGCCATCTGTCTTCATCGCCTCTGAAGGCAGGTGAAAGCGAGACGCAAGGAGGCAAAGCAATAGAAAAAGTGAAGAACCGCCCACGCCGCAGCCTCTCCGAAACCAAAGTCAACGCTGCCCTGCTCGAACGTCACGGTACGCTCCTCAGTACGACCGCCAACCCTCTTCGTCGGAACAAGGAGCTCAACCGCCTCCTTGGCAACTCTGACCGGAAGTTACCCGCTTCTGCCGCAAAGCCTATGACTAGCGAGGCACAACTCAAGAACAATCTCAAGCGCAGCAACGCGGTCACGTCAGCCGTTGCTCCTCCGCCAGCCGCGCTTGAGCAAGGCAAAGCGAACAAAGCGCGTGTCGAAGTGGATCTCGTCCTTGAGTCGGATCTAGTCGTCGAAGGAGGCACTCTGCAGGGTCGTATGCAGATCCGCATCCGCAAGGGATCCGAAAAAGAAGGTGGTGTGTTCTTGGCCCAGCCCAAGATCCGCGTTGTCGGATTCGAGGAGCTGCTTGCTGACGACACGAGGTACATCTTCTACCATCACGCATCGGTCATTGACGGTGATCGATCGAACAACGGTCCGTCCGAGCCTTACTACTTGCATGGCTCACCGACTCTTTCCTCTCCCGAGACAGCTTCTTTTTCGGCTCTGGCCTGCTTCAACGGTGATCCTGATGCTGAGGGATATGCGGAAGGTAAAATCGGATCGCACTCCATCCCATTTTCCCTCGAGCTCCCCGTGTCGAAGGGCGTCAAGGGTAGCTACAGAGGCAAGAACGCCGTAGTGCGCTATATTGTGATCGGATCCGTCAAGCTAAAGTCTGCTTCTGGAGCCAATCGATCCATTGCGCACTTCTACCGACATGTTGATCTGTTCCCTTACCTCAACCCAGCGGTCATACTCTCAAGCGCACTCAAGCCAATCCAAGTCACCAGCTCGAAAGGTCTCTTCCTTGGCGGATCTGGCAAAGTACATCTCATGGCTAGTCTGCATCGCAACACTTGGGTCGCAGGTCAACGCGTCTACATTAACGTCGGGATCCAAAACGACACTTCGAAGAAGATCAACGGCATGACCCTCTCCCTCATTCGCACTGTGACGCTTTACAAGCCGCGTCCGGAGCTAGATATGGATAATCATTCTGCGAGGCGCGAATTGGATCCAGATGCGTGCCAGACTTCGACTACACGCAAGAAGATTGCAGAAGAGGAGCTGGAGATGGGACAGAAGGGCAGCCGAGGTGTCGTCACTGCGAGAGGTTGGTGGACTGGTGTAGAGCCGGGACAGCGGGTGGAGTCTTGGCATTATATGCATATTCCTGGTGACGCGCTGTCCATCTCGCGTGGTAGACACGTTGAGGTGGTGTATAGTATCAAGGTCTCTATCGGTAGCTCGCTTTCTTCGGATGTGAGCGTAGAGCTCCCGGTGCGGGTGATCAACTTTGTCTCCCTCGATCCGCCCCCTCTTAAGAAGGCAGGTAGCAAGGATGGAGCGACACGAAGCTGGGCTGCTCCAGGAAGCGTGTTCAGTGAGGCTAAGTCGCCTAGTGGTGGTAGTGTGAGTGAGAGGGCTGCGGGCGGAGATGCTGATCAGATGGTGGCAAGGCTCAAGACTGTTGATGTTATGCGGTCGCCTGGTAAGACTGAGATCTCGCTTCAGAACTATGACCAAGATCAGCAAGCTGCTCGTATGCTCTCTCCAGATGAGGTACGGGAAGAGCAGCAACGACATCTGCAGCATCAGAAGTCGCTCAACTTCATCAACCACGCTATTCGCAGTGCGGCTGCTCGTCGAGGAGTTGATGTCACTCCGACTACCAATTCTTCCTCTGCGCGTACGCCGAGTCCCGCCGGATTGGGTATCCGGGTACTTGATAGCAGGTCCCTCTTGGAGAGTACTAGTGGCCACAGTCCCAGCGGAGGCAGTAGTACAGACGGCGTCTCTGGTGCTGATGAAGACCGCGCCGATGACGAGTTTGATGAGGAAGAGGACGACAGTACCCAAACCCCCATGGCTACCACTCGTCAAGGCCACTGCAACACTGTCTACCCACGCGGATGTGAACCCTACGAGCAACACCACCTTGAAGCACACCAAGCTGCCCACCACCTCTCCTCCAACTTTTCCCAGCTGCCCGTCACTCTTCATCTGCCCGGTGGCATGCACCACATGCAGCAGGTGCAAATGCAGATGTATCAGATGGCTGCTGCTAATCCTGCTTACTTCCAGCGTGCGAATACAGTCGCCGCGGCAGGGGCAATGGGTGGTATGCTCCCCATGCTGAGCATCAACAACGCCAATGCAGTATCGCTTGATGAGATCGGAGATGATTACGATGATGAGGAGCGGGAGGATCGCACGCTGGCACTGAACGACGAGTCGATGGCAGAGATGAACATGGTCATTGGGAGCGCGAGGTTGGATGATGATGTTGAGTATGGTCAGTTTGATGATAGTATGTACGCGGATGAGGCTAATATGGGACCTGTTTTAGAGGAGGAGGAGGTACGGGATCAGGGCGAGGAGGAAGGTGGGGCTAAAGGTTGGTCCCTTCGTCGCAGAGGCTCTTCAGAAGACGAACAGGCGGAGGATGAGAACAGGTGGATCGCAGGGGAGGAAGCAGATGATGTAGCAGAAGTGTCATCGATTATGCAGACTGTGAGCATCGCTCCTGGCCCGAATGAGGGAAGGACTGCACCTCCTCCATCTACTGCTTCTGCTACCTCTTCATCTGTCTCGCCCGTCACTGCTACGGAGCGAAGGTCGAGCGAAATGTCCCCCCTTGCACCACCTTATATTCCGATGTGTGGCGATTCTCGCACGCTCTCCTCCTCTCCTCCATCCCAACCCTACCCCGTCACTGCACCTCTCAAGATGAACAAAGACCCCTCTGCTCAACTGCCGCAACAAGTGATTCGAGCAGCCCCCTCATCCGAGAAGCTCATCGAACGATGCGGCAAGATCCCCATCACCCGTATCCACGCTCGCTCTGCAACTGCGGAGGGAGAAGCGCTCAGCACAGCAAATCTCAAACGTCACTCTGGCAACCTTTGCTTCCGTTATCCGCAGGGATTGTCTCAAGGTCAGCAGCAGAGAGGTCACAGGACCACGCACAGTGTTACTGGTCTCAAGCCGTTGATTTTGATACCGAGGGCGATTACAAGTGATAAGAAGAGTAGTGCGGGTAGTAGGACCCCTGAGAGCGCTACTTTTTCGCCCAGCGAGATGGGAGTTGGAAATGGAGAGAGGGAGGAGAGCGTCATCAGTGAAGAAGCTCAAAGTGGACCGCAGGAGATGGAAGTATCGGATGGAGGTTTACCCAGGTCTTCAACTCTGCAATCCATCGCCACGCACGCAAAATCACAACAGACACTCAGACACTCAGACAGCACCTCGTCACTCGTTAGTGATGCAGGAACTACAACACCTTCAGGTGCTCTATCGCGTTCGCATTCGACACACAACCTTAGAGGAGCAGCAGTAATGGTTCCTTCAGTAAGGAATAAGATTGCGATGTTGGAGAGTAGAAGTGCAGCCTTGCGCGAGTTTACAGCTGTTGTGGGAGCTGGGAGTGGGGGTAACAGTCCCGCTGGCTCGCCCAGTAAGTCTGGTTTAGCAACTTCTACTTCTACTGGTAGAGTAGCACAGCTGACAGAAAGAGCGGAAAGAGCGGGCAGTACAGGGGGTTTGACGCCGTCAGGTTCGAGGTTGGGTAGAAAGGGTAGTTTCATGTCCGTAGCTGAGTCGGAGGACGGTGGAGGAAGTATGGTTAGTAGTGTGGTCAGTGTGCCTGATTATATGAAGGCTGCGGCTGGTAGTGGCAGAGGGGGGGTTGGGTTTAATGCTCCGGTGCTGAGGAATGTTGGTTAGGCTCATACCCTAGTATACGGTGGTATCAAACAAGTATCAACACATAGGCTTCGTGGACAGTCTCTCTTCTTGCTCCCACTTGTTGTTTTTTTTTTTTTTTTTTTTTTTTTTTTTTTTTTTCGCACTCGCATTCGTACGATCCCTTTTGATGTACATAGTTTCTGGTGCAACCGATCGTTCAGTAAAGTCGTCGACCGATCTGTCTGCCTGCGACGTGTGCATGTGGACTTGTGTGTGTGTTTGTGTGTTGGTTGAAGGCGTTGCTGAGCATCAAGGGCAGCGCTTCTCAATCGCACGAGAAAAGGTCCTCGCGTTTGACAGCCTTTACCGAGCAGAACTTGCAGTGGCACAAACCTCGAACCGAAGCAGCGATTTCTGGAATCGATTCAGCAAGCCACCTAGTGCTCCGAGCTGCAACCTTGATTGGCGATGTAGGAACTCGACAGTCAGCCTTGCAGATACAGTAACTTAGTCCAATGCAAGAGATGTGTAGGCGAAAGTGATGCTGCGGCAATAGACAGAGTCAAATGAAATGCTGGTTCTTTCTTTGCCATCCCACATCCTTCTCAGTCTGGCGAAGAAAAGTGGCGCAGGCTTTCCAATGGAACGGTTCAAGAAGTAAGGAGGTAGGGAACCAGAATATTTGCGCCACGGCGGGTTCGCTGAAACCTTCGAGATACGAGTTCACCGAGATAGTCAGATTACAGAGCCAATGAGCGGTGCAAGTGCAGCAGTAAGGAGTGGAAGAACGTTTTATTACCAACCAACACGTGATGCAAGTGGAAATGGGTATTAGAGCCTGTTGGAATTGCTATCGATGATCAATAACCTGTTCAAGAAAGCAGTCTAACACAAAACATGAGTAATAGGCAGCGGAATAATGAGAGTGTCTCTTAGACAGGGATTGCGGAGCGAAGGAGGCGAGGATCAAGAAGGGCAAGATCGCAGTTCAGAAAGAGCGTTGAGGCAGCTTCAGTTGGCGACCATCGCTAGACTGATTGAGCCGTAGTGACTTCTGAGGCGAGGATGAGAGGAGCAACGTCGAGTTGGGCGGCGGCAACCATTGCCTGCGAAATGAATACAAACAGAGAGGAGGAGGTATTCTGGAATTCAAAAGCTTTGAAATGCGGCTTCTGCAACTTTATTTAATTAAATTTTTATCCATAATTACAACTTTTTCTGCAACCTGTCCCTAATAAAAACAAGATTGCTTGCAGATGCCGCAGCATTGCCCTTTCCACCGTCGAGGGTTCATGACTGTCCAGCTTTTACTGCTGACTAGACCGGGAGCTGGCTTTTGAAGACATTGCATCTGGAGAAGCTGGAGTGACCTTACTGCTGTCGACTTTGACCTGCCGTCTCTGGACTAGCACCGTTCCTTCGCAACAGCCGCAATGGAGAAGAAGAGGGTTGACAGAGCAGATTGAGGCTCTAACTTGGCATATGCTGCTCCTTTTCCCAGGGCCTTCCTTTCTTGAAAAGACAAAAAAAATAAAAAAAATAAAAATAAAAATAAAAATAAAAATAAAATAAAAAATGAGGCAATTTCAAAAATGCTATGCGGAATCCTAGCGAGGTGAACGCTCCCCCGCTCTCTCTCTCTCTCTTTCCCGCTGGAGCACAGCGAATTGCAGTACTGCTGGATCGAAGCTTGTAGGCGTGGACCGGCGTTTCCGACAGCCAGCTTGGGCTTTTCTCCTTCTTTGCCCTTTCATCTCGTGACAGTGCGGATGCGCGCAGCTGCGCAAAAGCAACAACACAAGCCACACACACACACACACACACGCACACATACACATACAAGCAAGCAAGCAAGGCTGCATCGGATCTTCCGTCAACCGATTCAACCTGTCGATGAGCAGGAAAAGGCATGAAGAAAGCGGGAAGCAGCAGACAGAACGGTATAATTCTATGCTTGTTGATTAGAGTCTTGACACATGGCCTTTCTACGCCAGACACACGGTGGGAAGGGATAGATGTGCAAGAGTTATGCACACTTGACTGCAGCTGCCGTCCTTCTTTGAGCTTGTTTGGCGTGAGTGAGAAGATGGAGTAAGATTCCCTCTGAGAAGAATTGGGTTTCTTTTTTTTTTCCTTTTCCTTTTCTTTTTCTTTTTCTTTTTCTTTTCTTAGTTGCAGTAGCAAACAAGCAGTCAAGCAGCAGCCATATGCGCCTCTTTGCAACCTCTGCAACCCACCCGGAGAGCCATGCAGAATTGAGCTCTCTTCTCTCCCTCTCCCTCTCTCTCTCTGTGACTGACTGTCTGTATGTTTGCGGAACGGGGATAACTCTTGTTGAGCTGTGCAAGTGATTCGCTTTGGTCCTCTTGCTCCAATTTGCTATCTGCATCCTTCCCGCATCTCATTCAACTCACTCTTCCACCCACTCTTCCATCAACGTCATCCACCATCTACAATCCACCATCTGCCCCCTTTCCCCACCTCCTCCCCGCACGTTGCTTCCTCCTGCTTCATAAAAGAAGCGCCATCCAACGCATCAGCCATCATAGACAAACCACGCTAGCCGACCACTTCCGTCTTTTCTGTTCAAGGCGACCTCATAAGATCCGACAGCTAGAAGAGACGCCCAGTGCAACCGGCCAGACTTTGCTCACCATTCCCCACATCGGCCCTTTTCGGCATCGCTCTGTCATCAGCTTCGGAAGTGCCGCTTGCCCACTCTCAGCTTGGCCCGCTCGGTTCCGCTCCCGATCGTCCTTTTGTACATCCTTCTTCCGTCGCTCCTGTGCATTGATTGCATTCAGCTCCAGCTCTCGTCCATCCTCGCATCTCTCATCCGTCATCTTGTTGTCTTAAGTCCGTCGGATTCTGCTTCTTCCTGACCCACCTTCATTCTCTTCCACCTCAACCATTCCCACCACAACGCTCGCAGCAGTAGGTGGCATTTCGCTTGCTCTTCATACATCCACATCAATCTTTCATCACTCCACATACTTGTAGCCACCTAGTGCTGCTGCTACTCGTCGTCATATAACGCAGTTCCAGCCCCCTGCCTCGATTCGATTTCCCGCAACCCTCAGCAAGTCGGTAGCTCTGCTTCTCGGCCTTACCCGGTTGCTGTCCCATCCATCTGCATATAAACGTCGTTGCTCTGTTGAAGCCGGTCTTCGACAACCCCTCCCACCAAGTCAACCGCTCGAACCGATCTTCTGCGCACACAAAGTCTCTAGCTCGATCTTCTCGCTTTCTATGGACACTCTCTCCGCGCAACAGTCTTACACTTTTCCTCATTCTCCAAAGTTGCTGAAACCATATCCCTTTTCGTCTCAGCGTAGCTTCCTCCTGGGAGACTTACGCCCATCTTGCTGCCCAAGACGATCTCCTCGCAACAGCAACAGCAGCAGCCGCAGCCGCAGCCGCAGTGGCCAGCGGCGCAATCAGACTCATCCGGTACGCTCCAGCAGCAACCATCGGCTCAGCCTCAGCTCTCCTCCTGGGTCACCGGCCAGCTTCCGTCGGTGTTCCAAGACACTGACATAGCCGACTCGGTTGCTTCTGCGGATACCATCTCGCGCCAGAGCGCTGATTCCACCACCGTCTCTCCTGTCATCCACAACCAAGGTTTCTCGTTCTCGCAAGTTCGTCGCCGCTTCACCAACCCGGACCCCGAACGAGCCCATCGTCCCTTGCCCCGACTCAGCTTCGGCGCCGCACAAACCTCGCAGGCAACTCAGTCCAACTTTCAGCACTTCTCCACCTCCACCCTCGGCATCCCTGACAGCGACGACGTGGTACGGCGACCTCGCTCGCCAGCCACGTTGAACATGCTGCGTACCATGGACAAACCCCAGTCGCAACCACAGCAGCTGGCTCATTCTCCTGGGTTTGACATGTCCTCCAACGCCTCCTCGGACTTGCAACAGCAGCACTTTCAGCATCATCAACAACAACAACAACAACAACAACAACAACAACAACACCACCACCACCACCAACAACAACAACAACAACAACACCACCACCACCAACAACAACAACAACAACAACAACAACAACCACCACCACCAACAACAACAACAACAACAACAACACACCACCACCAACAACAACAACAACAACAACAACACCACCAACAACAGCATCAACTCGAACAATTTCAGCAGCAGCAGCAGCAGCACGCAAGTGCGCTTTCCTCACCCGTTACAGCACAGCCTCCGGATTCGCAATCTAATGCTGTTAATCTGTCAGCGCACTTTTCGCAGGATCAGCACATGCAGCAAGCGCATGCACAACAGGATGGCACTTCTACTGTCCAGCAGCCTACAACGCCGCAGCAGGCCAGATTGCACAATCAAACACAACAGTCCTACTCGGCGCTGTCCTCGCCCTTGCAGCAGCAAGTCAACGCACAACATTTGCAAATGTCTCAGCAGCAATCAATGCAGTCGATCCAACACGAAGCCCAGCAGCAAGTTCAGCAAGCTCAACAAGCTCAGCAAGCCAGCCAACAGCAGCAGCAGCAGCGTCAACAAGAGCAGTCGCAAGGCAACACTCAACCTCAGATGATGCCAATGCAATTGACACAACCAGCACATCCAGCACAGTTGCAAGCGATGTCCCAGCCCCAAACCGCAGCCGTGACAGCTTCCGCGGTCAATGATGCTGCACAAAGGCCTTCCATGTCCACACATCAGCGTTCCCTCTCGTTGGGCTTGCACTTGCACCAGTTGGCGTCGCAACCCATGCCTCAGCATTCCGTGCCTGCCTCTGCTGACACTTTGCAGTCATTCGATTGGCCAGCTGCTCCGACACAGAATCAATTGCTCATGTCGGCGACACCTGCTCAGGGCGGCGAACCTTTCAACCCTGGTCATCAGCGAGCTGCCTCTCACAGCATCGGTCCAACACCTGCGATAGCAATGCAAGCGATGCACATGAACATGCAAGCTCTTCCTTCCGCATCCATCGACGCATCGCCTTCCCAAGCACAGGCCCAGGCTCAGGCGCAAGTTCAGGCGCAAGCTCAGTTGCAGGCACAGGCGCAGATACAGGCCCAACTACAAGCCCAGGCTCAGGTCCAAGCCCAGCTTCAGGCGCAGGCACAGATGCAAGCTCAAGCACAGCAGGCGCAAGCTGCAGCGATTCGTGCCGCATCTGCGTCCACACAGCAGCCCACGGCGCAGCACTCGGAATTGATGAACCAGATTGCAAAGCTGCTGGACGATGTTGTGTTGCAAGCCAACAGAGCTCGAGAGTCGTACCACAAAGGTGATGCTATGCTCAGCAACCGCTGTCTTGGTGATTTGCAGAAAGACTTGCAACACCTGCAGCATCTCTCGCACCGCAACTTTGCGCAAGCAGCGCCCGCATCTGCACCCGCTGCGGCCTTGCCCACGCAGTCCTTTGCGGACGTATCGTTCGCGACCCATCCCATGCAGGCGCACCAGCAGCAGCAACAACAACAACAACAACACCAGCAGGTCGTCCAAAACGGCTTGGCTCCTGCATTGACGCTCGAGCAGGGTCTCTCACGGACGGAAGCTCAACAACATAATCATCAGCAGCAGCAGCAGCAGCAGCAACAACAGGACATGCAACCGCTCGAGAATCTCACCCTCAGTAAGATGCAAGGCTCCCTGCAACAGCAGCACCAACAGCAGACGGCGGGCCCCGTGGAAGTCATTCACAGTGGTCAGGTGAGTCCGATTGTCCGTAAGAGGCCTGTCGAATCTGACAATGATCTGGCGGAGCAGCGCTTCAAGTCGCAGCGCTCGGAAATAGCGACGCCAATTCATCCTCCTCCAGCTCCACCTTCGGCGCCACCCACCATAGCAGGCTCGAATGCGGCCATGTCGCACATCCAGCCACCACTGCCACCCCAGAGTGCTCCACCTCCCCGGATATTGACCAGACTCTCAGGTGTTCCCGCTTCTAACACGCTTCTTGCTCAGGCCACCGCTTCGCTCTCTAACGGCGTGCAGTCGCTCAATGCATCTCCCACAACACCGCAGACGCCTTTCGAGTTCCCTCAGGCACAGCAAACCTTGTCTACCGCGATGAATGGAAGCGCCATCCCGCAGTCCATGCCTTCAAGCCCAGCGGTGCGACAGCATGGTCACATGCGCGGAGGCTCCCTGCACGACGCGATGACCATGATGACACCGCCGCCTATTCAGAGACAGACAGGCGCGGCCGAGAATGCGTTCGCAAACTGTGGCGATCGTGCCTCCGCCAAGATCTCAAGGAGTGCTCTGCAGATGTCTGCTATCTCTAGCAACAACACTTCTGCCAACCAATCTGCCGTTGATTCTGGTCCCTCTTCTCCTGACGAGTCGTACAGCAACGGCGACAGCGGAGACGAAGGCAACCTGACTGGTGAGACGAAAGAGCGTCATTTAACCAAGCACCGTCGACACCGCAGTAGCGGCTTCTTCTCCAGCGGTGCATCGTTCGACTTTGGAGCTCCCGAAGACGGCGGAAACGCAGGAGACAACTCGACGAGCAATGCGGACAAGAACGGTCCCAGCACCGTCCTTTCTCCCGAGCTTCGGAGCAAGCTCGAGACCATCTTCCATGATTTCCTTACGGCTGTCTGTTCCGATCTCGAAATCACCGATGACCGTGGCGAGCTCTTGCACCAGACCTTGATGCCCAAGAAGATGGCCAGGCTTGATGAGTCGCCCGACTTCCGTCCCTTCAAGTTCCGCATTCAGGCCTTCACCAACGCTTTCCAGGCAGAGGTATACCGCAACGGCATCAGCGAGGCCGAATGCTCGATCAAGAAGATTAAGCAGTTCCTGTGGACACAGCCCTACATCTCGCGCTTCAACGAGGACGGCAAGAAGGCCAAGTCGAAGGGTAATCACATTTGGATCGTCGAGGCGAAGAAGATCCCCGAGGGTGGCTGGCAGTTCCGCGAGTTCACTCGCAAGATCGCTGGCGCGCCCGAGAAGATCGCCTACGTCGGCCTCAAGTGGACCTGGCCGCTCAAGGTCTGGGACCCTCAGGCTTCATCGACGAGCATCAAGGCTGTCTTCTCTTGCAACAAGGTGCCGTCTTGGATCCACTGGGAGGAGAACAACAAGGTGCTGACGGGCACACCGACCGCCGGCAGTGAAAGCGGCGAGGTGAGTGTCACTGCTCATTATGTCCACAGCGGACAGCTGCATCAGCTTCAGCATTCATTCTACTTGCAGGTCGCATCGATTGCGGCTGACGATCTGCAGGCCACCGATGCCAAGCCTTCAGCTGGCACTGGTGCTCTCGCATCTGAGCTCTCTACCGGCATCAATGGAGCGCCACCTCGCCAAAACGTACCTGTCGATGCCACCGGCATATCGGCGGCTCCGGTCATGTCCAACATGATGCCACACCCGATGCAGCAGAATCTGCCACCACCAGGCCACGCTTTCATCAACGGGCAACCACCGGCCAACTTCCCCAATGAGTCGATCAATCACCAGGTTGTCGAGCCATCCAAGGTGCCCGCAGTCCTCAACGCCATCTCGTTCCCCTTCACGCCTCCCGTGCATTCTGACGCTCGCCCACAATACTTTCAGTCGCTGAACAACGAAGCAGCGATGCTGACGCCGCAGCTCTCGGATGTTCCGGGCACTGGGCCTGATGCTGGCGGGGGAGGCTCGCAGCTCTCGTCTGCCATGGTTTCGCCGATGCCACCCAAGATGAATCACAACCCCTTCCGAAGCGCACCTGCTCTGCAGCTCGCTAATGCCCCGTCACTGCAGGCCCCAGCTTCGTCGCAGGCACTCCAGCAGCATCTGCAGTCGGGTGTAGTGCTCCCGCCGCAGTCAGCCCCGATGATAGCTTCGCAGCCCGCGATGCAGCAGCATCAGCATCAGCAGCAACATCACACTGACAAGGCCTCGAGCGAAGAAATTCAAGTGCATCAGGTTCGAAGCACGATTGAGAGGAAGCAGCAGGCGCAAATAGCCAACTTTATGCTTTCGATCCCAACTCGCAAGGCCGCTATCGCTGCCGAGGCTGCGCGTCCAGTGTCGGGTCAGACCACCCCTATGTCTTCGATGCCGATGGAGATGGCAGCGCAGCTTCCAGCCTTGAACTCGCTTCCTCCCAACGAGTCGATGGCCAGCAGCATGACACCCAATGCCCTCAATGCTGATGCTACGCTTTCCCCTGCTCTCAATGTTGGCTTTGACGCTCTCGGAGAGGCCGGAATGCAGCTTGGACTTCAAGGCGAACAGCAAAATCAGTCTCAACAGGGCCAATAGCGCTGAACACGCAAAATAAACATGGACGTTGCCCAGAGTCCACAGAGCTTCACAGCTCAAGCACTTTCCCTCTTCCTACTCTAGATATGACGTTACGGACATTTTATACAGTCACCGTTCCGGTATTCGTTTGCTTTCGTTAGATCTCGTACTCTTGACCAACGACACGCTCCCCTCCACTATCAGCCCGCACTGTCCCCCCTATCCACTAACTTAGTTGACTCCCTCTCGTATAGTACACGATCGAGGGACCCAATCTACTCTCCCTTGTCACCGTCTCTTTTGTATTCCATCTCCTCTCTTGCACACGTTTTATGGGCATTTCAGTCAGTACTTCTACTCCTTTCTTCCCTTCCCTTCCTGGTTTCACTCGTCTCTAGATGTAACGGACGGCATGAAATAGCCAACTTATCCTTTCAATAGAAAACTGCCTGCGGCCCTGAGTGTCTTTGAGAGAAGGTCATGCTTCCTCGGTATCTTGTACGATACCCAAAAGTGGGATGCAACATCCAACAGAAAAAAAATTACAAGCGGTATCAAACTTTTTGTGTTTTTAGAAACACGGGTTTCTCGATTTTGACATGTTTTTTATCTTGCACAAAAATCTTATGTAAGCTCACCCAAAGTTGAAAAAACAGTTGAGGGAGACGCGTCGATACTCCAACGGGATTCACAGGGTCCGTGGAGCGTCACGGGGTCCATGGAAGATAAGCAAGTCATCAATGAGGCAAAGACACATATAGGTGGCAGCACATGTGGGATGCATAAGCATTGTCACACTAACATGCAGGAAGTGACAATGCAGGAGCAACACAACAAATGGCTCAACACAGGCTAGCACATGTGGAAGAGATTACCAAGTATATATATGATAACTTACATAGAAGCTAGTAGATAGAATTAACAACATAACTGCACAAAAGAAAAATGAAATTCCTCAACTAAAACACATGTTTCTGGAAAGACACCTCCAGACCAGGTAAAATGACCTCACCATTTTGGTTACTCTCCAAAATGATGTGCAGATGTGCACCCACTTGCTTTCCTCCTTGTCAACTTCATTACTTCATTACACTGGTGCACCATGTCCTTTATCACCAACAATGTATTTGATGCTGGCAGCCAGTATGCTTCTCTTTCCCCCTCTCCAACTCCCCCATCCAACACAGCACAAGAAGAAGGTGGGCCTTCTACATTTTCACTTGCAACAGGCAGCAGCACAATCCTCACTTACCCATCTCCTGTCACTACCACAATCAATCAGATGTCCAATAAGATAATTAAAGTGTAGAGTGGATGAGGATCCACTTGTCTACTATGACAAAGAGAATGTGTGTATATATAGATGTATACAGTGTCACCTGCGACACTGCTCCTGCTCCTTCTAAGAGGTGTATAACCTCTGCGACACTGCTCATACTCCTCCTGCTCCTCCTGTCTCATATGAGCACCTTCTTGGCATTGCTGCTGCTGCTGCTGCTGCTGCTGAGTTGTGTGGACACCTCTTCGTGCCTGAAACCTGATCTCTGTAGTAGAACCGCTTCTATTACAGATCCCGTCGAGTTATGTGATAAAGTCTCGTGTATTATTATTTTGATTGAGATCTGCTGTAGAAGGCCTCTATGACTTTTCTCACTCTAATATGTGATAGTTGGTGTAAGCGGTCATGCACCAGAGACTAGTTTTGGGTGTTATTTGTTCAGTATAGATGGGGTTGATTGAGTAAGGTCTACTTGGTATGTTTCAACTTAAAATGTAACCAGACATCTTTGACTGGTAAGTCTTGGCTGACCACCTTGAACACTCCATTCAGAGGTTGCATGGCACATACACTGTTTGTTGGAGAGTGAGTGATACCCTCTCCCTACAGTACAAGTGTTCACAGTACTGTTGATAATGCTCTTGGATGTTGTCTGGACCACAATATGTTAATCACCTACAGAGAATGGGAGTTACTGGACTGCAGGTGTGAGTCACCACCTACAATAACTAACTGGACTGCAGGTGTCAAGCAACACTGCCTACAGTAAGGGACTGGACCGCAAGTGTTGAAGAACACTGCCTACAGTTGAGAACTGGACTGCAAGTGTCTGGAAGACACCACCTACAGTTGACACCTAATGGTGATACAACACACATGTTTGAGGGTCATTGCAAGAGCACTCCTATTGCAATGGTATGAAACTAAGAGTCAAGTAAGTAAGTAAGTAAGTAGCATGTAGAGTGGATGAGGATCCACTCATATGCTATGGTGAAATGAGAGTATTTATGTGTTCAATTGGTGTCACCTGTGACACCTATCCCATTCCTCTTGAGGGGCCTTCGTCCCCCATTTGACACTGTCTCTCCTGCTGGCATTGATCCTGTTGATGCTGCACCCCTACCATCTGCACAGCATAATGGTTATGCAACACTGCCCTTTTGCCTTCATGCTCCCTTTCCACTTGATGACATGTGATGACCCCTTCGACACAGCTCCTCCTCTTTGTTTAACCAATCTGTCCACCATTTCCTTCTCTCTTCACCAGTGACCACCTTCCTGTCCTTATCTTGTGAAACCCCTTAGCCACCTGTTGGACCTTGTGACCAAACCCCTTGGTCATGCAGTCACCCCCTGTGCTTGGTCCTGTGTGGCTATATGCACACACCCCTCAAGCAGTAACTGTCCACATGATGCTGAGCTCGGTCCCCTGCTCCTACATGTGGTTATCTCTGTATGCTTCTCCTTCTAATGCCAGTACCTTCCTTCCTGAATCTCCTGGTACTTGCTCATATTGGCTGACTTGCTGAGGCATGCTGATCTGGCTGATTCTGATCAATCCTCATGAGATTAACCTGGAACCCAGAGTTCAGTTGATCTCATAAATCATATGTGCTACCAGCCCAATTAGCTCCATTGATCCCTGATGATTTGGTGCTGATCAACTTGGTGCACCCTTCATATGTTGATCTGCTGATCTTGTGTGACATTGCCATGAATGCTGTCAGTCAATTTGGCGCACCCTTCTTGCGCTGGCCCGCTGGCCCTGTGACAGTTGGTTTGCTATTGCAGGTTTCGACTGACCGCTGTGGACACTCTGTCCAGAGGTAGCTCAGCACAATCAATAACAATGGATGGGTTGCTATGACACCAAGGTCTGGTGTGAGTAATGCTTGTTGTCACTGACACAAGTGTCCAGTGTGTCAACTGAGTGCTTGAGGTGATCCCCAGACCACAGTGTATGACTGCCTTCAGTTCTATGATTGAGAGAGCTGGACTGCAGTAAGAACTGCCTTTGGTGTCGATCAATGTCAATGAGCAGTGATACAACACATGTGCTATGTTAGATGCAATGCTCTGCAATTGCAACTGTTGACAGAATACTAACTATACTTTCTGTGAAGCTATAACTAGTGATGTAAGGTGTAGAGTGGATGGGGATCCACTCACTTGCTATGACAAGGAACATGGTTATATACCATTCTTGCAGCATCGCCTGCAACACTGCTCTTGTTCTGGGAGGCCTCTTCAACCCTGCTCCTCCTCCTTGTCCCTCCTATCCTCTCCATCCACCTTGTGATGCTATTCATTGGCACTGCTTCCCTTGTCACCTGTGGATGGATGGGCCCCTCGCTGCCTCATCTCCATCAGGGGCCAGTCCCACTTCATCTGAGTGGTGATGCATGCTCCTACTCATCTCACCCACCAGTCTGCCTTAAGTTTATTGTCCGGTCAAGCCCCTTCTTCATCTGGTGGTGACCTCTCCTTGTTCATTGTCATCCTCTTGCCCTATCAGCAATAGAGGCCTCTCTCAAACTGATTCCTGTGAGATCTTCTGTAGTGAGCATGATACTACTAGTCCTACCAACTCCTGTAGGAAGACCCATGTTCCTACCAATCATGACAAGTTATGCCATAGAGCTGTTGATCCTACCAATCTCACTGAACTCTGTTGGAACTCCACTTTTGCTCGATCCATGATGTTTGCGCAAGATCTCTTCATATGAGCTCCGTTCTTCCTGCGCACCCATCCGGTCCCATGACAGGCCCCTTCCTTGCATATGGTCTCCTTCTGTATGTCTCTGCTCGCCACCAACAATGGTGACAAGCCTCCTCTGGCTATCCTGTCGCTCCTATGTGATTGCTTGACTTGTGATGCATCAATGAGTCCTTCTCGCAGTATGTTTGGCAAAATCTGCTGGATGGGCTCGTTCTGACCGATTTCACATTTTGTGCACACACTGCACATCCAATGCATGTCCAGGGTCTTCTGCGCAGACCCAGTGACAGCAATCTGCCTTCACACTTGGACCCTTCTCACACATAGCTGCTGAGAAAAGCCGTGACCTGTGGTTCTTCAACTACTCTCTCTCTTGAGTCCAGGTTTGGGTTGAACATGCCATTGCCTACCTCAAGAATCAATTTCAGTGTGTCAATGGGTACAGAGGGAACATGTACTGTGTCAAGGATCATAAGATGGTGTCAGTGGTCATGTGCCTGGAACCCGAAAGCTACCTGTTTGGGTGATTTCAACCAGTTTCAGTGAGTGCTCTTGAGTATGCACCTGTCAGCCACTTTCACTGAGACTGCTTGAAGGATTATTTGTTTGGTGAGTTTTGGCTAACTGCTGTGAACACTCAGTTCAGTGGTAATGCAGCACAGTCAGTTCCTGCTTGTTGCAGAACACTTAATATATGGGATGGTAATCCATTGACTTGACACAAGTGTTCAAGGTGTCGATGAGCAAATGGCAAATTGGTGAGAGAAGCCCAGACTGCAGTATGAGTACTGCCTTTGGAGAGATGATTATCTGGACCACAGTAACTACTGCCTACAGACAATGTCAGTGAGGGGTGATATGACACACCTGCTTGGATTAGTAGCAACAGTCTGTGATTGCACTATGTGACAGAACAACTAAGTATATGTTACAGTAAAGTATAGTTTAGTTAAGAATAGAGTGGATGCCAGATCCACTCATTCACTATGATGGGGGGGTGTATATATATCTTTTTGCCATGGTGTCAACTCCACCACAGCCCCCCTCCATGCAGGGGTGTGGCCTCTCTGTCTACCCTTGTCTATCTGGCTCCTTTGGCATCTGAGTCCTTCCTGCTCCTACTCCTCTGGCTGAGGTGGTGATCCTCCTATGCTGCCTTCATTGTACTCAGGGGTTACTCTCCCACCTCATCAGGTGGCAAGGTCTTCTTGTCCCCTGTTCCCAGTGGCTGGCCCTATGGTCTTACTGGAGTGTCTTCATCTCATCATGAGACCGATTGATCCACTTCATCTCAGGCCAGTCTTGGTGAAACTTCCTGCAACCCATTGTCTTGACCATTCTTGATGAGGTTTTGCCCCCAGCTCTTTGTCTGACCATTCTTGATGAGATTGGTTGGAGCCCCTGGGTCTCAACCAGTCCTGCTTCCTATGCACCAAGCTCATTTCGGCAGCTGCGCAGCATGGCTGCTTATGATCTCTGCGCTGGCCCTGTGACAGATGGCAGCAAGGACTATCCAAGCATGCATTGTCAACCATACATTTGCAAGCCAATACAATTGCCCAGACAACATTGCAGAACTCCTTTGCCCAACCTTCCCTGAGGAAGAAGTTGTTGAAGTAGTTGAGACTCTCAGCATGAACCCAATCCAGAGGGGGGACATACAGAGTCAACAGCAGGAAAATCAAGTTCAGTACAAGAAGGGCACAGCAAGTACACAAGGCACAGCCCAGCCTGCCTTGACACAGCATTGCAGTTCAATGGTGCATGATCTTTGGGAGAGAATGTTTCAGGTGCTGTTCACTTCCACCAGCCAACAGCAGGAGGACACAACTGTGTGCTCCAGGCACCACAAGAGGACAGCTGAGGACTACAATGCAATGTTGGCATGGGGCTGGTTGGCCAGGCAATGTGGTCAATTGACCACATCTTTTCCACCCTAGCATCTGGCTTCATTGTCATATTTAGTTAGATCCTTCTGTAAAACACTTGATTGACCATTATTGTCTGTAAGAGTGTCAAACAGAGGTTAACATGATACTGATGGCAGCTTCAGTATTGACAACATACATGTTATATCAAACCAATTGCCACCTTTGTTGCAAATGTGTTTTTAGAAACACATGTTTTTTTTGGGTGCTCAAAAATGGTTGCCAAAGGCGCGTGAACAAAAACACGTGTTTCTAACCTTAGCCTCTACAAACCTCCACCAAATGGTGATTCAGCCGAGCCAGGAAGATCGCAGAACGAAAGATGAAAAGTACTCAATCGCAACCTCTTGGCAGGAATGGGCGGGATCGGAGGAATAGCAGAAGCCGGATTTTCGTGTGGTCGGCCCCCCTTTCAATTCTTCTCGTTGTTGTCCTGCAACGGATCGTACGCACAGAGCACCTTCAACAAGTGCTACACCTTTGACGATGGTGAGGACAGGTTGCCTGAGGCTCAGATCAGTAGGGAGCGCGAACAAATCGAATGGCAATCGAGCGAGACGATCAAGAGAATGGACTGAGCGGGAGGAAGCATCGCCGATATAGACCGAGAGAAGGAGGTGTGTGCGTCAGTGCACCGCTGAGAAGACTCGAGGGTGTGACTGTAGATCGCACAACACGGCGACGCGGTAATTCTTGGCCCGCACAGAGCGGCTGTTCTTCTGACCCTTGCTTGGTCGGTACCGATGGGCGATCTCATTTGCGCAAGTTCTCCACAGCTCTGTGTTGCCCTTTCTCTTTTCCTTTCTTCTTCACCCATCATCACTCATCTCTTCGACGTTTTAGGTATCGCACAACATGGCTACTACCACTACTCGCGGTTCCAGGGACAGCCCCTTCCCTCCTCGTACGTATCACCCTCCTTGACACGCCTGGAAGCGTCTGTCGAGAGAGCTTACTCATGCTTAAAGTTCTAGTCGCTGACCATCTCACCTTTCCCCCATCTGCCCGCCTATGCGACTTTCCACATTGCAATCGACGACGACCCAACAGCCTCGGAGTCCGAGGTCAAGAAGGAGCTCGGCATGAAGGGTGACACCATCTCGGGTGGTGGTTCTTCTTCCTCCACCGAGCTTTCCTACCTCAAGAGCCTCGTTTCCCAACTCAACGAGAAGATCTCCCAGCTTGAGAGCAAGGCCTCTTCCGCCGTTTCTTCCATCACCGGTGGTTCTCGGGAAGGTGTTCGCATGATCCTCATCGGCCCCCCTGGTGCCGGTAAGGGTACACAGGCACCTAAGGTCCTCGAAAAGTTCAACAACTGCGTCTGCCACCTTGCTACTGGTGACATGCTTCGCGAACAGGTTTCCAAGCAGACCGAACTCGGTAAGATGGCCAAAAAGATCATGGATCAGGGAGGACTTGTTTCGGACGAAATCATGGTCAGCATGATCAAGGACCAGCTTGAGACCAACCCTGCTTGCAAGGCTGGTTTCATCCTCGACGGTTTCCCCCGCACCACTCCTCAGGCAGAGAAGTTGGATGGAATGTTGAAAGAGAAGAACCAGAAGTTGGACCATGCGGTTGAGTTGAAGATCAACGACAACTTGCTTATTTCCCGTATTACCGGTCGTTTGATTCACCCTGCTTCGGGTAGGAGCTACCACAAGGAATTCAGCCCTCCCAAGAAGCCAATGACCGACGATGTCACCGGTGAACCCCTCATCCAGCGCTCGGACGACAACGCAGAGACGCTGAAGAAGCGTCTGTCCACCTACCACGCCCAAACTGCTGCTGTTACGGATTACTACAGAAAGCAGGGCATCTGGGCTCCTGTCGACGCAAGCCAGAGCCCCAAGGTCGTCTGGCAGAGCATCAACGCTATTTTCGAGGCTAAGAAGCAGAAGGAGGCTTCCAAGTAGATGCCGTAAATGCAATGCGCACCCTCAGTGGAAATGCCAGAGAAGCATTGCCTCTTAAATCAAATGTAAACCTCAAATCAAGCTCAACACAAAGATCTTGTTTTGTGTCACGCTTGTGTGTTGATCAAGTCAGCAGAAGACATTGTGCGAGACATGCTCCGTCATACGTCGGAGCAATTTTTTCACATATCGGCCGGACAGTCACACATCGGAGACCACGCCACTCACTACATCCGTCACACGTCACACGTCGGAGCACAAGGAGTCGAAATGAGGGCAAGTGACTGACTAGACATTGCAAAAGACGACCATAAAGGTTCGAAGATTTTGAGTTGACTGCTTATGATGACACTTCCGCATCCTCCAACACAATGTTATTCCCACTATGAAGAGGCGTTGTAATGCTCAAGAAGCTGCTGGAGTCGTAGACACCAGATGGTGGATGACTGTTTGCAAAGTCGGATGGGACTCTGATCCCTGTATGCATATGCGAATGCTGCGGAGTTGAGTTGACCGCCATCCCACTTCCTCTGCTATAGCTGTAGCTTCGGTGTGCATCTCCACTATGTCCTCCCATCTGCAATTGACTATCCACAGCTTGACTCTCGCTTTCCATTCCTGATCGGTTGTACGTCCCGGAATCGGCCATAGAGAGATGGGACTGACTAAACGAAGCTGAAGTGAGATCGTGAGGATGGATGCTCAACTTGCTTCCCGGGAGAGTCTTGTATCCTTCGCAGATGCTTTTGACTACTCGCAGCACTGAAGGGTCCAAGTCGATGGCTACACTGAGATGGTGTGTAATCTCAGCTTGGAACGCGGATGGTAGCGCCATGACGCCTGACACTCGTCGTGCTGCACTTGCTTTTGCTGCACCTGATCCACCAGCACCAGAGCTTTCGAGATGACAGAATGCTCCTCCGCCCAACCGCATGTACGACTGAGCAAGCAGGATGTGTATGCTCGCCTCCTCCGGTGCCAAGTCGTGCGCTCGGACCAGATCTCTGTGGCTCGACTCCGTATCTCCATGTTGCAGTAGCAACTCTGCCCGACGTAAGTATGTCAACACGGATGCGGAAGGTGCTAGCTCGATTGCTCGATCGTAGCACTCGAGTGCTTTGGCTGGTGCATTGATGAGCGAGAATGTCCATCCGACTAGGTCCCACAAGATGTGGTTGCCAGGATTGATGTGGATGGCCTGTTGCAGACTCTTGCATGCTGCGTGTTCGTGTTCACCTATACCAAGGTAGACTCGGCCAAGACCAGCCCATGCGTTCCAGTGTCGACGGTCGCATCGAATGGCGCTACGGAAGTATGCGATTGCTTCGTCATGCAGGCCCAGATCGTGTGCTTCGTGACCGGCGAGCGTGAAAGCGTAGGCGTATTCCGGTGCTGCCGCCGCGGCGCGTTGGAAGCAGACTAAAGCCGTCTGATGCTCTTTTTGCAATGAAAAGGCGTTGCCGACGACAATGTGAGTGGAGGCAGTGCCAGGAGCAACCATAGCCAAGTGCTGTGCGAGCGCGGACAGTTTGACCTCGCGCGAGAGATGGAAGAGGACGAGAGAATAGACATCCATATGGCTGGCAATGCACGGGTTGAGCTTGCGAGCGGCGGTAAAGTGGGTCTCGGCAGAGGCGTACTGTGAGCTTTCGGCGTAGCTTCGACCCAAGAGAAGGTGTTGAAGTAGGCTGTCTTTAACTTGAAGGTCGATTAAGCGGGAAGCTTCGGATTTGAACGGGGTGACGAGCGAGCCTTCTTCAGCCGCATCGCTTAACTGAAGTTGACTCTTCTCGGCTTTCCCGTCTGACCCAGCGCCAAATGCCGCAAGCACAGGCTGTAAGAGCACAGCAGCAGCTTTGTCGCCTTCGCATACACGCAAAAGTCGGTATGCTTCTCCGACCTGCGCCAGTAGAGCCAGGACGTATCTGTCTGCCGCGTGCTGGTGTGCCAGAGTAGTGAGTTGCTGAAGGCAAGTCTCTCGGAGAGACGACAACTGGGCGAGCTTCAGCCTGACGTCGTTCTCCTCCTTCTGACGCATTGCTTCGGCCGCTGTTCGACTCGAGGCGAGGGCTCCGTTAGTACGCGCTGACGAGCTCGGACCACTCATTGAGGTGGAGCTGGCTTTCGACATGGCGCTTCCTGGACGACTAAGGCTGCCCGCGGTAGAGGATGCCGTGGGACGGACTGCTGTTGTCGCCGTCGTCCGCTTTGTGGACGGGGCTGTAGCATTTGTGGTGTTTGCCCGAATCGTTGCGGTAGCCGGTTTGGTGGCTCGGTTACGGGACGGAGCTTGATTCGGCGCTGACGTAGCGACTCTGCGTGTGGAGACGGCAGTTCGAGCTGTCGTGACAGTCGTACGAGACGATATGGACGAAGTGGACGAGCCTGATGAAGTGGATGAGACGCTGCCAGCTGCACTTGTTACTCCTGCTCTGCTGGGAGCGGCACCAGCACGTGTAGCAGCACCGGATACGGGAGCAGTGGAATTGCCGCGAGTGGAGCGCAATGGTCGACCATTCTGGCTCGTTGCAGGATTTGACACGGCGGCAGTGCGCACGGTAGTAGTGCGAGTGGGACGAGTAGCTAGAGTGCCGACTTTGGAAGCTTTGACGTCGTCCTGATCAGTAGACATGGGCTCGAGATGGTGGGTGTTGGTCTGTGCAGCGGAGAGAGCTCGAGAAGCTGGATGCAGGCGTGTGGCTGTGACGGTGCTAGCTGAAGTGGTTGGCAAGGGAGGAGTGAGTTTGTCCATAGGCTTGGAGGCAGCACCATAGCGGGCAGCCGCAGCAGCTCCTAACGTCGGAAGAGGAGGCACCTCTGACGAGACCCTGAGCTTCTTGTTGGAGCCATCTTCGGATACTTTGCGGATCATAGTGGAGGGTTGAGGTTGCTCGGTCGAAAAGGGCGCTGATACCCTGAGAGCTGCTTCCATGGACGAATACGGTGTCTGCACTTCTATGACGAGGTTGGTATAGAGCCGTTCTAGAGTTGAGTCGCCGAAGTGCTTGTCAGCAGAGCCAGCGCCATAGCCTGTATCGCAAAGTCCAGTCCAGGCCCGCCAGTTGAAAGGGTCTTGCTCGAGGGCCTTGCAGAAGCTGGATCGTGCGTCGTCGGTGCGATCTCGACTGGCCGCTTGGTAGCCGTCATCGGTCTGCAATTGAGAGTGAAAACGAGACTGCGTCGAGATGAGTTGAGGCAAAGTAACATCTTGACGAGATATATCTATAGCTTTGCGTTTGCCCAGCACCTTGTCTTTGAGAATGTCTGCCACCTGAATAGCATCTGATGACCTAGAAAGGGTGCGAGAGGCATCTCGATACTCCCTTGCGCTTCCAGCATCCTGGAAGGTGGCGGCTGAGCCTTGTTGGAGAATGTGAATACAAGCTTGAGCGCCTGCGAGATCATGAGGATCCTGAGAGCTGAGTTTGGCAGCCGATACAGATGCAGAAGCGGCACTTCCGGAAGGGCTGAATGGAAGAACAATGTTAAAGCCGCCAAGACGAGCGCATCTTGCCAGTGTTCTGCGAGCCGCGGTGGAAGGCGGGTCGAGGCAGACAGCATAAATGGCGAAGAAGGTCGCAGAGCACAGGTCCAGCTCCCAATCTAGTGGATCAGGCGTAGCATCATTTGGATGAAGCGAAAGGAAAGAGCGCGCAAGAGAGACGAGGCGCCGCGCGATAAGCTGAGGCGACGGTTGAATGCGGTGCGTAATTTGGAGCTCAGTGATGGTCGGAAGTGGCGGTGGCAGCTCAAGCTGCAGTGCCGGACTTGCTGTCTGTGGTGCAGCTGCGGCAGTGGTGGTCGTCGGTCTGGATCGAACTGAAGTTGTGGTCGGATGCGCTGATGAAGTCGAAGTGAATGCAACAGGCTGTCGCGACTTGGCGAGCGGCATTTCCAAGAGGATGAGTACCGATTTGGATTACGTGAGGTTCAAGATGATGAGCCGATCAACATGCTGAAGCTGCCTTGTTGCCGGACGAGCCAATACTGGGGAGATGTCGTTGTTCGTGATTGTTGTGGAGGAACAAGATGTTCGGTTGAACGATGCCTCTAGCGAGGGGCTGCTTGTGATAATGTACAGATACACGCCTAAGCCTCTTGCAGCTTTGCCGCTGTGGATGATCGATGTTCGGGCTGAGATGAGGATGGTGAGAGGATGATGACGAGCGCTAAGCAAGGTTGAGTGTGAATATGGTACACACACATGTAACCTGTGAGCTCCGTGTATGTGTTTTTCGAACGACACAAACACAGGGCCACGAACTGCGCGCTCGCGACGTTGGGGATCGGGATCGGGATCGGGATCGGGATCGGGCCACAGTTAGGCAATCGAAATCGAGAATGTGCTTGACTTCTTCCGGCCGAGTCGTCTTGAAAGAAACGCGCTTTCCGCAGAGTTCGCCTTGTGCCTGGTCGCAAGGTCTGTCTGGAAAATCCGATCCGAAAAACACAGACAAGTCAAAGGATCGACAGCACATAAGAGAGAGCCGAGCATGTTACTTTTGACAACGGCCTGCAAATCGTTGTATACGCTGATGGTTGCTTCCCATCTTGGACGTTGCGATTACGTTGCTTGAGTGTTACTGACAGCAAGCAATGGAAGGCTTACGTCGATGCTGCACCCACATGAATGTCTTGGCTCGCTTGAGAAGGCGATAGGAGGCAGGTTTGATGCAGAGCACATGTGCTCCTGCAACCCCCCTTTTCTTGTTTTTCTTTTTGTTGAAATGAGATGCAGCAAACGCTGGATCCAAGCCTTTGGTGGGCTGACCTGCAGCTGCAACACACACTATCTCTCTCTCTCATGTCTTGACTTGCTCACTCCTCGTCATCACTTCCATCATCATCTCTCCTTTGCTTCGTATACCACCCCTCTCCCCGGCTCCATCTTCCCCAGAAGTACCACAACCGACTCACCGCTCCCGTCGCGAGGCTCCTGACCCTCAAACACACTGCTCTTCATCACCTACACTCTTTTCGAATCCTTCTTGAACTTTTTCTGTTCTGCTACGTCTCGAATCCAATAGCCTTGTCCCCTCGATACCGCAATTTTTTCCAACTCTTCCTACTTCTCTACTGCTCTCTGTCTCGGTCCAAGCTCGAGTAAAGATCATCGGTCGCCTTGAATCCGAATCCACCTTCGATTGATACCTCAACAGTACAAACTTCAACCTACATCGCGAACAGTCTTCCGTAATCTACATCATGCGCATCTCCTCAGCGCTTCTATCAGCAGCGCTACTGCCCCTGGCAGTACGCGCCGCCTTCCACTCCAACGACACTGCGTGCACCCGTCACTATACAGTCCAGGCAGACGACACATGTGACAAGATCGGTCAAAAGACCCTCACTTCCACCTACCAGATCCTCGCCTTCAACCTTCTCAATGCTGGCGCAGATTGCTACACTCTCGAGATCGGCTCACGGCTCTGCCTCGGCCGCTATGGCAACGATTGTCAATTCGTTCACCAGTGCACAAATCAGGACACGTGCGAAAGTATCGCAAATGCGTACCGCATCACGACAGAGCGTCTGCAGAGCAACAATCCAAGTCTCGACTGCAACACCGTCTATGAAGGCTTGATGCTTTGTGTCAGTGCTGGAAGCATCAGGCCGCCCGCAGATCAAAGTATCAACGCGACCGATGTCAAGGTGGCCAGAGAACAGGCGAGGCAGAACTGGTTGATGCAGGAGCGCATCAAGATGCCCGATGCCGACAACAAAAAGGAGGGCAAGGACAAGCATCACCACGCTCATACAACGAGCAAGCAACAAACATCACACAAGAAACAGCATCACCACGCTCATACAACGAGCAAGCAACAGACATCACACAAGAAACAGCATCACCACGCTCATACAACGAGCAAGCAACAGACATCACACAAGGAACAGCATCAGCAGCATCACCATGCGCAGAAGCACTCGCATCGTTCCGGTAAAGGCAGCAAAGACGGCAAGAAAAGCCAGAAGCCCGATGCAAAGCAGCACATCGTTCGACCAGGCTCGCAAAACCCTTCTACTCTCGTTGCCCAAGATTCATCACCGCCTGCTGTGCAGGGCCAAATAGAAAAGCCGGGTCATAGCCATCAGCACCAAGCACATGCAAGACCAGCGCAGGATCAAGCGGCGCCACCACAACAGCGCGTGCAAGCTTCACAACCATCCGCAGCGCACACAGATGAGCTTGAGCACAACTTCATCGATGGCATCTTGCCCGCTGCGGTCACCGGCTCAAATCATACCCCACCACCAGCACAGCAACCACAGCGACGTCATCGTTCGCTCTCATCTTGTTCTCATTCGCATCGGCGTTCACATATCCTTTAAATTCTTCGTTCGCCTCTCACTATGTTTGACTCCATTCACGCGATATAGCACTCCGTTGAATCTATCTTGCTTCGATTAGCACTTCTGTACATGCATGCTAGAAAACGTTGTTGTGAGAGTCACATAAAGGCTACGAAGAGGCAGACGGGCCCTGCAGAAGATCAAAGATACGACTGCAAGCCAAGTCGAATTCAGCGCCTCTGTTGCTATTCATCCTCTCCGTCTGGTTTCCCATTTGGGAAGGAGCCGAAGTCGGCATTGTAGGCGAAGGCTGAGCAGACACTAGTTGCTCTGCATCCTGCATCACCGCACGCACCTGTGTGGGAAGACAGATCCTCCTCTGTTCTGCAGTAGCCGCATCGGCAGGACCGTGAATTTCAATCTCGAATAGTTCATCCCTGCTTCGAGCAGGAGTAGCCGCGTATGAACTGGGTTGCAGATAAATGCGAGAGATGCTGCGCTGCGATGCGTCGTCCGTCGGCATCGAGAGGTCGAACACGCATTCCGGCTTTCTTCTCGCAGTGGTCGCACTGGTCGGAGATGTAGGAGTGCTTGGCCCATCCGTGTAGCCAGAGGCGAGGGCAACAATTCGAAGGTCTTCAACGTGCGATCGTAGACGCTCCCACGACGAACGGTCGAGCTTGCGAACCGTGCGACCCGTACCATCGATGAGAAAGTTGGGTTCGAACAGGGCATAAATCAGCTCCGGCGCAGCTTCTTCGCGGCCAGTCGAAGCGTAGATGAGAACGCATGTCTCGAACGAAGGAACAAGCTCGCCAAGTGTCAACATCGATGGGCGGGACAAGAGCGCTGCCGATGCTGCTGATCGTCGTCGACGCAACGTGCGCCCTTCACTGCCAGCACAGCCGGCAGCAGTAGTGGAGCACGTCTGGTTGAAGCTTTCGCTCACCATTGTGGAACGCTCGACGCTGTTGAAAGAGTAGATAAGGTGCAAATGATGATGACAATGCTGTGGTCAAGATGGTGAGAGTCAGGAAGAGGCAGAAGGGGCCACTCGAGCGACTTTTCATCTATGTGCAGCGAGGTCCAGCTCGTGCGTGCAAGTGGTTGGTGGCAAGTTGTCCCGCCAACACCCTTGCAGCAAGCAACAGCGGCGCATTAACTTAGCCTACTCTGAATTGCCAATAATCCCGATTGCGTTTGCACGCGGCAGCCGCTTTGCTTCGTCGTCCATCCTGCGTTGCCATTTGTATGTGGTCTGCAACGTGTCCCGCCTCAACTCGGAGAGTCGATGCAGTGCGCAAGGACGGTGGGTCCATTGTTGAACATGTTCATTGTACTTCAGCAAGTTGCGAAGGTCCGAGCGTGTTCGGAAGACGCATGTCTCAATCGAATCAAACGGTCGAACTGCAGAGGATGTGAGCCAAAGAGGCTCGCACGCTTAGCACTGCATGCAAACGGCGGCTGCTGGTGGATAAGGATGATCGCATGGTGGGACCACAGAAGCGTTCATGCGAAAGCGTCTGTCTACATTCCAGAGCCGCGAGTCATCAGAGCTATTGAACGACCCAACGCTACTTCCGGCTTTTGACGGGGGATGGGGACGCAGCCTCCGCGGCCCCGGCCTCCTCGTTCTCCAGCAAAGCCTTGATCTTGCGATTCTCGCTCTCGATACGGAGGCTCTCCATGATGTGGTCGAGACCTGTGCTTGGGTCGTGCTCGCCTTCCATGATAGCATCAATACCATTCAAGCTGAGGTTGATGCGGTGATCTGTGACGCGGTCCTGTGGGAAGTTGTACGTGCGGACACGGTCGCTTCGATCCATGCTTGCCACTTGTGCAAGACGGCGTTCGCGATTGCCCTCCACCTCTTGCTTCAATTTGCGGTCAAGCAGTCGTGCTCGCAGAACTGCCCAAGCCTTGGTGCGGTTCTGATGCTGCGAACGACTGTCCTGCATAGAGACCGAGATACCGGTGGGCTCGTGGGTGAGCCGAATGGCAGACTCGGTCTTGTTGACGTGCTGTCCACCTGCTCCACGTGATCGCATCACCTCGACCTTGACATCCTTTGGGTCCACGAGGTCGTCCGCCTTGCTTTCAGACCCTTCAGAGATAGGTAATACCATCACTGCGATCGTCGATGTTTGCAGCTTGCCCAAGCTCTGCGTTGATGGGATGCGCTGGACGCGGTGAACACCGGCTTCAAACTTGAGCTTCTGGAAGACGCCTTTGCCTTTCACCTCAATGATGGCTTCTTTGAGGCCTGCACCTGATCCAGAGGACGAGGAAGAGACGTCGACACTCGTACTTGACAGCATCTCGACTTGCCATTCTCCCGATCCGTCCTCATCTACCGGCTTCTGTTCGCAGAACCGCTCGTACATGCGAGCCACTTCCGCGGTGAAGAGCGTGGATTCTTGACCTCCAACACCGGGGCGAACTTCAAGCACTGCACCGACAGCCTGCGATTCGATAGCATCGGTCACGGATGCCAGGATAAGCGCCTCCATGTCTGATCGCAAGTTTGACAGCTCTTCCTCAAGCAATGTTACCTCCTCGGATGCCAGCGCCCGCATGTCCTCGTCTGGATCGTTTTGTCTCATGTTGAGGGTAGTGACGAGCTGTTTGCGCTTTGACGAGAAGGTCTCCCATGCCTGTCGCAGTGGATCGAGTTCCTTCAGTTGCTTTCCTACTTCTGCATTGTCGACACCTTCTGTTGATTCGAGCAAGCGCTGACGCTTTGCCATGCGAAGCTTAGCCAGACGCACAACCGGGTCTCGATCAATGCCCAAGGAGGGTTCCACGGGCTCTGGTGGTGCAGTCGCCTTGGCCGAGTACGTACGAGCCCAGCGAGGCTCCGCCAGAGATCTTGTCTGCCATGGAGACGGTGGTGCCCTTGCTGATCGTGACAAAGAATGTGTGATCGAAGGTGTCGATGAAGCTTGAGGAGGTCTGCATCTGCGAGAGTGATAAGGTCGTGATGATGACACTGCCGCCGTCGTGTGCAAACTCCTTTCCGCAACCCTCGAAGGTCCTGCGAAGGCCATGACGACGGTACCGCGAACCGGCAGAAGAAGACTGCCAGTCATCGCTTCAATCAGCTCTGACCAACCACAAAGGAAGGGGAAACGGATTTTGTCAGTGCGAGTATGGCTTGGTCGATGGCTTGGTCGATGGCTTGGTCGATGACTGGGTCAGATACCACAAGGGCTATATTGGCAAATCTTCTCGAGGACCCTGAGAAGAACAGCTTTTTCTCGTCGGATCTCGGGCCCTGTCGTTGACATCCGTGTTCCGAACTTCAAACAAAAATTTCGGATCTAACAACACGTCCCTTGAGCCAAGTGCTTTGGATGATGCCATGACCGGAAGGGTCCTCGCTATCTCGGCTGATAAGGACACAGCTGCAAACCTGTCACATAGCAACAACCTTGAGGGTCACAATTCGGATAGCGTGCTATGTCCAAACCACGACACCGGCCAAGCCCAACAGCTTACGATGACAGCAGACGCCTGTGGCCTCATGCATCCGCTCCTGGTCGATGTCGTGTGTAGCAATGATCAAGTCGATTTGACGTGACCGAGACGGTACTCGCTCTCCAGTCGTTGACTAGCCCTGCAACCTGCACACAAGCTTTCTCCGCCGGCTCCTAGGCGATGTTGCGGGGTTAGGCTGCTAGACAGCCAGCCAGCCGTCTTGGATGATCATTCTTATAGCTGACTACTTGGCAGTGTCGTTCTAGCCTCATCCTACCCACCATCACACCATATCCACCAGCTTCATCCATTCGAATTACTGTCAGTGACATTGCCATCTCGGCCCTCTGACACCACCTTCGACATCATGACTGTGACTAAGAGGAACGAATCTGCTTCCAGCTCTCCACCACCGCTTGAGCCGAGCGAAGACGGAGAGCAGCTGTTCAACAAGGACGGCAGTCGACGCAAGTCTCGCGTACTCCGTCGGAAGACGGACCACTCCATCATCGAGCGGCGTCGACGAGAAAAGATCAACGAGAAGTTAGTAGCGTTGCAGAACATCGTTCCAGCTTGCCGAAAGGAGTGCCAGGACCTCATCGAGCGCAAGTTCGTCGCACCACTACGCGAAACCGAGGACGACGACGCAAGAGGCAGTTCTGCAAGCAAGAAGACCGCCAAGCGCAAGCGAGAAGAAGAAAAGCTCAAAAAGGCGAAGGACGAGATGACGGAGAAAATTCAGACAAGCATGATGCTCGAAAAGCTCTGCATCATCAGTCATACACTGGACTTTGTGCTGAAGCTGCAGGAGGAAAACAGAGCGCTCAGAGCATTGTGCAAATGCCAGGCCGAGCGTCGAGCTTCCATCACAAGCGATGTCGAGCTGGATGAGCATTATCACAATGCTCACAGCAACGATGTCCAGCAGGAGGCCGCAAGTCAGGCTCTCAGTAGGATTGCTTTCCTCATGGAGGACATGAAGCGCCCTTCTCTATCGTCGTCCTCGTCGGAAGAAGAGACACTGTTACAAGAAGATCTACAGAGGCCAGCAAAGCGCCGGCTACATTGGGGTAGCGACGACGTGCGTGAGGCTTCTATTCGTAGTGAAATCTGTCGTCTCCGATGTCATGCAACCCCCGAGGACCATGTCCGCCGTCGCGAACGTTCCCTATCGCTCAACGAAGCACAGACGATACCTCGCATTGGCAGCAAGGAGCAGAAGACTGTCTTGACCTTACATGGCGGCCAGCTTTCAGTAACGGACTCTAGCACCTGTCATTCATTCTGTCGAACAAGACCCTCTTCCTGCCGAGAAGAGGAGCAGAGCTCGGAGACCTCTTCAGACGCTTTCGAGAGCCTGCCCTCACCCCCTCCATACCCGCAGGGATGGCAGCAAGCCAGTTTCATCGGCCAGTATGCACTTTCTGGTCGCCCTCGATTGCCACCCATAGCCAATTTGGGATTGCCTAAGCAAGGGTCACAAATTGCAACTCTCAGACATGACACGTTCGCATCCCTGTACCGCAGAGACGTGCCTAGAGTAACTGAGACTGCAACATCTCGGGCTTTCCGTCCTTTGTCCTTATATACTTCACATACCTCGCCAACTGGTCTTTCGACCGTCAAGCCATAGATACCTTCAAGATGAAATTGAGAGTACTGGACAGAATTCACATTGCGTCAACACCACTTTGCTGAACATGGCTGTGCTACTTGGAGGTGTCGGTCTTTTGACTCTTCAATTGACCCTAGGTTTTCGCCTCTACCGTTCCAACCACAAAAGGGGATCAGGAGACGGGGGCTCGACCCACTATTCGCCTGGTTCGTCGATACGCCATGAGGCGGAGAACTCTATGCGAGAGTGAGGTTCCCAGTCATATGGAAATCAAACGCATCCCAACTTGGACTCTAACAGCGTTCGATACCATGCAATCGCTCACCACGAGCACGCTTGAGTGGTGAGTAATTGCCTACACAGAAACCATACAGCCAAACACTGGGCTGCACGTTGGTCTCATTGCGTCCTTGTGGCTGTTTCACACACATAGTTTCACCGGAGAAGTCTCAACATGCCTTGTCGCGGTGGAAGGGCAATAAACAGCAAAAGTGACACTATACCGAACAAGATACACTGCAGTACAGATTTGAGCTGATCTTCGAATGTGATTGAGCCCGTTCTCAGACGGATGAGCAATCAGCCAGGTTCTGCTCACCGTCGAGTCACGAATGTCAAGAGGCTTGGTTCTATCAGGCAGATGTACTGAGCAAGTTTCAAACTCAAGGCTCAAATTTAAGGCAAGGTGCAGCAAAGAAGCAGATGCGAGATGAACAGTAAAACAATTGAAGATAACAATTAATATACGGCATTATCGGGGTCACAATCAGACTCCCTTTACCACAGCCATATGTTCTATGTAATGCTTAGTTTTTCATGGTGTGAACCTAAATGACAAACACATATATATATACTCTATTCACCACTCTAGTCCTATCCAAGACAGGACATGTCACTTCATTCATACTCCTGTGTTGCTATGATACTGGGTGCCACTGAGCTGTCACCATGACAACAATCATGTACCTCATTGTGCTTCTCGCTTAAGTAAGCCTCCTGCACCTTGGTGTCTTGGCTGTGACACATGCATCTTGCTTGAGATGCTGATGCATCTTCAACTCCCCCCTTTGGTGGGATCTTGAGCCCTATCATCCTAGCCAATTGTGAGGTGTTGAGACCCTGTAAAGGTTTTGTCAAGACATCTGCAATGTTGTTTGCTGTTCTGACATATTTGATTGCCACATTGCCCTCTTGCACATGATTGCAGACGAAATGATACCATGTGTCAATGTGCTTTAACTTCCAATGTTTGGCTGGATCTTTACTCACCTGTATGCACCCCTGGCTATCTGTGTATAGCATGGGTTGAACATCTGTGATCTCCAAGTCCTGGAGCAAATATGAGAAGAACAATGCTTCTTGCACTGCTTCGGAAGCAGCAATGAACTCTGCTTCGACTGCTGACAATGCCACACACTTTTGAACATGAGACTTCCAACTCACTGGACATCCATACACATATGTTATCAACCCCGAGGTGCTCCTTCATCCATTTGTGGGGTCAGATGCCCAGTTTGCATTGGTATACATTGTTACCAGTGTATCCGAGTGCTCATTTGTCTCCCCTCCTAAGTGCAACTGATATTCATTTGTCTGGTTCAGGTACTTTACCACATGAATGGCTGCCTTCCATGCACTGTCAATTGGGATTGACATATATTGTGACAATATGCCAACAGCAAAGGCAATATCTGGTCAGGCTGTGTTGGAGACCCATAATAGTTGGCTGACCAACTCTTGATACTTCTTTGCTCACTGAGGTTCACATCTCTCACCTCTGGCAACATTCACTATGCTCAGCATGGGTACCCAAGATTTCTTGTTTGCTCCTCCTAACCATTTGTTCACCATTTCTTTGATGTATGCCATTAGGCCCAGAGATATCCTCCTCTGTCTTCTATCATGTGTGATCTTGATACCCAGAAATTCTTTGATCCTTCCATTGTCTTGCATCTCCCATTTGTCCATGATCTCTTGCTTAGTGCAGTCTACTTCATCATGACTGGGTGATGTTATCAGCATGTCATCCACATATGCTGTAATGATCGTGATCTTGTTGCCTGTCCCTCTTGAGTATAAGCATGGTGCACTTGGCATGCAATGAAATCTGATCATCCAGAGATGTGAGTCTAACTCAATGTTCCATTCTCAGCCTGATTGTTTCAGACTGTACAGTCCTTTCACTACCTTCAATGCTTTTCTGGGTGGTATTTTGATTCCTACTGGGGGCTTGAGATATACATCATGGTGTATAGTGGAGTTCAGGTATGCTTGCTTTACATCAATAGAGTCTATTTCCCAATCTCATACTGCTGTGACAGCGATCACCCCTTGAATGGATTGGATGGGTGCTACTGGTGTGAAGACCTCTGTGTAGTTGATGCCCTCATGTTGGGTGAAACCTCGTGCCACAAGCTGGGCTTTGAACTTTGTCAGCATGAGGTTTGCATCAGTTTTGATCTTGAGTACCCAATGCATGTCAATGGTGTTTTCACCCTTCAGGAGGTCAGCAATCTCCCACATGCCCATTGCTTCCAATCCATCCAGCTCCTTTCACATGGCCTCCTCCCAGTGCTTTCTGTCTTCTCCACTCATTGCTTCATGTATGGTTGGGTCCAGGTTCTTTCTCTGTTCCAGTTGCATTGCTATGAGTCCAAAGAATTCGCTGTCAATCTGAGTTTTGGTGGTTGATCCTTGTTCCATCACCTCTGCTGTTCCTCTGCTTAACCTTTCTTCCGAATCTGTCTCCATATCCATGTATTCTTGTAGTGGCCCTTCATCTGTTTTGTCAAATATATTTTCTTTGTTGTATCCTAGATCTTCAAAATTCTCTTCTGTCATCATCACTGGAGGTGCCTTTGTGTTGACCAGTTGCCACTCCATTCTGTCTGACCAGCACTTTGATTCCATGAATTTTGCTGAATTGCTCCAGAACATGTTCAGATTATAGTCTGGACTGTAGAAGAGCCAGCCCTTTCTCTCTAGACTGTATCCCAAGAAAATGGATGCGATGGCTTGCTGGTCCAGTTTCTTGTTGTCCCATTTGACTTTGGGTATGTTTACCCATGCCAGACAACCAAACACTCATAGGAGTTTTAAAGCTCATTCCAGTGACTTGCTGAACATTGCTTGATAAGGGAACTCATTATCAATGCTTGGAGTGAGGTTTATTTTGAATGCCACAGCTCTGATCACGTACAGCCAGAACTTCTTCAGTAGTCTCCTCTGCATTAGCAACATTCTCATCTTCTCTCCAAGGGTCCTGTCCATTCTCTCTACCCATCCATTTTGTTTGCTGTTGTACCCTACAGTGGTTTGCCACTCTATGCCCTTTTCTAGCAACCATTCTAATGCATCATTGCTTTTCCATTACATTCCTTGATCGGATCAGATCACTTTTAGCTTCCAATCTGTCTGTGTCTCCAGGAATAAAACAATCCTTTTGAGTTGCATAAACACATGACTCTTTCATGTCAATGGCTGTGCATACACATACTTGCTATGATTGTTGACCAGCACCAATGTGCATGTGTACTCTGTCACATGGGATGAGTCTATTATTAGATTGATGTGGATAAGATCCAGGGGCCCTATGGCTCTTTCGCCACTACCTTGCCCCATCTGAGTGCTTGTGCTCTTGGATTGTATGCACTGCTCACATGTCAGAGTGGTGTTTGGATCCAATTCCATGGTATGCTTATCTTTTAACTTGCTTGTGATTGCCTTAGCTTTATCTCTTCCTGGGTGTCTGAGATGCTCATGCCATAGTTGTTGCTTTGAAACTTTTGGCTCATTCTTAATATGCTCGAACTCCTCATCAACACCTTCAAACAATGGTGCTGATGTGGCCATCACGCTTTCTTGCCATGTGTCGCCTCGGAACTCCAAAAGTCCTCACTTGCGATTCTTTGCAATCTTAAGTGTCATGCCATTTGTTAGAAAAATTTGACCACCAGTTGTGTCCAATATCACTTGTGCTCCTTCATCTGTTAATGAATTCATTGACAGAAGGTTAACATTAAGGTGCTTCACATACAATACATTTTGTAGGGAGATTTCCCTGTAATCTGTTGATATGCTTGCATCTCCTATAGCTGCCACTTCCAAGACCTCACTTCTGGCAGTAATTATCCACTTTCAGCAAGTCCTCAGATGGATGAGCATGCTATAGTCATTCACCATATGATAACTTGCCCCCGAGTCCAAGATCCAATGAGCTGTTTCTTTTGTGTTTGGGGGGTCTTGCCATTTCAATGGGAGGGTGAGGGAGCACCATGCTTCCTATTTAGGTTTAGTGAGGGGGGAGTCTTTGGGAATGGTGACTGAGGTGTCACATTGACTAATACCATGTCCCGGTTGCTTGCAGTTCCAGCATCGGATTCAGTGTGGTCTGCCTGCATTCCTCGAGCTTGCATGGCTGTTGTCAGCTTCGGCTTCGGTCTCTCCAGCCTGTTTGTTTTGATCATCATTGCCAGCAGTTCTAGTGCTGGCTTGTTGGGGGTTGATCTTTTGTGCAGGGATCCTCTCAACAGTGGTCTGCTGGATGCTTAGTGTGGTGGCAAGGGTGTTGAAATTGATTTGATGAACAGTGGCAACTGTGTCCTTATACACCAGATGCCAGATCATGCATTTCTGCAGAGCTGAGAACAATGTATCATCAGCAAATGGTTTGCCAAGGAGGCTACTTTCAGTCTGTATGGACTGGATCTCTTGAATTAGCTTTCTGGCATCTGAGTGAAACATCTTTATATCATTGAGCTGCAAGATGAACACAAGTCTGTGAGATGTCTTGGTGGCTTCATTCATGAGACTGTTTTCGATCTTTCTCCATACTTGGTTGAAAGTAAGGTACTCCTTGATTACATCTAGAATGAGGTAATTTACATTGTATTCTCCAGTAGTGTCAATTGTTCCATGCAGGGCATTGATTAAAGCATCATTGAGGGAGTGGCTCCATTTTGGGTGCTTCTTGTCATACATTCCCTTGAGATGTTTCATCGCATGGGGCACAGATCAGAGGAAAGATTTCATGTGAGTGCTCCAGCTATAATAGCTGTGTGATGTGAGCTTTGGCATGGGTTCAAGGAGCTTTGCTAGGGTGCAAAAGTTATATCACTTGTTGCCATCATCGAAGTTGGAGTTGGAATCAGTGTCTTTGTCAGCTTCATTGTCGATGGCCTCTGGCTCATTCTCATTTGTGGCATCATTGTCAACCTGAACCTGGGTGTTCTTGCCTTTTCTGCTTCCTTTGGTCCTTGTTTTGGTGTCTTCTACCATGGTTGTCAACAAGTTTTGGTTAGCTCAGTGATAGCTTCTTCAGACTCTTAATCAATTGAAGATAACAATTAATATACAGCATTATCAGGGTCATGATCAGACTCCCTTTACCACAGCTGTATGTTCTATGTAATGCTTAGTTTTTCATGGTGTGAACCTAAATGACAAATGCATATATATATACTCCATTCACCACTCTAGTCCTATCCAAGACAGGACATGTCACTTCATTCATACTCCTGTGTTGCTATGATACTGAGTGCCACTGAGCTGTTGCCATGACAACAATCATGTACCTCATTGTGCTTCTTGCTTAAGTAAGCCTCCTGCACCTCGGTGTCTCGGCCGTGACACCTGCATCTTGCTTGAGATGCTGACGCATCTTCAACTAAAACATTATAGCCAGGCTCATGGAATCGTAAATTAAAAAAAAAATAAAAAAAAAAATTAACCTGCAGCTTGGAGGAATCGAACATCCGTCTGCTCGGAGCAAATCCGGCTACTCATTCTTAGTTTCGAGGAAACCACAACGAGCTGTACTAACCACTATACTAAAGCTGCCTAGCGAAAAGGGGCTCGGTTGTGTATATATACTCCCAAAACGTGAGACAAGAAGCAGACCGTGTGCGGAGACTGTTTGGCCTCAAAAGAAGTGCAGAAGTAGGCTGCAAGTTGATATGCTACCGCGCACAGAGATCCTGCATCACAGCCTGGATCTGCATCTGAGGATTGAGAATGGCATTACCGGCCACTGCCATCCTGAGGACCACAATAGGCCTTCCAAAGGTTGCGAGAGCGGGCTGTGCGACGATGCTTTTTGATCCTTCGATGTCGGCTCTTCCTATCATATCGAAGCAGAATTCGACCTGCGCCAAGGGCGTCAACGGTGTTGACGCCTCAAAGCTGCTCTTTTGGCGGCTTCGTACACCAAAACTTCTCCGAAATCCTCTGGAGAAGCTTGGAATTGAGGTCAGGTCGAAAGGAGATTGCGGAATGACCTGGTTGCTTTGGCGTTTTTGGATCCTTGCGAGTCGGCAAGATTGGCCTTTTAGCCCCTCTCGCCTGTAGGGGGAGCATCGGCAAATCCCGTTGGTACAGGGACTGAGGGATCAGAAATAGTCACGAATTGAAACAGGTTGGCTGTGGGTGTGGGTGTGAGGGAGCAAGTGTGCGAGTGTGAGAGTGTGCGTGCGTAGAGCGGAGGATCAACCTCCTCCCTCAGCGTTCTCTCTAACCCTGTTGACGCTCTTCCAGCGCGCTCTTGCCATTTTCCAATTGTGATTTTCTCCACTAACATTACTCCACGCTCTGATCGCTCCGAAATTTGGCAGTGCACGCACACTCTCAATCGCTCTCTCTTTCTCAATCCCATCCGCTACGCCTTGGAGGTTACAGTAGCATCTTCAACCTTCCAAGAGCTCTATCGCAACTTGCCCATACCATCAGTGACCGATTCGGTCGGTCTTGTCATTCTTACTGCATCCGCACCTCCTCCTACAAGCCATCCGTCCATCATCGCATCGACTCGAGCCGACTCAACACCGACAGTTGGGTGTTCGCATCTTCAACAATAGCCCCGGATCGTCTTGTCCCTTCATCGTTGCTACGCTCCCTTTCATCTCGTGTGCTCGTCTAAAAGCACCTTCCTAACTTGTCTGGAGGCGAATTCGAGAGGCCTCCGGTCTTCAGGCATCTTTCTCCCCCTTTAGAAGAGACGCTCGCATCGTCACATCCAATCCCATCCCATCGCATCGCATCGCATTATCTTGCTTCGCCAATCTCAGCAGCCAACTCTTATCAGCAGCATCACCACCACCACCTCGTATAACAACTGCAATGTCTTGCTCACAAGCATAGATCTTGATCGCGTCCGGCGATGAAAGTCCTTTACTGCTTTGAATCGCATCCCATCTTGGCAGCCTAATCACAACAAACCTAAAGCATCCCTCGTAGGTCGGTTGGCCTGATCCGAGCCGACGTCGACCTTGCCGACATGCTGCTCCCACACAGGCAGTCTTTGGCTAGGCGTCCCAAGTGGAGATCCACGCCACTAAATGCATCGACATCAGCCGCCCTTGCATTCCTACTCGGTTCAGCCTTGGTCTCAGCGTCTGCGCCTTACTCGCCGCCATCATCATCGACACCCAGCTCAACAGAACGCCGCACTTCCGCTCGCATCGATGCAATCGAGGATGGGCCTTCTTGGCAAGTGAGCCAGCAGCGCAAGAATGAGGCTGCAGAAGTCAAGTCCGACACTTTAAATCGTCGCAAGCATGTCACATTCCAGTATTCAGATCAGCAGTCGCAAGGCGCCTCTGCGCCAAACTTCGCGCAACCAGTAGATGACGCCGATTCTGAGACTTTTGCATCCATCTTACCCACCATCCTGCGCCACGAGAAGCCCCTCTACGCAGACGATGACATGATCCTGCATCCAGATGCCTCCGCAGCCTCCGCAACCTCCGCAGCCTCCTTGCCTCGATCCGGCAGCACTCATTCCGATTTGTTGTCCGAAGCTCACCAGTACGACACACAACAGCCAGCAAGCCGACCATCAGTCTATAACGAGGACCTTGTTGGCAAGCAGACAGGGAGCGGCTACGTCTTTGTCCGCCGCACTGATCCATCATATATTTCGGGTGCGGGTGCAGCTTTGGTTACTCTATTCTCGCGGCGCGATTCACCCGTCAGCCGTCCGCCGCTGGTTCCCAACTCAAACTCGAGACTCCTCATCGCACTTGTGATCGTCTGTATCCTCGCAGTCGGTGTTCTGACACTTGCTGCGCAGGAGATGTACAAGCGGCTGCAAAGTGTCGGTCAACCTCGCTCGCCGCTGCGAAGGAGATCCGGCGAGGGCCGATCGACACGCACACTTTACCGCAGCGATTCGAGCTACACATCGATACCAGCCAGTGTGCTGTCAGCACCGACATTGGAGGAGGAAGAGGAGCGCATCAAGACTCCGCCAACACTTTCGCGGCGCAGCAGCGCCGCTGCTTCATCATCGGTACCCTCACCACTGAATGAGAACGGTCCTAATTCGGACGACGAGGAGCTAGAGCGCAAGACTCAAACCGACTTGCATTATCTTTCTCTACCGTTTGGCATCGGCATCGGCTACAGTTATGCAAATATTGCCGACGGTCGGGACGCAAAGACCAGACTATCAAAATTGGCCGCCAAGAGGTCACGCAGCCGCCTCGGCTCCACTCTGGCACTATCAACGGGCACGTTGCCGATTCCTGGGCTCAGTGCTGCTGCGAATGGTGGCGACGGGTTGAGATCACGATCCAGGTCGTTCAAGGAGCTGTGCCGTGACGCATTCAGCAGTGCCACTACGACACGCGACATTGGTGCAATTATGGAAGAAGAGGGCGGCAGTGATATGACAGGCGTCTCGACACCTCGGTGGGGCTCGTCGAGTCTTGCATCGCTTGACCTGTCGAGCTCGGGAGGCAGCGGTACAGTCACGCCCACAGGACCGGGAGGCAGCGGCACACTTTCGACTTCAACCGGGAGCATGACATTGGAGTCTTTGGCATCCCATGGACTACATGCAAAGGGACGATATTTCGGTGTTGATAGTGCGCCAGCAACGGGTCACACACTGGTTGACCTTGGTCAGGGAACCCCCGAGTTGGCTGTATCGGATCCGGATGGTATCACTCGGCCCGCATCGACGCCAGGTGTGATGCCAAGTCAGGTGGCACGCCATCCGCTAGTGGAACAACTGCGTCGAGAGGGAAGATCCGATACAAGCAAGAGGGTGGGCAAGGGCACTCCCACCAATGCCAAGGCTTTCTAGAGGACTCTCCCATTCGCTCGTTTCATCTCACGATTGTACTGTACTTGTTTCCTGCAATATCAGTTCATGATCGACCATACTCCTCTTCGTTGGTGTTTGGTCGGATCAGCTGGAAGGTAGGCTTTGTGCGACTGTTGCGAGACCATGAGTTGACGTGATCGGCAGTGAGAGGTTGCGGTAACTTCACTCTAGCATTCTTCAGCATTGGACGAGCTCGTGACATGGTTGGATGTGCAAGCACAAACATGGGGCTGAAACATGGGGCTGCTGTGGGCTGCTTTGCGGGTACGGTTCCAAGTGTCCATAATTATATTGCACGACGTTGGTGAGACGAAGCTAGGCTTCACTCCTGCGCTACTGTATCACACAAGACTTGCCACCATCTCCTGACGAGGCTTTACCTTCGCCCTCGCCAAACTCCTTGATCGTTATACTGCCATGATGATTTGAAATTGTACACACGTCTCCTCGCATGCCGGAAGCTATACTTGAAGCAATTTTGGCGGTTCCCCTATGCTTGTGTGGTTGAGGGTCAAGGAGTTTGAATCGCTGCTGCATGGCGGGTGAGACTTTAAGTGTGCCTGTTTCTGAATTCCATTTGAGCATTCCGGCAAAGCTTGTTGGAAGGGAGACGGTGATGTTGCCATTGTATGACTTGGCGCGAATGTCGAGAGGGCGCGCACCGCTGTAGCTGGGGATGCTGAGAGAGATGGAGCCAAGAGATCTTGTCTTTGCGCTGATAAGAACCGGTTTTGAATCGGGAGCAGACGCGGACTCGGGTCGTTTCTCCCTGAGGATGTGAACGGTAGCATTGATCGGTGAAGACTTGGTGATTAAAACGCAGGAAGAAGCGTTGGCTGTCTCATCTTCGTGTCTTGGTCGATCGTAAACGGGTGGAGAGGCTTCAGGTGCTGAGGCGCCGATTGCTATTGTCTTCTTGATGGATGCATTGGGCCAGTCAATGTGGATGTGTCGATGAGCTTTGCTAGGTACACCGCCATGCTGCTCCGGGTTCCAAAGTGCTTCTCGGCGCTGCTGCTGCTCGTAAGCCTCGTCATCGTTGGCAAACGGAGAAGGATGCGCTGATTGTGCTGGTTCGACTTGTAAGGACATGGTGTTTGTGAGCTGAAAGGGGTGTATCTGCTTGTGATGATGGTGATGATGATGGCAAAGATGGATTTCAGCGTCGTGCAAATGTAGACAAGGTTCACCATGATGACTTGGAGGTGTCAAGGTCGTGGGAGAACTGCGCACTGTTCTTCAGCCCCTTACAGCTTACTCCGCAGCTTCTTGACGTCCTCGGAGACTTTTAGACCGCCTGCCCATAAGCTTATCCCCACTTGACACTGTCCAGCCTCCACGGGAAAAAGTAAGACAAGTGTGAAGAGTCAGACCCTTTTTGGCGAGCTCTAAATTTTCAAAAGTCACGGCACGCAAGGCACGCACGGCAACAGTCGAAAATTCGTGTTTCGGGTTTTCCAGAAGATTCGGCATGCCGGCACGGATCCCCCGAAAACTTGCCAATTCGGATCTTCCTACAGCTGAATCACAATTTCAGTCACACACTGCATTTGAGTAGGTTGTGGTGACAGTTGGAAGACGTGGTTTCGTTAAAGTCACGTTGAACGCCACGGATCATTTCGATCCGCAAGGCTTCAGAGTAGAGTTGCTACTGTTCGCAAAAGAGTTGCAACCGGCAAGTCTTTCGGTCCCGTTGGTCCCGTTGATGTGCATGTCGAATCCTTCAATCGGGATGTCTTCAACCGTACGCTTTGTTCAAGCCGTTCATTGTTGCCGTCAGCTGGTTGAGCAGAGATGTGCAAAGCCTTTCTCTTTCCGAACATTCCGAGCCTCGGTATGTGGCTCAGATTGTCCCAGTGTACCCTAGTTCATACACATCTTCCTCATTCTTCTCGCTCGTTCGCTCTTCTCCGACCATTGTCACAATTTCATTGTAGATGTGACGACAATGCTGGACCATATGTAGTCCTCATGATTACCGAGACAAGTTTGGTGTTGGTTTCTCCGACTGCAGGCATCACTCAGAGGCACTGCCCTGATGCCAAAGATGAGCACTCAAAGACAGAGATCTTGTCTCAGCCCTGAGCGCGCCCTTCTGGTGGACTCACAGAGCACATCCTCAAGTCCCTCTCTGAGTTCTCAGCCTCAGACCCAAAGGCAAGCAGAAAATGGTTTGGAAACACTGGGTATATGGCCAACGATCTTGTCGTTTTGAGAGATGTCAAAGCTAGAAATACATAAAACAAGAGATACCTTGAGACCGGGAAAATGGCGAGTAGAGACAGGAAACGGCCCAAAGGGTCCGCCAATAGAATACAGATGGTCGTGACAACAAGGGAAGGAAGAGTAAACGAGAGTGAGAAGGCTTCCTTCTGAGAGGGGGGCCAAGCGAGATGAAGGGTAGAGACTGTGAGTGGGTGCAGAGGGAGTAGTGTGCCAAAGGCTCGCTATCAAGGCCGGCCAGCCAACCGAGAAAGGAGAGCTGGAGAGATGCTACACAACAATATGAAGAGAGAGGGACAAGAACGGTGACTGTAAAGATGACGACGGCAATGCGAGTTCGTAACGTTGCGGAGCGAGAGAGATGTGAGTGAGTAGAGGAGAGAATCAGGCGACCCACTCTGGGGCAACAGGCGTGGCGGTCGCGCTGCCAAAGATGTCGCTGGGCATGGCCGAGGTGAGCGTCATGGATGCCATGCTTGACATATCGTGGCCGAGCAGTGTGGCATCAGGCATCTCGTATCCCGACATGCTTGCAAAGGGATCTTGAAGCTTGCCATCCATGGGCGGGACGTTGATCAGACCAAGGTCGTTGCCTGCCATGATCTCAACCGAGTCGGCTGCCATCATTGGTGGCGCGACCATGGGGAAGGCATCGGGGTGCATGGCACCGGCACCGGTGAAGTCGATCAGGTTGTATGGCATGGGCTCGAGAGACTGCAAGAAGTTGGTGCACTTCATCTGCTGCTCATGTGGCGAGAGAGTGGAACGCGGTACCATGGGAGGACCAAGGTAGTTGATGTCGAACGAGTCCGAAATCGGTGTGGTGGGAGGCATGCTGAATGGTGTGCCAAGATCCTGACTCATGGGGAATGGCGAGCGGATGGCGCGTGTCGAAGCCAGCGACGGCGTCGAAGCGGCCGACGAGAGACCAGAGGCGGAAGCAAGTCCTTCGGACAAGGAAGCGACCATGGGGCTGTAGTAGATCGACTCGGTGCTCATCGCTGAAGAAGGTGTCCACTGCTCATGTGCTGGTGGTGAGTAGAAGACATCGTGGTCCTTGATGGGGGTCGAGTTGATCGCAAGGCTTGGACTAATAATCCTTCGCATTGGAGTCGATGTCAACAGTGTTGGGCGCGTCGGTGTTGTCATCATAGGGACGGTGTGACACGAAGACGAGTTGCAACCAGGACCCGAGATGCGCGAAGGAGTCATAGGGAAGTCACCATAAGCCCAGACACCGTGAGGGCTGGTAGGCGGCAAGAAGTTGAGGCTGTCGACCATGGGAGCACCAGTGATGGCTTCGTAGGCGCCAGGCATGCCGAAACCAGGAGCCAATGGCAATCGAGGGTGACTGTGGAAGGTAAGCGAGTGGAACGAACCGTTGGCAACGAAGCGGTTGCGGGTAGGCTCGTCGTGCTGGTCACAGTCGTAACTACAAGGACCAGGGGGCACAGCCGAAGGGTGACCAGCAGCCTCGGCTGATGCCTGCGATCGTGCGCAAGTGGAGCAACGAGGGCGAGCAGCATCACAACGAAGCTGATGATGACGGATGGCGACAGAAAAATCAGAAAGTGAGGAGAAGGCGCGTTAGAATTCAGGCTCTCGTCTTTTTGTTAAAAAAGAAAAAACGTTGTTCGAGACTGAAACTTACCTTGCGGCGACGGCAAGTAGCACAAGCCATCTTTCTTTTAAGAATAGGGCCCTTGGACTCTTTCCTTGCCTTGGCACCGCCCTTCAAGGACTTGACCTTGGAAGCAAGCTCGACATCGAGCTTTTTGCTCTCAGCCGAGCGGCAGAGCTTGTGGGTGGGGCTCTCAATGCCGGGACGGACCGGGGAGGAAGTGTTGGTGTTGATAGGTGTCAACATGATAATGAAGTTGTTAGTGTTGTGTGGGAAGATGCTCAATTAGAGAAGGGTGGAGTGGCTAGGGTTGGACGCTGGCATAGGAAAGCGGCTGATCCGAGTGGTGCAGAATTGGAACACGAGGTTGGGAAGGTGGAAGTTGCAATGCGAACGACAAAGGACGATTGGGGACGAATCAAAGAGTGCAAAGCAAGTTGCCAGCAGGGAGGCAACTGTGATAGTGGATCCAACAGATATGGTGGGAGTAGTGCAAGAAGGATTGAGCAGGGAAGGGAGTGGGAAGCTAGACGATGGGGATGAGGATTGGGAATGCGGACCATCACCGAGCGATCCGAGGGAGAGTCTTATAAGTGAAACGTAGTCTCATGGTGTTGCTAGAGCGAAGTAGGGCGGAGGGATGTCCGAGGTGCTTGGGGCGGACCGAGAAATTGAGTCAAGGTGTTTCAGTGTCAGCTAGCGAACGAAGCAGGTTTGACAGGAGAGGATGTGAGAAGTGTACGAGCCCTGATGGAAGCGAACTGGGTGCGGCGACAGCGTTTTGGTACTGCCGTGTGTGTGGCACAAGAACAGAGGGGACAAGCTTGCCTTGACACGATCATCCAAAGAAGGGCCGGCCGGGCAGAAGCAAGCACAGTCTGACAGGACAAGGAAGTGATTGGAGCAGACCTTCACGGTGCAGCAGTGAGCTCATGCGCCACTCGACTGGCTACAATGGGCCAGGTACAGGGCACAAAACTGATAGCGGTTAGGAACCGTCGCGGGCCCATGTCCAGGCATCAGAGAGATGAGAGCCTCCAGAAAGGAAAAGGCTGTTCATCAATCGTAAAGGATGAAGGAAACACCGGGCGGCAGGCACCAGGAAGTGCCAAAGCCACATTGTTGCTAAGGCAGTGAGAAGCGAGAAGCAAGTCAAGCATGCAATCAAGACTGGGTCATGAAGGATCCAGATGCAACAGGTAAGCTCAAACGAATCGGTATGCAGACCGGAGCTACTACATTGCTGTCTGGCGAACGAGCAAAGTTTCGTGCTCCAAAAACCGAGAAAAGGCTTGGCCACACAGAGACAGAAAGACCTCAAAAAGGCAAGAAATATGGATAATAGGGGGTATCAAATTTTTCGCTTTTTTAAAAACTCGAAAATGCATGAGGCAATGATACAGGGTTGCAAAGCCAGGCAAGGCAACGGGATTCGCGGGCCAGAACAGAGAGAGGAGATCTTTTTCGCTTGACCAAAGTGCGATTTCAGAGAGACAATGAAGATCCTGAGCCAGAGACGACGCCACTCTGAACTGGTGAGGCGCTGCGATACCCAGAGAGTGTTCAGCTGCCTGTAGTACAATCGTCTGCATGAAGGGGATAAATTGAACGGCATCTCTCACGTTTCAAAATGCCAAAGGAGAGTGTTGGAAAGCGACGTTCCTGCACGCCCAGACTGCGTCAAGGACCTCTCTGTCATTTCAAGAACCGCTGAAATCGAGAAACGAAAACGGGATTCGGCAACTGTGACTCGTGAGTCGGCCGTGAATTTCAAGTAGCAGCTGTATACTAGTGCAGACCGCTCATGATCGCACTGCAATCGCACTTGAAATCGAGTTGTGATGAGTCTGCTTACGGACGTTGATGCGCAGTCTTGTTCAGCGACAAAGCAGTGCAATGCAATGCAGTGATGAAAGTCCAGAGATGACACTGCTGGCAACAAGGCTGCAGATCAAAAAAAAAGAAGTTTTGGTTGACATCGAGCTAGAGTATTGCTGTCTGAAGTGCCAATCACATCGGGCAGCTCAATCCCTCTTTGGATCCTGCTCGGAACTCCACGTGAGACGGCTCGAATGCAAGCAAAATTGAGCACTGAGATTGGGTGCCCAGCGGCTCGCCAAGATGATCAGGCGGGAAGAATTGAGATGAGTTCTAAAGGATCGATAATGTGAAAAGTGTAGAGCGCCACTCCTCAATGAGGCATAATGCATTTGTCGTCTGAACACTTGTCTCTTCGATTCACGAGGATGACAGGAAATGGAAAGGGCAATCGGTCACATCCAATCCTATCGCAACTCGAGCTCAGCAAAACAAAACAAAATGAGCACCATCACGCCAAGCAACAGGCATATCCCGCAAGGCGAGCAGAGCTTGCTTGCCACGAGAATCAAAAAGACTGACTCTACGTGCCAATGTCGGGCCGCGACAGGAAAGTTGCTCAAATCTGTTGGAAAAGACTTCCTTGGCCCCCATTCTTTTCTCGATGACAGATCGATCTTGAGAGAAAAGCCAACGGAAAGCGCGTCTTTTCCCCCTCTTTTTTAACCCTAGCTTTGCTATGGGTCGCCAGCCTATTCACAAGCCACTAATCCTAAACATCTGGCAAATCGGAATACTGCGGAGCAGTGGTGCAGCGCCACTTTTTTGCTGAATCGGTCAATGAGCAAGTTTTTCAGCCTCGTTCGAAATCGAGGCGACCCGCGCCTTCAGAACGGAGTTGCCTTGTCGAGCATAGGGTGGTCAAAGTAAGATCGGCAGACACCATCGAGCACTCTTCAGATGGTACAAGCCTACGCACAGACGATCTGGACCGCGTGCGCCATCTCATTAAAAGCCTCGTCCCATGTGGCTCGCAAGCCTGAATTGGGTCGCCACCAATTCACCCAGATTTCCCTCGGGACCTTCTCTTGGACCAAGCATCTTTGGCTTCGCCATAAGGGTGAACCTGGGTGCTGAATGGTCCTCCCTCTACTTCTCTACTTCTCCGCTTCGCCCGTTTCGCGGGCTTCGCGGAAACGACCAACCGTTCAATTTCAGAAATGTTACCCCGGATTTCTTCGGTTGTTAAGAAGCCTGAATCCCTTGCAATGTCACAAAAGGAAGATGAACAGCTCTGACTCTTTCTCGAAGAGTGCACTCGACTTGGTTGGTGACCTCGACTGTTCCGTCGGGTTAGAAGAGTGAACAGGATGGCATGAAGAGACAAGAAAGCAGATCGGCAGAGACTTCATCGGGCTGGTATTGTGCTTTGCTTATCCTTACAAGTGAACGATTTGGTGGGTCGAAACACGGTTGCAAGATCTCACATTCGTAGCGTTGAGAAGTCAAGTAGATCATGAGACGAATTGAGGGCAGTAAGGCAGCCAATACCGGGCCGGTTTGGAGCCCAATCTCCGGCTATCGATTCTATGTTGTACCGGACATGATTCAGACGAAGACTTGCAAGGTTTCTGGGCAGCAGTGGGAATGGTGGTAGAGGAATTGAAGTGAGGATAGCAGAGCGTGCACAGGCGTGCACCCTTGGATCGACTGGGGCATAGTCGCCCACAGGTTGCAGGCTGCTTACACTTTGCTGCGGTGACAAGCGCTTCAAGAAGCGGCGTGCAACGGAAGCAACCTCGTCCGCTCGAGCGAGTCGGTGCAATACAGCGCTGCAATGTATCAGGGCCATAGCATGCGAGTCCCGAGTAGCGGAAAACAAAAGGATTGCATGGTCGTGCATGTCTTGTGTGTGGCCTCACTACGTAGGGAGCGAAAATTTTGAACAGCAGAAGGCGACATGAAATGAAACGCGCCTCAAGATCGCACCGCGGCCGCCCGTCGGCCAGCTGTCAAACGAGATCTCGCCCGCCAACGAAAGCTTTTCCTACCTTCCGTACTACAGTACGGCCCTCACGGTAACAGCAGGAAAAAGTAGTTGAGTAAGAAGAGGCGTACAACGGAGAGAGCATTTGCCTAACATCGCTTAGCCAAGCGAGACAAGCAGATCACCATGCGAATGTGTTCACAGACGCCCACCTCGTTGCGCATCGTTTCGCACCATACAGCTGACGCCACGCCAGTGCGCAAACGACTTGTTCAGCTAAGCGCAAGCATTACGAGATGCGTTCGAAGATCGAAGTGCGCTAACAAAAACAAAAAAAAAAAAAACAAAAACAAAAAAACAAAAAAAACAAAAAAACAAAAAAAACAAAAAAAACAAAAAAAACAAAAAATCGTCACAGCGTTGTATGAGCTCGAGGAGAGAAAAGCTGACCCCTGTATTCCGTCGGAGTTGGAGCATGTGAACAGGTCAAATATGCCCCCGCCCTGAGACCAGATTGAGCTCAAATGTGTCCATCTTGACATTTACAAAGGTGCAGATGCAAATAGCGACCTTTCGACGTCTTGTCGTGGGAGCAGATCCGAAGACTGGTGCAGAATGAGGGTGAAGATCAGAGAGCGTAGAGACAGCGTCATGATAAGCAAAGCCACTCGCCCAGTTGCGGCAATCGGCATTTGAAATCATATATATATTCTATACGACTTGTGCAGCGGAATCGTTGTACCCGTCCAAGATCACCGATGAAACGGTCCCGGCGACCCATGTGAATGCGCTCGCGTTCGTCTAAGAAGCGAATCGTACCAGATTCTTGACTCGTGTCCGGGTTTGATGGTAGTGAGGAGCGTCGGACCCGTGGACTACGCTCGACAGGGACCATATTCCGTCAAGTTTCTGCCCATATCTGGTACTCAACAACGCCCACGATCGATCGTAGATAACTACAGAGTATAAGCGCTTGCCCGAACCAATCCGACGGTGTGACGCGTGAAGAGTCGACCATGCGTCTGCTCAAAGTGTTGGTCTCAGCAGGTAAACGACGCACAAAGATGAGGTATCCGCCCAGTTCGATTCCAGTTTAGGGTTCATTTTGGTTCATTTTGGTTCATTTTGGTTCATTTTGAGTCATTTTGGTTCATTTTGGTTCATTTTGGTTCATTTTGTCTTCAGTTTGCCCCTTTTCCTTTTCCTTTTCCTTCTTTCTTTTTTCTTACCTGGTACTCTTTCGGGTTTCCCAAGGGTGAGTGGCTAGTATTTCTGGAAAGCGTGCATTGATCTGGGTAAAGTAACCGCCGCCAACGATGCTCGAAATATAGAGTTACAAACTCATCGCTTGGGAAATCAAGGTGCATGGATCCACCAGTAAGCCGCCATTTGATCATTTGATTGCCATCCATCCATTCTCTTGCTGTGCTTTCAACCTCGG